TGATGTGTGCATCAGGCGCATCGTTGTGGCAGGGTCATCGAATGAGACCCGGGAATGGAATGAATAGTGGGGTAAGTACCCTGCCTTAAAAGAAGCGACACGTAGATAGAATCCCGGAGAGTCTTGTGCCGAATGGATGGCTGCTTTCATCCACTCATCCCTTCAGCCTCTTAAGTGCTTAAATGTTTTTAGGGCTACTTTCATCACCAGCCTCTGGATGCCTCAATGAATTTCAATAAAACCAAAAGTGCTGGCAGCAGTCCTTCTGTCCTGCCGCCTGGATGTTGAGCATTCAACAAGATTACAGGAGAGAGGAGTGGCAGTGGCACGAGCAGCCATTGGACTATGTGTGTTTCACCTCTTTTCAGAGAACGCATGCAACGCAGCTATCCCCCTCGCCTCTGCTCTGACAGTGCCGTGAAGTTTCCTGTGGGGTGTGCCTCCGCGTCAGCCCCGCAGTTATAATTAAAACACAAACCATGTTTGAGGTTCCTTCTGTCCTTTTGTCCGTCGTGTACAATAATCGCATTTCGAAGGGCGATGAACAGAACAGAAAAGAACAGTGGAAAAAAGAAGACCGAAAGGTGAATGAAATGTTTGCGGCAGGATAAAGCATAGTGAGGTCCTTTCCCAAGGGAGCTGCAAACGTCCGTTCAATGGTTTCTCTCTCTCCCTGTCTCTCTCCTTCTGAAGAGCGTTGATGCGATATTATTGTGGTGATTAAAATATGCCTGAATAATATTGAAATGCTGAATACTGCATGATGTGTGGCATGCTGGCTGTTGGCTCTCGTTCGTTGCATCTCCTGTGGCAGCCACAGCCACAGGCATTTTGGTTACGCCGAAAAGTAGACTTCCGTCCCGTGGCACTCCGTTGGAGTAGTGGAGCGGAGGAGAGTGGCTACCCCCCGTTGTGGCGGCAATTGGCATGTGGTTTTCCAGCTGCATGAACGAACTGGCAGAGGCAAGTGGTGCACTCCATGGGTATTCCCCCTGCCACCTTCTGTTCTTCCGTTTAAATTTCTGCATAAATTTACACTTGTGCCCCCCTCCAGGCGGTGCAACGAATCCACTCGGATCGGATTGGGAGTGCGATGCGCTGTGGTGTGGCGTGGCGCCCCCGAAGGTGTCATTCATTGAGTGGAAAGTTTTTACTACTATTATTATTATAACTCTCTCCCTCGAAGTGCCATGGGGCATGTGGCATGTTCTACTCGTTCTACCTACTACTACCTTCCGCCCCTCTCTTCTCTCTGCCTCATGTTTGCCATCTCTGGAAAAGCCCTTTCCTTTCATTCTCTCGTAATTCTCGTAACATTTTTCGGGCTTGAACCCAAAGTTTCTTTCCCCTCACCCCCCTCTCTTTCGGTCGCTTTCTGTTTGGGCAACACTTGCGGCTACTGCTGCTGCTGCTGTTGTTGTAGTTGTTGCTCGACAAAATGCTCGATGGCGTTGTAAAATGTAATCATTGTGGCGTGTAATTAGTTTTTATACATGTATCTGTGTGAGTCAATGTGTGTTCCATGTATAAGTGCATTTACCCCAAAGAGTGTAAGTGTCAGTCTCTGTCCGGGTGTGTGTGTGTCTGTGTGTGTGTATAAATAAAATTTATTATTGCATTAACGTTCTGAAGCAGAGGAGATCCCTGTTGCCTCCTTTTACTACCTCTCACCGAACAAACACACATACACACACACTCTGAAGCACTGCAGCACTCGTACACACGTGTGTATGCAAATATATGCCACATTTGGTGTGGCACCAATTGGTGTGTGCGTGTATGCGAGTCCGTGGAATGCATTTAATTGGGAATCGAGTGTCGAGAATCGAGCATCGAGAGGGTTGCTCCAAAGGTTCCATGGGTTCTCTGGGCTCCTCTGGTATTGTCGTACGAACTTCTCTCGCACTCTGTATGCTCTCCCCGCACTCTCCCCTCTCCTCTCCTCTATATATTAAACCATTCACCCATTGCCGACCACATGTCGTATTAGTAATAATAATTTACACATTACTGTTCCTGTTCCTGTAGTTTCGACATACTGGGCGCTGAGGGGAGCACTGGCGGACAATTCGAGGGATGTGGCAGTGGCAGTAGTGTTCGTACCGCGTGTGGCCAACGCTCAATCAATAGTCAATTTTCAATTTGTGTCCGTGTGTTCGTGTGGCGGCAGCATTGATTGGCGGTTGTTTAGGGTCAGCCCCATCTCCCCGCTGCAGCCCCGTTTCCTGTCTCCTGCTGCTGCTGTTGCTGTTGTAAGCCAATTGATTTGTTGTTCTCTTTGCTGCTGCTGTCGCCACTCCACTCCGTTGGGTGGGGTGGGGTTGGGGTAGGGCAGTTCAAACCTGCCCCCTGGGAGGCCACCGGAAATGCCACGCAATTTGTTTGTTCGCACTCAAGCCGCAAACATTGTGGAAATTAACTTGTTAAGCCATTGAGGAAGGGAGCGAGAAAGGGAGTGTGGGCGTGGTAATTGACATTCGATTTATAATGGCAGAGTACTAGTACTTATTATTCGGAGGCCCTAAACCAGCGATAGACACGGATGCAGATGCACTGCTAGAGTCCCTTTAAAATATTATTTTTTGAATGTTTCACTCAATCAAAGTAGCCCCTGGTTTCAGTCATTAGTCAGTGTTTACTGTAAGTTAAACAGGAACTATCGAAATATTTCAGTCTACACACGGGATCTCAATTCGAACAGAACGGATATCGAAATACTCGTAAAATTCTAAGAATACCGTAAATTTTAGTTCAATCAATTTTCGGATTAGTCATTAAACGGTTCATTCAACGGTTATTTAAGAAAAGAAGGAAGAGAGGCAGGACAGAATGTCGGAAATTTCATTGACAATTGATCCACCGGAGGTCGATGATCGCGAGGAGGAGGAAGCCAAATGGATGAAATCGTACTGCCAGCAGTTCTCCAGCGAATCGCTGGTGCAACCAGCTGAAACGGAGTCGGAGCTGGACGCGGAACTGTATGCGGAATCAGAAACAGAATCAGAGGAAGAGCATGAGGAACGGGCAGTGGACGAGGCCGACGAGGAGATCCCCGACTCGGATAATAATATGTTACCCGATTTTCTAATCCATATGGTAATTGATGCACCCGGGGACGTCAGGCCCGTGCAGCAGCCAGCAGCCCGTCGCCGTCGCTCTGACCGTTACCATCACGTCTTCCGCTACCATGGCCCTAATATTGGAGCTCAGAATCCCTATCCACCCATTAGACCCATCCACCGCCGACGTGGATTACCCGAGAATGTCTCCGACAGCGAGGATGAGGACCAGCACGATGCTGCATCGGCTGGCTATGACTACCGCACTCGCTGATTCAATCGATAGCCTCGAGCCCCCTCTATTCCATGAATAAAGAAAGTTCTTCCAAGGATCGTAGCTATGGATTCAAACTGTGGGATATTTACAGGGTAGCAGTGGAGGTCACTGCTGCAGGGGCCACTGCTGCACTTCCGTATTCCATTTCCTATGCTGCTGCTGCTGCTGCTGCTGCTGCCACGCCAAGTGGCATCGAATGGTGTCCGCATCCATGGCTTTGCGGTTTTTCCATTTAAAGTTCAAGTGGGCGCAAAATCAGGGCTCACGAATGGATGGTGGGGGGACTGCAGGTGGCGGAGGCTGCCAACGACTTCATTTGCAACATCAATCCCGACCTCATCATCAAGTTGTCTGCTGTGGCACTGGCAGCAGCCAACAGCGACTGCGTTTAATAAGGCGTGTGGCAGCCAGAAGCGAGAAGAGGCATCAGCACTAGAGGATTGAATGGGGCATGTCCTGGGGCAGGGGACAAGTGGCAGAGTGGCTGTGGGGGCTCTGTATAATTAGCTTTAATGGCCTAATGCTACGTTGGCCATTCCCGTGGCTTGGGTCCTGCCGCTGGCTCTTTCCGTCAGCTGCAATGCCGTGGAGAAGCGGATGAGAGGAAGAGACGAATAATCCTTTGACGCACCCCACAGACTGTGGGACTCCTCCCTCACGATTCTCGTTTAAAGGAGAAAAACCTACCTCTGAGTGTCCTTCCACTCGAGTATTAATGAAAGACCTGTCCCACCCTCTGCCGCACTTTAAAGCAATTTTCCAACCAAAGAAATGTCCAGAAAAAAGAAGGCCCAAGAAAGAGTTGGAGCGAGTTCTACGAGCGACTATTTATTTGCCCCCAATTGCTGTACTCCTCCTCCAGTCACACGTAGCAGATCCTGTGGCATGTAGCATGCACCCTCCTGCAGCTCCACAGAAACTTCTTGCCTCATAACTTCACATTGAAGAAGATGCATATGCAACACGTTCGTGCCATTCACTGGGGCTCCTGCTGCTTCTGCTTCTCTCTCTCTGCCACTGAAAGAAGAACAACCTGCCTCATGCTGCAACCTCCTGCTGCCCCTTGGTGACTTGGAATCGAAAATCGAGTGTCAGGCAAATGTTTCCATTCCCCCTCTCAAAGGAGAAGGAGAAGGAAGAGAATGTTTTCCCGCCTGAAATATGGAGGCATATTACTCCCTTTTTTGAGTAAAAGAGGATTTAAACTCGAATATCCGTTCCATTCATGCATTATATAGGGTATTCCCTGCTTCGACTCTTGCTCTCTACTTAGTTATACTCCGAAATCTAGGAGATATACGAATAGGGAATGTTGCAACTTTTTCTCAGTGCAATTCGACTTTTGCAGCCAGCGTTCTTCCATTCTTCAATGTGTAAGTGGAGGTGGAAGGCAGGAAAAAACTACTCCAAAAAGTAAAAAGAGAGATGCGGATGAGCAGAGCAGACGGATGCGGCTACGGTTGGAGTTTGAGCTGCAAAGGATGAGCTGAAAGTTAATTGAAAAGTATTGTTTGCTGTTTTATGCCACATTCCCATGGCCCCGTCACGCTGTTGACACTTGCCCCACACACACCAAGCGGGGGCAGATGCTGCCATATTCCATTTTCCATTCATATTCCACTTACCCTTACCTTTTGGATGGGAGTACACAAGAACGTTAATTGTTTGTTGGAGAAAGCTTTAAAAAACGTAGCATTTATTGTATTTGGGGCTGCCGTTTCCCCACTCTGTCACGAGGGATTTTACAGGGTATGCTTACACCTATACACGTACATACATATATATATATATTAATGACGTAGATCCGACATTTGCGTAAACCTAAAGCCCTTCCCCCACAATATATGATGCGAAATGCGAACTGATTCGATCGGATGAGGGGAGCAAGGAGAGGGGAGAACTCTTCTATGATATGTGGGGCACATCTTTTATCTGGGGATACAACCTACAAGCAGCCACTAACTAATACGCTAATACATGTAGTAACCATGCGACTAACTTAAGTGATTTCTAAACATTGTCTTTGCTGAGAAAGAAGAAACGTGAGAGAGAGGGAGTGGGAGATGGAGAGACCGACCTGTCTGTCTTTCTTATTTGATTATCACGAGAAAGGAAGAGAGAGCACACACAGACATACGCAGAAAGAGAGAGAAGAGAGAGTATCTACAAAACTAATTAACAATCAGTGGGAAGGGGCGGTAGAAATTGTGCAGCAACAGAAGATCGAGAGAGAGAGAGAGAGAGCACGAGCAGGAGCGTTAGCATTTCCTACATTCGAGCTTCATTCAGTTGTGAATCGTTCCTGAATGACGAGTATTATTCCATCGAGTGGCGTGGCGTGGCGTGTCTGTGGGATGCGAGGGATCCTCAGCTCAGGATTGTCGAGTGAGCCGCAGCCTTGCCATTCTTGCTGATCAGCGCCTTGGGACCTATAAGAAGGGAAGAATTAGATGGATCCGCAGATCAAAATGCGGTTCACGTACCTTCCGTGTCCGAGGCACTTGCCACCCCCATTATCTTTAACGAGCGAAAGAGTGCCCCCAGATTGGATCGCCCGTCGAGATACTCGCTCTCCAGTCGCACCACCGCCGCCTTCTTGTTCTTCGTTTGCGTGTGCCACACGAGAATCTCCGTGCAGTTGTTGCCACGCGGCTCGATATGGTCGAGCCTCAGGCCGATGCTCCGCAGGAAGCGATCCTCCTCAAAGCCCGGCTTGTACGGCATATTCACATACGGGAACTGGGCCATGTACTCGAGATTCACCGCGAATCCGGCCATGTCCACGGGCCAGCGTCTGCCCGCGAGCCACGAGTCCAGGAAGGCCACCACCTTGCCCTGAAAGAGGTGAAGAACAGAAGGATAGGGATCATTCGATCATCTCCAGAGATCATGGATCTCTGTTGTAGACGCACCTTCCGCACCACCGGACCACTGACGCCGTAGTCCGCGATGAAGCCCACGGGGAACATGGACACCCGCTGCGTCTGACGGATCTCGGAGAAGAGCCGCAGGTCGTAGGTGTTGTCGTCGTCCCCGAAGTAGAGGATGCCGTTCGTGAGGTTACGCTGCCGCAGCCACTGCAGGGCGGCCCGCCGATTGGCCACGCCCCTTGGGGCAGGCTTTGCCTTGCGGAAATTGCTGGGCATGGGACTCGCCAGATGAGTGTACGGGATGCCTAGGGGACAAAGGAGAGCGGATTAGAAGGATATATATAAATATTTAGATAGATCCATGGATAGCTACCGAATTTCTTGAGCATCATATCCATAAACATGTTGCATCCCTCCTGATCGTTGGCCACCAGCCAATGGAGGCGTGGCACATGGAGCAGGGTGTGGGCGAGGCGCGTAAGCTCCGGGATCTGCTCCCTGCGCGGATACGTGGGCGTCACAAAGTAAATGATGGGCAGGTGTCCGTACTGTTCCATCGGTTTGTCCTGCACGTACAGCCGTCGATCCAAGAGGCCCTCGCTGCAGAGGTGGAGGGTCTCATTGAGAGCACGAGAGAGGATGCCATCTGTGGGCAGAGATAAATCAGAATTTTCTATTATAAAAACATTTGCTAAAGAGTGACCCCTGATCCCACGTGACATTAGCTCTGGTTGTGTCTCGTGGTGGAATCACGTCACCATTCGACAGCCGCGTGCCTTTAGCGATTATATTCCTATTCTCATTCCCATGCTCAGTCAGAAATCGTAATTAGGAGGATTTACCTTCTAGGTAAATCCCCCCAAGAAAAGGGTTAATTATACGCACTGGAATAATGGAATCCTTATCCGGAGATCTTCCAATGCGTGAGGCGTCTCCATTATGGCACCCAAAAGCTCAGGAAATGCTCTTCCCCCAATCCCTGTCCATCCCATCAATCATCAAAGTGAAAACCGGAAAACACGCAACTGCTGTGCGTAGGAAGTTCTGGATCGGAATGGGGATACTCCCGATATAACGATATAGTTCCCCAGATAACAAAAGGGCCAGTCGGATAATGAACCTCCCCTCCTCCTTCCATAATATAATACTCAGACTCCCCCCACTAATAAGTTATTAAATATTGACTCCACAAATGTGTACAGGTCCCGCCAAAGGGGGATGATGAATATTCACGTGAAATACTCGAATAATGGAGCATTCGCTCGGCCGTTTGTTTATTTGCCGATATCACAGGGGCAGCAATCATCATCGTTAAAATTTTGTTGGTGGGTCTGTCCCCGCCCCCACCTCGCCCCGTCACATGCGTCTCTGTTTACTGTTTGCACTTCCCTCTGCCCCAATCCAATCCCCCAGCGTCGGCTGATAAACCAACCACTTGACAATGGAGGGGGACGCACACTACAATAACAATAGTAATAGTAATGTGGAGAAACCTCCGGGCACGTACCACATTTTAATGATTAATTGGTGCCATAGAGGAGTACGAATGCGAATATGAATCTGAATGCTAGTGAATCGAAACGCAGACGGTAGACCGGGAGTCTCGATTGGGCGGCGATTTGGGTATTGATTGCTGAACCGCCTGCTGATTAGGAATCTCATTCTGAATTCCCCATTCCCCGAGCACCTCACGGTCCCCTCACTGAATTGAATCATAATGCATGGCCTTTATCTATATATTGGTTTGTCACCCGCCCTGTGGGACTTTTCCCGTATTCAATAACGATCCAACCGCAAAAAGTAGATCAATCCTTAGATATTCAACTATCCGCCCTGTCTGTGTTTCCCTCTTTGAAAAAGAAGAAATTTAAAATAAATGTCTCATCTGAGGAATGTTTTATTTTAATAATTTTTAAAATTTAATAGTAGTATTTCGTGTCGCATATAGCTTTATATCTAAGAATTCAGCAGGGAATCATTCCCATATCATTCATTAATGAATGCGTTTCTTTTGAGTTAATCTCTTGATTCATGAATGTGATTCATGGCACAAGTATTTCTGAATCTCAAGATATATTCTCCCGTTCACTGGGGAGGTAGCCTGAAAATATACACAGATAAACAGTGGAAAGGGCAGAGTGTGGCTGGGGCAAGGGGCACGCGGCAAACACTCGACACGCGCAATTGAATGATATGGGAATCGACTCTAAACGAAACGAAACAAACAGATAATCCCACAATAAAGAGGGGAACCCCTCCCCAGACACAGATTATGTAGGCAACAAGTGGAAAAACCAATCGCAAACACCCCTCCCTTATTAGCCCGCCTCTTGAGTACTTTTAATTTGATGTTTTCCCATGAAAATTAAACGAATGCGAACTCTGGACTCATTTGAGGCGCTTCCACTCGAAAGGTGGAGGTCGAGGGGTGGAAGGTGAAAAGTGGAGAACAAGGAAAGGTGCACTCAAAGAATGGGTGTGCCATTTAGAAGAAAAAAAAACTGATTAATATATGGTTAGTTTTATGAGTCGTAGACGTGCTGTGGCCCTTCAGATATGAAAGTTTGCTTCCACGATTACGAATCCGTAAACCCCATCGGAGGGGAATTGTGTAACAAAAAGTGTGGCCAATAGAGGGTGTCGGACACTTAAGTGTAGATTTCTTTTGCCAAGGAAATCAATCGATAGTTGCCCTGTTTTACCATGCCCCGGAATGGACATGCCCATGCACCCCATGGTATTCCAGAAACAGTGCGAAATTGGTTAATAAATTACACATAGCCGACAGCCAAGAGAAGGCCAAACAGAAGGTATCTAGGTAGCTAGCAGACTAATGGAATACCCTACCCTCTGCGGCATGGGAAATTATTGAAGGATTACTATTTCTATTGGATATAACCAATGTGTTTGGGATCCCTTCCATGGATCTATAGATGAACTATTGTCACATTCTCCACCCATAAATGGATATACCCTGCACCATTTTGATGAGGGCGTATGAAGTGAAAAGCCCCAGTTAGACGGAAAATGTAACCTTGCTCACGGCGCTGCTTTCGCGGCGTGCAATAAAAAAACGAAGGCCAAAGAAGGCACAGAAAAGGGGGAGTAGTGTGGTGGCTGTCAATGGAGTGTATTGAGAGAGTGTCTCGGTCGCATGTACCCGTTGCAAGACAATGCTATTAAATTAGACCAATTATCGCGTGGAGGGGGGATAAATAATATAACAAAATCTAACAACAACAACAACAGCTGCTAAAGCAACAACAACATGAAACTGAAACCAGACTGAAAGTGACAGCCGAAGCGACAGAAACAGCAAACAGTAAACAGCGAAGCGAAGTGGATCGACCAGTTACATGCGATAATAACCGCGGCCAATTACTCATCAAGCGTCGGGGTGGAAAAGAAGAAGTGTCTGTCAGAGTGCCCCATTTGGGGATGGGATTTCATTGGAGAGTTGCCTTAACGGGTAATTGCTGGTGCCAGACAAAACCCATATGCCCGGCCCTCGTGTAGGGTATCAGTCAGTTTCATTCGTTGGCCAAAAGCCAAAAAATGCTGAAAAACAGAAAGTGAAAGTGGGGTGTCTCTATCTCTCGTAAATCACTTTCCAGTCCGTCGTGAGAATGCATTTACCTAGAGACGATGGGAGGTGCAACATGCAACATCTAGAGTGGTAGAAGGAGAGGAAGGGAAGGAAGGACTCACTCACATGTTCTATGTGGATTGCGGATTCTTGAATCTTTTCGATTTCGTGTCATTTCGATCTGGAGAAGGTTTTGAGCATCGTCTACGGGCATTGTCTTGCGTTGGCTGGCTATCACCCGGAAGCGGGATAGGGCGCGGGATTGGGAGCGCTTACCTAGGCTGTGCATTCCATCATCGGAGTCATCGGAGGCGCCCCCGCCACCGCCCAGTCCCAGGGCGAGTCGCGTGTCCACTCCGAGGGTGAAGTAGCAGAAGGCGATGAGGAAGAGCAGGGCCCCCAAGAGGGGCAGCAGGCAACGGCGCCTGCCACCCACAACACCACTGGAACCGCGAAGGTGGGCCATGGGCGAATGGGGATGGGCTTTTAGGAACGGTATAGAGGGTGCGGCACCCTTGGGGCGCCGCTGGTGTCGCTTATTTTGCTGCTGCTGTTGATGCCTTTCGATGTCCTCCTCCTCGTCGTCGTCGCTCGATGTTTGTGGCTGGTCGAGTGGCGCGTAATAGGCACTTGGCATTATGCGGCACTGGGCACGGTTCTCCTAGGGTGGGACTCAGATTCAAGCGTCAGCTGCTGCAGATTTGTGGTTGCTGCTGCATCCCCGGACGACACCACGACGACTATGATGCTGAGAGCGACGCCGGCAGCGCGGGGCTGCGTTTGCCATTTGTGGGGTTGAGGGGAGGACTAGAAGCCTCGTCTGGCCGTCCTCCTCCCTCTCTCCTCTCCTCTGTTATACAATTTCGAGCACAGAACGAAAGAAAGACCCGAAATTATGCAAATTCCAAGCACTTTTGGCTGCCGCTCTCTTTTTTCTCAGTTATTGTTATTTCTGTTTCTGTTTTTGTGGCCACACACGCGTGGGGCGGAAGAGGCAAGGGAGAGGTCTATAAAAAACCAAATCCAAATACTCGCCAGAGCCGCGGAATTGGACGAACGAACACGCGAAGACGCTGCCCGCTAGGTTTGACAAAAATCGGAATAATCGGAATAAACTTTTGCACCGCCTGCTGACTCGCTCTCTCCATTGTTGCTTTTTACTTTTGTTGTTTTTCTCTCAAATGCTTAAATGTCAAGGTATAACTATGTTAGGTGCGGCAAGTGCATCGTGTGACATCTAATAGGAAATTCTAGGAGCGTACGGCCTCACCTCATATTAATGAATCTATTTTTCATGAGAATTCTTCAAAGAGTTTAGTTTAGTTTATTTCATATTATATATTCCTTACGCTACAGTATTGCTACTCTACGTTAATACGTTAGTCACAAAGAGTGCCTCACCTTATAATTGCTTATATTTTGGCTTCTCCACCACCACCATCACCGACAGCTGGCACAGGGTTGCATTGGATAGTAGCATACACTTATTTTGGGTTCAAGTCTTGGCTAATTTTCAAATGTGAAATTTAACGTAAAACAGGGAAAGTATTTTTAAAAAAGAAATGAATTATGATGATCCTTGGCATTACAAGGATCAGAAACAATGACAAAACAATGAATCTTTATTCCATACGCGTTCCCGTAAGATACATTTGATTTTGTATGGGAAAAATTTCAGCAACATGCTGCCACACCACGAAAATAAGGGGAAGTCTCCACAAAAACACTCTCTTCTCCACTGAAAAGAGAGCAAATTTTGCAAACTCTCCACTGAAAAGAGAGCAAATTTTGAAAACTCTCCACGAATTGAGAGCGAAAAAGGCTAGCATGCTAGCGCAAGGTATAACTATATTAGGTGGGCACAGGGTTGCATTGGATAGTAGCATATACTTATTTTGGGTTCAAGTCTTGGCTAATTTTCAAATTTGAAATCTAACGTAAAACAGGGAAAGTATTTTTAAAAAACAAAATGGATTAAGATATCCACCTATCCACCATAATCCCAAGGATCAGAATTATAATTTATACCTTTAAACAATAGTCACAGATGGGTAGCCTGGGGAAAAAAAAGTAAAACCATTCGTAGATTTCACCCCCGATCCGTATCTTATCTAATCTGAATTTTAATCGCAGCAATTGTCTGGATGATTACGAAGCTCTATGGGCCTTTTACTGATATTTGACTTGGCTACCATTTCGCAATATTCGGAATTTCAAGAGTGTGGATTCCATCCCCCGTAAGCCCTTGGCCACGCCACTTGCCACCACCCAATGTATGCAATGAATGAATGTAAATCAATCTTTTACAAACGGATAGAACGGGTGTTACATTTATTTCTTATACAGTTTTTTACGCTTGTGGGGAGTACAAATGTCTACAATTCGTTTTGTGTGTGTTTTTTGATTGTTAATTAAGCAAATATTTAAACGATTAAAAGCCACTTGTATCTCACTTTATTGTTGCTGCTGCAAGTGCCTCCGCCTCCCTTCCTTTCAGGAGCTGCACTGCAGTTCTCTTCAATTTTTTTGTTTACTTGGGGAAATCGATTGGCGGACAACAAACAACAATCCGGATCCTGATCCTCCTGAGCTGCACTTATGGAATAATTAACTAAATGTTATGTAGAACTCGTTGAGGTGTCGTAGAGGAATGGGATCCCCATTCCCAGCCTAGATGTTGGCCTTGATGACATCCTCCAGCCTCTGGGCATTGGCGCCAGCGAACTCCTCCACCTTGCTGCTGTTCTTGATGAACACAAACGTGGGCATGCTGCAGATGTTGTAGTCCATGGCAATATCCTCAGATTCATCCACATCGACCTGCATATAGAGAGGGAGATGTGTGATTAAGTGATTGAGACGAGATGCACTCTAGAGGGCATTCTCACCTTGAGGATGACAATGTTGTCGGCGTACTGCGTGGCCAGCTCAGCCAGCTTGGGGGCGATCATCTTGCAGGGGCCGCACCAGGTGGCATAGAAGTCCAGGACCACCAGCTTGCTTCCTGCCTGCTTCAGCTGGGCATCAAGGTCAGCCTTAGGGAGAGAGACGAGAGGGGTTACAGAATACAGAATAGTTATCAAGTGTAGATTTTCCATCCCCGATTGACCCACTTTTCGCTGTCTGTCTGCCATACTACCACTGTAGTATAGCACACCCTCTGCTTATCGCTGACATGTGCGCGATAAGGCCAGTATTTTGTAGTTTTCTATTCTGCCACAAAGTGTTGCCTGGCAACCCCACAAACCCCATTTCCCTTCAATCCCTTTCCCCTGCCTTTTCTGTAGGTGCTAATCAGATGTTAATGGGGTTCTGGCACTACAATAATTGTGTGTTCGATTCGATTCGATCTGTATCCCATGGCATACATTTTGCCCATTCGATTGAATGTTTTCTGGCCATGTCGGAATTTCGGACCGAAATCAATATACTACCAGAATTGTTTCTGGATTATATTTTTACCTATAAATTCCATTTTGATACTCGTATGCGGCGCATGCTACACCCCTCCAGCGACACGAACATATTAGAGTGAAATGAAAGGCTGCGTTGTGTGCTGTGTGCTGTTTGTTGTGTTTTGTGTGTTCTGGGTGCCCCGCCTCTGTCACGTTTTCCGCGGAGGTGACCTCTAATTAATTTGCGGGTATGCGCGATGGTAATCGCAAATGGAGGAGTCGAAGGAACAGCTCTAATGGAATTACTGGCATGTGGCATGTGGCAATGCGGCAGGTGGGGAATGACTCCCCCGGGGTGGGAATGGGAATCCGGATCCGGTTTTCGTTGATGAATTAACATAAACGGAACAAGTTCTGGGAAACGCATTTAAAGATGACTAACACATCTAAAGGTGATCTATCGATGATTCATTCCATGATTAAATCACTTTGCAAATTAATTAAATTTCAAAATTACTTAGAGGAACATTCTGGTTGATCCACCAAGTGGTTTCCTCTGATAACCAGGCATATATTTTCTTGCGGTTTTCGGTGTATGTATATAAATATAGACCCCAAATGGAACAAATGGAATTTTTATTAGGTCGCTTGTTTAGTGCATTAAATGCTAAGTGGAGGAAATCCACAATACTCTAGAGAACACGAAATATTCACTCTCTGACGCAATATTTAGTATTTTGATACTTGTACGACTGGGCAGGGTAAGGGGATTGGGAATGAGAATGAGAATTTTAGCAGGGCAATCATTGAACCGGTTTCCACCCCTTTCCGAGGGGACGCCCGACGCCCGACGCTCTCACTCTCCCTCTCTGTCTCTAAATGGCGCGTAAAAACAGTACACACTGTACCCTCCACACGAGTACGACGATTACAAGTATTCGTAACCCCGAGACCCGATAGCGATTTATAGCTAACTCATGCTCTGAATACACTCGCACATATTCATTTCACATTCGTGGACTATATCTATGGAAGAGATTACTCAATAATAATTCCGAATGAACAAAAAATTCCACTATTTTGTATGCTCTTGTCTCTGCTGTGTTGTTCCCATCCCACGACATTTGGACAAACGGAATGGTCATCTTTGAGAGATGATATCATACCCTTCCTTACACTACTCTCTTCTCTCTGTTTTCTATGCTATTCTCATACTGGTTTTTGGCTTTCTTTCTCGAATGTTTTCGCTGCTGTTGTGTTTTATCTTCCCCCTGACATTCGTTGGGGCCGCCAGAGCGACAACAACACTACATGAGGGCCACCGCCGCTGCCCTCGCCCCCCTCTATTCGTCGTAAGCGAACGTATGGCAAAAGCGTGGAGATTGGAGAACGAAATAAAAAAAGAGGAATTTCAATTCCATTTCCATTTGCACTGCTCTTTCTATGCCACCGATTGGATGAGCGGGTTAAAGGTTACTTATTGGGGATATTCCACACTTGGAGCCGGAATTCGGCTCGACACAATGATTATTCACATTCATTCACGGATGATTCACACTCACCTTGTCTTTCACTTGGTAAACCATTATGTTGCTTGGGAGGTTGGTGCTTGTGTAGCGGGGGAACCGGCGGTAGAAAATGTACAAAAGTTACTTAATTATCAGCTCTTCGCCACGACGCAAGCTCGTTTCGCTCGACCGCGAATGTATACCGAAATATACCTTTACATTTTCATGGTATACCGTAAATATACCAAGCAACGAGAGCTTTCATGGCGATGCCAGAAAATAATGTAATTGCTAACATATGCTTTTGATGTTATTATTTCGTCTGTTGTTGCGCCTGAACAGCTGTTAAAATGCTGTTAGCTGGCGCCATTACTACCATAGCGGACATTTCTGGAACAACAGAGGGCGCTGCTTGCAACGGTTATTCAAACGGCTTGAAAATCAACACATTTTTCATAATTTATTTTAAAAGAAAGCAATTCGTTAACACTACAAATACGTTTCGGAAATTAAGATTTCGCCAATATTTACTATCACTAAACTAAACGCTACTAACTAGTGAGTGATTCCTCCTACCCCGCTCCTCTCCTTAAGTACTCAGCTATCAATGTGCCGCATGGGTGGCAGATGCTGCCGCTGGGTGGTGCAAATGGTGATGATGATGGTGATGGTATGTGAGCGTGGGCGGTGGGGGAGGTGGCGGGGGCGCCACTCCCATCGAGGGTTGTGTGATCTGTGCCATCTGCTGTTCGTACGAGGAATAATGATCGTAGTAGGATCCGTACCCTGAGGCGCTGCCAGGATCGAGATTCGATGCAGCAGAGGCGGAGGCAGAGGTGGACACGGAGGAGGGCGGCCCTGTGGTTCCCGTATCGAAGTAGCTGACTCCGTTGTATCCGTTGGCGCTCTCGTAAAAGTGTCCTGCGGAGGAAACGGCCCCGGGGAACTGCTGTTGGTGTGGATGGGCGTGGGGGTGGTGCTGCTGCAGATCGTAGTCCTGGACTAGTCCCTTCGACTCCCGATGGCTGCTGTAGTAATAGTCGTAGTTCTCCTCCGCATACGCCAGCGGCTGCGTCTCCACGGTAGCATTATATTTGACGGTTGGATGCCCCTGCCCCGGGCCCTCCCCCTTGCAGATGCCAGCCACCTCCTCATGGATTCCTCCCCCCAGGTGCTGCTTGATCTGCGAGTAGTTGATGAACTCGGGCTCTGGCGTCGCCAACTGGGGACTCGGCTCGTACGGGATGCACCCTGTGGCACCCTGGTGGCACATGGCGTTGCTGTAGCTGCTGCTGCCGCCGCTGGAGGATTGCTGTTGCTGCTGCTGATAGGAGGCGGCCGCCAGATCAGAGATGCAGGCGTACGGGAGACCCGGGGACTTGCTGGGGGCCGTGGCAGCCGCCGTTGTGGCATGGTAGATGGTGGGATAGTTGTATGTGATGTGCTGGTGGTTCACCGTGAACACATTCGCGGAGCTCTCGCAAGGATTCGTCGTGGATTCCGCCCCATTCAGCGGCCATCCTCCCGATACTCCGTTGCTCGCATAGCTGGAGGATTGGCCGCCCTCCAGGTAGGTGTGGCAGGTGCAGTGGCTGTAAGTGGTGTGACACTTGCCACAGCCAGTGAACGGATAAATGTCCAAAGCGGAGGCGGCAGAGTGGCTCAAGGGATTGCTGGCTGCCACAGGACGATGCCCCTTGCTGCCCTTTCCCATGAGATTCTGCTGCAAGATACACTCTTGGGGTTAAGATATCCATCAATTGGAGGGGACTGCCACTCACCTGCTGCTGCTTCACTTGCTTCACCAATCCCGCAATGACGGACTTCTTCGTGCTCGTGGCCCCCACAGAGGATTTCCCTCCCAGTGGAATCCTCCCAAAGGCTCGCTTCGAGACACTCGAGTTCTTTGGATCTGGACGCAGATGATCGTGGACTCCTTTGGCCTGGAAGAAGATGGCATTCCCCGAGTGGCGCCAGAAGTGGGTCACGGGGTAGCCGCAATGGCCGCGGCAGGGTTTGATCTCCAGCCGCCCGCCCCTGCAGCTCTTGTTGGGGCACTGCTTGCCCTCCTGCTTCCGTCGCGCCTTGTCGCAGATCGCAGGACGCAGGTTGATCCTCGTTCCGTTGGGCAGGACGCAGTGCTGGGAGCAGACGAGGACCCCCAAGCAGCTCTTCTTGAGGATATTCACGTTGTGGTTGTTGGTGTTGCGCATCGCCCAGCCGGAGATGTGCTTCTTGGCCTCCTCGTTGTGCACCGCGTAGACGTGCCGCACATGCCCGTCGCTCCACTCGCTGAACTCGTCAAACTCCATGTCTGCCACATGAGGCACAATGGCATCATTGATGTCCCAGTCCCGCTTTGTCTTGACCGTCATTCCGGCAGAGAGGAGATTCTGTTGTTGCTGCTGCTGCTGTTGTGGGGTATTGTGTGGGTTCTCTTGCTGCTGCTGATTGCTGAGGAGTTGCTGCGACTTGAAGCTGTAGCCATTTCTGTGGAGGGAAGATCTACTTGGATGAGTAATCCCTGGGACTCCAATGCTCTACTTTGATCCCCCACTCTGGATGGGATGTTCCCTTTTTCTTTTAGTGCCTCGTTTAAGGAATTTCCATCTTAATTGCATCCTAAACTGTGAAGCTCACTCTGGGAGCTCGCTCAGTCTGTCAATCAAATGAAATGCCTGCTCTGCCCTGCTGCATTTACGATGCATAAATCTACCGTTGCCTCAGCCACAGCCTCAGCCTCAGACCCAGCTCCGTTCTTTGGCTCTTGTAATCCAATCCGAATGCTTGGAATCGTAATTTGAGCGCCAGTTTGGAGCGCAGAGCGCCGTCGGCTGAGTCAGGCACGAGACTCGGAGATTGAGAGTTGATCGACTTGATTGAAGGGGGGCATCAGAGGCAGAGACACGCCGTGTGTGGGAGTGGAAGGGAGTGTGTGGCAGTGTGGACGATCGTTTAGTGCGGCTCGCGGTCTGCAATTAGCCATAAATTTGTTTCGATTCAGGCCCCAGCCTCTCGCTCCCTCGAGCATTTTTGTTTTTATGTGTACTTGGAAGTCAGCAGGTTGCTCGAATGAGAACGCTCGCAGCTCGCAGCTTGCGGCTTGCGGCTCTCGACTCTTGGCTAAGACTCTGCTAATAACTCTGGCCCTAACACTGATTCTGATTCTTATTCCGTGTGCCTGGGGTCGTGTCGTCTCAATCACTTGGTGGTCCCCCCTCTGATTTCGTGTTGAACCTGTTGTTCTGTGCGTCGTGTGGCAAGTCGCTTGACTCGCTTGCCTCGCTTGTGTGTCGGCTATCGGTGTTCTTAGCGCTTTGTTTTGGGCCCGTAAATTGACTGCCTGACACTTGGTGTCTCTTGGGAGGAGGAGGGAGGGAACGCTCGTTAGTCGCTCGCTTATCTCAGATGTTGATTGCATCTGACTTCGTTCTGGTTGCCGTTCGTTCCCTTGGGTTCCCTTTGGGAATCTCATAATAAGTTTGTCACCTAGAAAATATGTCTCTATATTCCACTATATTCGAGATGTTGTTGTGTCCCTTTCACTGGCCCTGCCCCAGCACCGACCTATTGCTATGCGCCCCCGCCTATTGGGGGATTTGTGTGTGGTCTCCCTCCCGCGGCGGCATCTCTATGGATCGGTCGCGATTGGAGTGCCACATTAACTAAGTTGTGGTGCACATGCCCCCCATGCCACAGGCCACATGCTACAGCCAGCGTGTGATAATAAAGCGTTGGAAATCATTTACATTTTCTGCTCCCCCTGCTCATTGATCGTTTGATTTGTGGCACATTCTTTGGAGGTGTGGAACAGAGATGCCTCATGGGGGAGCGGAGCTTGTATTTGGAGATGGGATGGATGTGTGTCAACAGATTGCGAATTGGAAGTTCGATTTGGGCTACTTTACAGATATTAATACAGCGAGCTGAAACACAGAAAACTTGGGCAGAATCTCCCAGAAGATGAGCAGCAGCTTCTTTATTGTGTGATCCTGCACGGGCAGCACGAACCGGATGATGGTCATGATCAGGTTCGTATCCCCCTTTTCCAATTCTTGTTTAAGCCGCATCTCGAGAGCATACTTGCACGAAAGCATACTTGCACGAGAGCATGATTGAACGAAAGCATAATTGCACGAGACCATACCCGCACGGGGCCATGATTGCACGAAAGCACACTTGCACGAAAGCATACTTGCACGAAAGCATGATTGAACGAAAGCATACTCGCACAGGACCATGATTGAACGAAAGCATACTTGCACGAAAGCATACTTGCACGAGAGCATACTTGCACGAGACCATACTTGCTCGGGACCATGATTGCACGAAAGCACACTTGCACGAAAGCACGTGTCGTGTGACGGAGCAGAGGCTCGATAGCAGTATCAAACCAGCACGGAACTGAGTTCATTGAGGACGGATTTGGATTTGAGTTTAAATTTAATCTGATCTCTGCCTGGGAAACTATTTCTTGACCAAGTTGGTATGTACTTTGATTTACGATCGCTCCTGGTGGGAGTAACTGTAGATTTGGGCCGCAGCTAGATAAGCATGCGCCTGCCTTGCGGTCGCACAACACCCAACTCCACCGTGTGGTTCACCCCCCAAAAGAAGGGGCCCCCCCCCCCAAAAAAACCCCACCCCCAAAAAGAGAAAAAAGGGTCATCAAGGTCGGACTCCCAAGGGCCAAGGGTCCACTCCACTCATGATATCCTGAACCCCGGTCCTAGCTCCATCTCCAGCTCCGCCTGGCGCTAAATTTGGCAATTGACATTTGGACGCCGGTCGTCGGCTGACGTAGGTGTCATGTTCTGTGCAGTTCCCCCCTCTCCAAATCGCTGTAATTGCCTCAAATTTACTTGTACTCTCTCATTTATTCAGTATACACTTTACTTTGGGGATAATTCATCCGGAAGATAACTCTCTCCCTACTCGACAAATATCGGATTCATTCTCTCTGCTTCACTTACATTACAACCATGTTCCAAGCGAATCCAAATGTGTGATCAGCTGCTGTAATCCCAGTGCGGCACAGATACTTTTGATTGTGGAATGTATCCAGTGGATACCACTAATGGAAGCACTCGAAAGACAGTTCTTTTTGTATCTTTTTCACTTCACAACTGCCACAGCACTCGATGATCATTGTAATCCAATTAGAAGAGGGAGAACGTAAAAAGATGCTCAGGAAGTATCTCACGGGTAGCGCGCTTTTAGCCGTCGCTAATTTCACGAATTGCAGCACACGCGACGTGCTGAACAAGGGGAGCTAAGCTAACGGATGCTAACGGACGACCTTTCACTGTATGAGCAACCTGTGAGAGGAGCGAGCGCTTTGTACTCTGTGTACCGTGTTTGTGCAGCGGCAGTAGTATCTGACAGATACTCCTACGCGTGCAAGAGACAAAAACAAAAGCAGCGTTACGGCACAGCAGCGGCAGCAGCAGACAAAAGCAAACTTCAGCGCTAACAGATGCACGGAGACACAGAAACACAGAGAGCCACGGAGTGCGAGCGATGCCAAGTTTTGTCAACAAAGGAATGGATACGAGATGCGCCGCGAGTAGTATGGCTCTTTCTCTGTGTGGCACTGCATGGCACTGGGCTCTGTGTCTGGCTCCACCTACAAAAACCAACAAAAAAGCAAGTGGCAAGGGGTTGGTTGAGGAGTGGGGGGGGGGACAGATGGATGGTTGGAAAGACGGAACCACCCGCATAATTTGGCGAAAACTCCACACTCCACACACACAAACAGACACACACAGATAGCCGAGAGCCGACGTCGGCGCATAATCAACGGCCACGAACAGCCAACAGGGCGAAGAGGAGCCGCAGCTGCCCAGAGTGCTGAAATGTATCCGTCAGATACAGATACACAGAGCTCCCTTCCAGACAGAGACTTTTTCCAGGCAGCAGCGACAATTCCTTAATTCTGATTGGTCGGATAAACGCACACGCAGATACACTGCATCTCTCTCTCTCTCTCTCTCTCACTCTCATTCTCTTTGGAGTATTTCCTCTTTTCACTGTGTTTGTGTCTGTGTATATTAGAGAGTTTTTAAAGTTCTGTTCTTTGGTGAGAGGGAAGGATGAAGAGGGGCTTGCATACATGTGTATGAATATGTGCGAGTGTGTGTGTGCAACATCCGATAAGAATCACAGAAATTTAATTACTTATTATGCCGCTTATCAGGCGCCCATTGTTCCGCCGTCGAAGGATGGATATGCCCCCCCAAGCAACCGACAGGCTGAGCAATCAAGTGAATGGAGGGGGGGATATTCCTATTCCTGATTTTATCAGCTCTGAAATGTTTTGGTAAATCATTCTTATTTTAATGATTTATGATTCCCCATGAAGTGATAGGAAATACACGTAATGGATAATGGATACCAAATGAAGAATATATCAAAGTACTCTGATATTTTCAATAAACTTAATTTGGGAAAATGCACAGTTCATAAACTGTACTCTATTTGTATAACTCTCATAAACGAATTGGAATGAAATTTCTGGAATAAATTCTGTTTATTCCACTTTTCCCTTGATCTCTCGCAGGGCACTTCCATTATGGATGTATGTGGCTTTAAGCCTAGCTAAGAGTGGTAACAATATCATGGCCAGAGAGATCAGCCAAAGGGCAAAAGAGTGTGGGCATGGGGGGGGGTGTGACGCACTTCTGGGGGCTAATGCTCTGCCGTGTCGTTGCGTCGTCTCGTTGTTTTCACCTGATCGCATCGCCCGCATTCGCCATTTGGGGCACCGTTAAAATACAGGCAACAAAAATAAAAACACACAATTTATGCGTCCACTTGGTGGTACACACAAACATACACACACACACACGCACTCACACAGATACACCACAGATACAATGGGAACAATTAACCAACGGCATAAGCAGAAGCCGTGTCATCAGAGGAGTATCAGAGGAGGAGGAAATGAAAGAAAAGAAAAGAAATGGAGGAGCCGAGCCGCCAATAGGCAGGCGGCGTTCAAGTGAAAAGTGGAAATGGAAAAGGCTGTTGACAGGAAATGCAAAGCGGTACAGTGGCAGAGGGCCAGAGGGCCAGTGGCAACTGTTGCTGCTGCTTTCTGCTGCTGCTCATCGACTGTGACCCGTAATTAAAATGTGTGGCAAAAGGAGATGGAGTGGGAGGCCTGAACGCACTGAAAGATACGGGATTGGGGCCCTCAAGAGAGTGAGAGAGAGAGTGAGAGGAGTACATACCGCGTGTAACTGCGCGCGGAAATGGCTGAAATGAATGGCTGCTGCTGGCCATTTGCTTGCCCCCTGTGTTACCATTCCCCTCCATCTATCTACCTCTGTGTCTGCCGTTTGTTGTCGCTTTAACGCTCCTCCAAACAGCAATACAGCAAATGATACGGGTGACAAATACATATTTCAACAACATCGCATCGGTGGAGAGGAGAGACAGAGAAAGAGAGGGAGAGAAATGATAGAGAAATATTCACAATTTTACAGCTGAAATGTGCTCGAATGGGACTGGAGGTATCTCCACGGTTCACCTGGGGGTTCATGGTTCATGGTGCAGCTGCAACACTCCCTTGGGTTGGGGGGTTTTTGCAATTAATTGCTCAAAATTATTTTATAATCATTGCGTAGTTTAATGTAGGTAAAGAGCCACAGAGAGAGCCCCCCACATCGATAGATACATTCGTAGACCTCCGAGAAGTAGTCCCGCTGGGATCTGCCTAATGAGCGCGTGCCCCCTGTTCCCCTCCCCAAAAGAAGGGCCTGTCATTGGGGCACCAAAAGTGTTTTGGCTTTTGGCGCATGAGATTAATCATCGATCTGTAAAAATCAATAAAAATTGGAATTGGTGTACTTTGAAATGGATTTCGAAGAGCTTTCGACCTCAAAAATATGTGAATAATTAATTTGCTTAGAGGCTACACTGAGAGAAAAGCGGGCCCCTATGGCAGTGCCAAAGATATTCGTTCTTTCTGCCGATCTGTGGCTTAAGCTCGGTACCTCTAACTCTGGCTGGGAGTGTGATATGTGGCACCCGGCACCCAAAGATAGAGACCCAAAAAGGCACTTCTTTCCATTTACGCAATTAATTGGTCGTCACGCTGGGAGGTCCACTAATAGATCCACGAAAACCACAAACCCAAACCCCAAAGCCAAAGCAGAGCTCTCTAGGGCTTCATGGATTAACATTTTGTCTATTGACTGATTGAATGATTGATACTCCACAGCAAACACATTCATCGAGCATCGAGCATCGGGCATCACCCACAAGAAAAAAACATGAAATTTTGACAAATGTCTTTCGATGGAGGATAGAGTGGAGGGAGAGAGTCGGTCGGTTTCCCCTCCTTATGCTAATGGCTCTCGGAGGGAACCCACTCTTAGGCGGAGCCCCCGTTCTTCTTGTAGTTCTTCTCATAAATGAGTTCGATTAGAACCCAATTACAAGGGTGGAATGCTCTGATGGCCCCACTAGCCCCAAAGCCAAAAGCCATTCTCCCTCGTTTCCCGGTTCCCGCGGGGGGAATTACTTTTGATCATAAAATTATGACTCATAAATTTAATTTTATGACTTCTTTGGGACCAAAAACAAAACATTCTCTAACCAAAAAAGAAGAACTCCTTACTCGGAAAAGAAGACTGGACTGGGGACCCAGAAGATATGATATGTAATGAAGCCGCAGAAGGTGCCAAAATTATCTGCCACATGGACTGTAATTTTCGCACCGAAGGTGCTTAAAGACCCTGCCATTTCTTCATCACTCAAATTGGCCGAAATCGCATCGTGGCATCGTTGCATCGTTGTATCGTTGTATCGTGGCCCTGTCGCTGTGGTGGCTGCCACACTCTTTAATCAGCTAAATGGACTGTTGAAAATTCGGCAATTGCCAGCGTAATCACCTTCTGGGGGCAAGTGGCAGTGGCAGTGGCTGTGGCTGGCAGCTCCTGGAGCCACGCGTCCGTCCATCCTTCCATTCTTCCTTCTTTCGATTGTTTGCAGAATGAGAGCCACTCAGAGACACCACAGACTCAATTTGGGGATGGATATGGGGGTGTGGCAGATGGGAGGTGCCCTCAATCGATGGCCCTAATGTTCCTTGGTTTCATGAGCAGTTTGATTGGGGACAAGGAACTCCAGAGACAGTAGAGAGACCCCCATACTCGTACTCGTAAATGGGAGAATCGATACTCAATCGAAGGCAGGTTGCAACGATCGAATCTCCAGTTGCAGTTAGACGATGCTTCGGGTGCCATCTGTTGGCCTTCTCTTGGGCGGTTCCTTCTATGGATATGTCCTTGTCCTTTCTCAATTAATTAATTCAACAAGCCCATGCTCCTGTGTTCCAGAAATCACGATAAGATACGGAGAATGGAAACTATCTTAAAGATAAACCAGAATTGAGAATTCAGAAACTGGCAACTGGAAACTGGATTTCGGATTTCATTTTCATCCGCGATTGGCACTTTCAATTGTCGTCTGAATCGTCGAAATCTGTTGGTCACAGATCCCCCATCCCGCATGTGACAGGCAGGCAGGCAGACAGGCAGGCAGGGCACAATCAAGAGTCAATCCAAGATCCAGTGGCATGCACGACTGGACCTGCCTCAAGAGCGTGGCAGAGGGCCAGCAGACGCCAATAAGTGAATGGTTCGAATAACCGTTTAAAGTTAATTACGATTACGATTATGATTATGTTTGCTCATGAGAGCTTAACTTATCAGCCGCCCATCAAAACGGAGGGGATTACAGATCGACAGATCTAGAGAGGAATCGGAGGGGGAAGCAGAGAGAGTGGGATCTGAAAGGAATATCAATGAGCAGAGGAGGCGAAGGGAAACATGAGAACAGGTGCTAAAGAGAACAGAGTTAAGAACCAAAGTAAATAATAACAACAATTAATTTAGTTTGAACAAAATTATGGGAATGGGAATGCAATGCACGGTGTGAGGGATGGGGGGATACTATGGATGCAATGGATGCAGGGCACGTAGACGGCACGGGTTGCAAGCAGACCACGAAGCAGAGGAAGTGGCAAGCAGCAGACGAAAGACTTCAGACTGCAGACTGCGGCAAGCCGCCAACCCAACAGCTGCAACAGCCAGCCTCTCCTTTGGACACAAGTTATGCTGGTGGACGGCCTACTGGCTCCTTTTGCTGTGGCTGCCATGCAGCCACTGCTGCGGCATGAGGCATGAGCCTAGACGACACTTGGGCACTCGCAAAGAAGGCAAGATTTACATGCCTGGTGCATGCCCCGGGCCACGGCTAGCACGTGCCTGGCATTCAATGCGGAGACTCGCGTTCAGGAAAGGTGCAAACATCGGAAATAACCGAAAAACTCCCACGTTCATTTATTCGGTGATAGGAAGCCTCCTTCCCCCCACTCGAGATTGATAGATTGATGTATTGATGCTACAAGCCACTCCCTCCCTTCCTCCTCCCTCCCCTCATATGATCAATCACTTTGCTCTTCCCTGAAGAGATCTGCTGTTCGGTCTTCTGTCTATGATTCCCGCCCTATGGAAACAGTCCAAACAAAGCCACTGACAATTGCCTTTGACAGTTTTTACCGTAGTATCTTTCGGCTGCTGTGCCCCTCTATTTTTTTTTTGCATATGCTGATTCCTGATTCCGAGGGAAGTGGAGAGGAGAGTGATTGATATTTCGGAACAGACAAGGCAAGCAGCTGTTTTGGCAGCAGGTCGAGAGTTCTGGCCTAATGGATATTTAAAGTGCCATTCGAGGAGGAGAAGTGTAAGCCAAGAAGGGAGCCACCAGGAGGGAAACAGATTTTACATCAATTGAATGGAAATCATTCTCTCTCCATATACCATCCATAAATGCAAAAAAATTATCCATCTTTATCCTCCGATTCCCGCATAAGCAGCGTATGCATCTTTTTGTCGCGTGCCCAAAAGGTGGCTGCATGCCCCATCAAATCCACACAAAAACCACTCGAAACAACAAACCCACTAATTAACAACAGAATCGCGGGCGAACTATCATCGAAATTCAAATTAGCAAAGGACCCGAAAACAGGACGAAAGACCACGCAAATAATAGAAATAAAATTGGGAATAGAAAACCCGAAAAACCATGGCGAAAATTCTTATTTTTATGTGGAATTTGTACGCCCAAAAATCCTCAAAGGTAAACAACAGACCCGAAAAACAACAAAGAGATAGAGAGAGAGAGGTGGAAGGGGAAGGGGATGGAGGAGATGTGTGGCAGCCACCACGATATTGTGGGCCATGGGCCATAAATTACTCGAATCATTTGGCCCAGAACGACCTCGTCACCGGCCAAAGGGCCACCACTCGCATCGCATATGCAACTGGCGGGGGAAACAGGGAAACGGGTGGTCGCCTCTCCATTTTGAGGAGCGTAAACATTTCATTAGTCAAAGGACATTTATTCTGAGAGAGGGAGGGAGGGAGGGAAGGGAGGTATAGAATGAATAGCATTCGCATTCGATGCTAATTTTCGGGATATAAATTATCTTCCCTTGACAGTCGTGCAAAATATGGGATATGGATCGAAGGATAAGAGCCACCTCCAGAGATTGCTGTCAGTTCGTTTTCTATTTCGATTGCTATCAGTGTTTTCCAAGGATCGATCCAGGATGGGCCTCATCCTGGAAGACCACACAACAGCACTCGGATCGTATGGATTGGGTTCCTAATATGTCAACATTTGCCAACTAATTAAATCGTGAGTGAAAATTAAACGGCAAACATTTTTATAAGGAAAATCCCACAAAATCTCCACGGGGTCTCAAGAACAACTCAACTCTCTTTGACGTCGCCCTGAGGGCAAATCGGAGTCACACACACCACACACTTCACACCTTCTCGAACACCATGTACGTCGGACGTACACCACATCTCACACCTTGCCACAGACAAGATTCGCCCAGACAGAGACACAGACATATCCTGCGGCGCATGGCAAGGGATCGTCGTCGTGTCATTAGTGTCTCGAAGTCAATCGAAGGCGTCTCTTAGGCCTGCCACCTGCCGGGCCCGTGCCTCACGTTGATGCTACAATTGCCTGGTAATAGCAGGAGCCGACGACCACAGAATTACCAAACACACAGAGACAGAGTCTAGAAGATGTAGAAGATGTCCCCTGGCCACAGAGGAAGATGCAGCTCTTCAGCTGCAACTGAAAGTACGACTGCAATTGCATGCTAAAGAAGTCATCGCTTTTAAGTTGCAACTAAAGTTACTATACTATTGCTGAAGCTCTCACTGTAAGAACTTTAAGGGTTCTTCGAATTTAGTTCTTTTTAAGTTCTCCATCGATGGAATTCCCCTGAAAATATCGTTTGTATTGCAATAGAAGTTATGGCATACACTTTGAATTATTCAATTTATTGGTTTCCGTGTCAAGTAAATGGCTTCCCATCTGAGAAATATCTGCGGATATTTATGGGATAAGTTTGGAAAAAAAAAACGTTTTCACACTGGCAACTACCGTCCGGAGAGGGAGCAGAAGCAGAGGCGACCCTTTAGCTGAGGAAGAGAGGAGAATCGACCAATATAAATCCAATTAGCACGCCTTTGTCTGCTGCTCTCGCACGGAACTCACAGGGAAATAAAGGAAGGAATAAAAAGGGAAAGGAAAGGAACGGTACAGAGCGGAAGAAAGGAAACAAATGAAGAGGAAGGAGGCATGCACACAATGGAGGAACACTTAACACACTTCATCGGCTCTCAAGGGATCTCTCTCTCTGGTGATCTCTCTCTATCTCTGTCCGTCTGTCTCGTGGGTTTCTTCAGCCACCACTGTAGAGCGGATTGGAGTGGAGTGGAGGGGTGTGTGGTGAGGTAAGGTGGTGGAAAGTTTATGACTTGCGCACCTTTTGTGCTCGCCATTAAACGCTATTAGCGGGCATTTAAGGATCTTCTTTGTATCGTTGTATCTCTGTGTATCTGTATCTGGTGTTTCGTTTTTGATGGGAAGGTCACAAAGGTTAACCCCTCATAGAGTGAGAGGGGAGTGGGGAGGTGAGAGAAGGGAGCACCACACCTAATCTCTAATAAGCCGCAAGCACGCAAACAAGTTCTCACGTTGGGAAACAAAAAAACTGGAGCAAGAATCTGTCTGTGGCTCTGCCTCAGTCCGTGGCACTCCAGGAGTATCTCCTGCGTAGGCGCAGCAATGTGGCGTGCCCCTGCTACGGGAACTCGCGATTGTAGATGGGTGTGTGTGGGAAGTGGAAGGCAGAGACTGCTGCTGCTGCTGCCGCGTGTTATTTATGGATTGCTGCAAATGCTGAATGCAATTGGATATGGGAAGAGTTCTCCCAAGGGAAGATCGGGGCAGAGAACATCGCAAAGAACATGGAAGCCAACGCCCAATGTCATTCTACAGACAGAATCGCATCAATTCCCAGCACTTTATGGTGACATAATCCCCGCGATTCCAGACTCTGGACTGGGCTCCTCCAGTGGGGACTCCTTCCTATAAAAGCGAGGGATCCGCGGCTCCAGCCTTCAGTCAGAATGTGGCGTCTCTGTGGATTCAACCTGCTGCTGCTGCTGCTCCTCTGCGGACGGAGCCATTCCATAGATTCCGAGGAGGAAGAGCCAGACTCCTCCGATCCCATTGGATACAACAAAGAACTCTCCGATCTGGTCATCACCACAGCCCTGGGCAAGATCAGAGGCACCATCCTGCCCTCCCAGTCGGGGCGCAACTTTTTTGCCTTTCGGGGAATACCCTACGCCAAGGCACCCGTGGAGCGACTTCGCTTCAGACCCCCCGAGCCCGTGGAGCAGTGGTACGATGTCTTCGATGCCACCTTCGATGGGCCGAAGTGCCCGCAGCCGGGACTCGTGAGCGACGATGTGAGCGAGGACTGCCTCCGGCTGAATGTCTACACCAAGGAGCTGCCCAACGAATCGCAGCCGAATGTGCGGCGGCCAGTGATCGTCTTCATCCACCCGGGGGGCTTCTACTCCCTCTCGGGGCAGAGCAAGAACTTTGCCGGTCCACAGTACTTTATGGACCGCAGCCTCGTCCTCGTTACGTTCAACTACCGCCTGGGGTCGCTGGGATTCCTGGCCACCGGCACGAAGGAGGCGCCCGGCAATATGGGCCTCAAGGATCAGGTGCAGCTGCTCCGTTGGATCAAGCTGCACATCTCCCGCTTCGGCGGGGATCCCAATGCGGTCACTCTTTTGGGCTACGGTGCCGGCGCCATGGCTGTGACCCTGCACATGGTGTCGCCCATGTCGCGAGGCCTCTTCCATCGGGCGATCGTGATGAGTGGCGCCGTCACAGGGCAGTGGACGCTGCCCGAGCACCAGATGGAGGTGGCCATGAGGCAGGCGACGCTTTTGAGCTGCCACACGGACAACACCACGGAGATGATTGACTGCATGCGAGGGGTAAGCCATTGGAGGGGTCTCCTACCCAAAGATTGAGGAAGTGAAGTATCCTGTACACCCACAGAAACACTATCTGGAGTACGCGAATAGCCTGCCGCGAATGTTCGACTTTGGGCGGAATAATCCGCTGATTCTGTGGAAGCCCGTGGTGGAGCCGGACTTTGGGCAGGAGCGCTTCCTCGTGGAGAGTCCTGTGCAGAGCTACCAGAACGATGACTTCATGAAGGTGCCCATCATAACGGGCATGACCAAGGATGAGTTTGTGGGTCCCGCCCTATGTGAGTGATCCTTAAAGATACCAGCAAAGATCTCCTCTGACTCTAGAGATTATTCTCCATCCTCCTAGCAATCCTTCAAAGTCCTTCCCTGCTGAGCACTCTCAATGCGAACTTCGAGACCCTGGCCCCCATTTTCTTCCTGTTTAACGAGAGCGATCCTCGGGCGGGGAACATCAGCCAGGAGCTGCGGGAGCACTACTTCCAGCAGGAGCCCATCGATGCCAATCGCTCTCTGGCGGCCCTCTCCTCCCTCTACTCGGATGCTCTCACGGGATTCGGGATCCATCGATTCGTGCATTTGGCTGCGAGGTCCACGAAGGTCTACTACTACCGATTCGCGTATCAGGGGGGTAGGAGCCACATCTACTATCCGGAGGATGCCCCCTACGGGGTGGTGCACCACGACGACCTCATGTATCTGTTTGTGGAGCCATCGATCAGCCGCATGTTCACCGAGGATGACGACGAGTTCCGAATGGTGGACGTAATGGTCAGAATGTTCTCGGCCTTTGCCTACAAGGGGTAACCATTACATTGCTCCATCCTCTCCACGAATCTCTCCTCTAACGAATCCTCTTTCAGGGACCCCAATAAACCCACGGATGCTGCTCTGCGGGACATCCGCTGGCGTCCCTTTAGCTTCAAGAAACGCTACTATCTGGACATTGGCGATGAGCTCATCCTACAGGAGAATCTCAATTCAGAGAGGTATGAGATATGGAAGCGTCTCTTTCCCTTGAATTGGCGTCGCCAAACAAAGGATTTCTTTCTCTGAATATGATTTGTCTCCTACTGTACTTGAAATACATGCCACTTGGCCTTCATTCGATTATTGTTTTGTTTTCCAACTGCTGCTGCTGCTGTTGTTGTTGTTGATCCTCTTTTCCATTCAGTTGCCAAGTGACGAAGCCAATTGGCATATTTATTGTTGAGTTTTCCTCCAATTCGATGGGTTTTTAGGGTCTGTTTACAGTGGGGGGAGGAGGGTGTCATCGTCTGTGTGGGTGCATATATTATACGACAGTCGACTGCGAGAGGGGAGGGGCAACCGATAACAGTCCTACGACTCGTTGTGGTACGTGTCGTTCCGTGCATTATGGGCTCTCGTTTTCAGTTGTCGCTGATCGCGTGCCAATGCTCGCATGCACTGAGAGAAATTACAGGGAATTACTATTAGCGGAAAATATCAGAGTAAAATATAGTAGTCCGTTCTGGCTGATTCCGAATAAATTATATGCCTATTGATCAATGATCAATGCACATATGTAATTATTATATATTTAAAACGAGGGGGAGCGCCGGCGCGCGCCAACCCGACCGCGCACTTGGCATGACCGCGACACACAACAGAACACAGAACACGACCAGCCACCCCGCAGGGGCGCGCACGAGGGGGGGGGGGGAGGGGGCCATCCATCGGATAGACCGACGACAGAGGCGGAGGGCCACATGCGTTTTAGTTTTCGTACTTAGGCCGCCCCGGGGGGGGGGGGGGGGGGGGCCGGGGGACAGGCGGCGCGCGCGGCAGGCGCCACGGCGGCAGCGGCGCGGCAGACGGCGGCGGCGGCGGGGGGGGCGGGCGCGGGGGCGGCGGACGGGGCCCGGACACCACCACCCACAACAAAACCCACTGGTCGGGTATAAAAATGCTATTTAAATAATCACAAAAGTAATTGACTATTTATTAAGAAAATAGGAACGGACCGAGATGGCTGTATTAATATTAAATCTATTGTGCTTTTTCTCTTTTCAGGCCTAGCTTAGCTTCTCCCAATGGCAGCAATGGGAGAGAGTGGAAATAACAACGTGTAAGTAAATGCACATACGAAATTTAGATATATTTTGTATTAGTATTATTATTTGTTATTATTATTTATTATTAACATTGTTTTATTTTCTGAATTTATTTTACCATAAAAGGGTGAAACATTATTAAGGGAGGTAATTTCTCGCAGTGTGGAGACCACCTCCGCACATGCCACACACACACCACCTCTGTGATGATGATTGGTGCCACCGCACAACACATCTGTGTTGCTGCCACTATATTGTAGTTGTATTTGTATTTTTATTGCCACTCTTCTTATCGGAGTTTCGGGTTTTCGAGTTTTGGTTACGCTCCAGAGCATGACAATGTCAAAAGAGCGGGGACTAGCAATTCCGAGAGGAGAGGCTTCCAATTCGACGTCCCCGTGGCTCGTGTGTCCTGCTGCTCATTAGCATACTTTCAACATATGACGCTTGCCACACAGCCATCTATCCATTCGTCCATCTATCCCTCCAATTGGAAGGCAATCCATTCATGAGTCACGCTATAGCATCATTGCATCCTGCGGGGGTGCCACCAGAGAGTGCCGCCTGTTGTTGCAAGTTGGATATGTTGAGTGTGGCAATGCTTAATTTATTAATTTATGCAAATTGTTGCAGGGCACTCCGGTCCCTGGTATCTACGATCCGAATGGATCCGATGTATGTCGGGGTTGCTCTTTTTGATCGTTTTCACTTTAGTTTTTAATTGTTTCGCTTGTCAGCAGCAGCAGCAGCGGCCTCTGTATGGAAGCATATGTTGCACTGAGTGTTGCATGTTGCCATAATTTGTTAGATGCAAAAGTAGAGCAGGGAAGGCGGAAAGGGGAAAGGAGGAGGTAGAGGAGTGTTTCACTTGGAATTGGCATTCCAATTTCCAGCGAAATATTTGGACAAGAGGCCAGAGGAGTCTCGCCTAGCATCGCAGTAGATTTCGATTTCCATTTCCGCGAATCGCAAAAGCGCAAATAAAGTTGTGAGAGCGATCCTCCAGAGCGACGTCTGTGCCCCCAGGGCCTCCTCGATATCAGATGGGAGTGTGGAGGAGTCTCGGGTCCATGGCTGCATTTCATGCTGAGACCTGGAGACTGCATCTGTGGCATACAACGGAGCATGTGGCTATGCCACAGAGACGCACACGAGTGCCGTCTTGGCTGGCATTTGGTGTTGGTTTTGGCTGCTTTTTATTGACTGATGGAAATCGCTCAAAAAGCAGTTGAGAAATTTCACTGTTCACTGCAGCTCTCTTGGCCACAAAATGTAATTAGATTGCAACTCGAGGCCCCATCTGCAGCTTCAACTCGGAGCTCCGACTCTGAGGCGTCCTCCCAATCGCACCACAAAGCTCTGTGGCAGTGGGACTGCGACGGCGACTCCGACTGACACCTACTTCTGTGGTTGCAACGCGTGCTTGGAACTCCTGCTGTCAACATCAATGCACAGGAATCTCTTCGCTGCTCTTCGCTCTGTGGCAGCAATGAAGTTGTCTGGCAATTGACGCGCGATAAGCCCCCAGAGGAGACCCATGCCCCAAGACACAGTTCCACTGCGGAGCAGACTCTGAGGCAAGTTCCAGTCGCAAAACAAAGGCGAAGAGATCTCCACTGCAGTCTCTCGGTCGTCGGTTGTCGCTCTTACATAGAAAAATTTGCACAAACATCACAAAACTCATAAATAACAACAACAACGACAGCAGCCGAAGCCGCAACAGCAACACTTGCAGCAGCAACAACAACAAAAACAGAAATAGTGTCTCCACCGCCTAGAGGGACAATCGGACACAGACTCCTTGACTCCGAGACTCCTCCGACTCCTCTGTTTGTCTGGCCCCAAGCTATGGATAATGTGCATTGCACACATCACAATTTATGAGTCACTTGGGTCGCAGCAATGCCAGGTATTTATTGGGTGGAAGTTCAGCAGAAAGGAGGGGCAGCAGCAGAATGGAGGAGATCCAGCAAAATGAAGACTGCAGAAAGCAGGAACCAGTGTGGGTGTGGGAAATGTTCTGGGAAATGGGTTAGCCCCTCTTCAGGAGGAAAGTCTTACTCTAGCAGGAGTAATCTGCTGCATGTGGTGGCATGTGCCCCAAAAATATACATGCATACCTCTGATGCACCCTCAGAAAAGAAAGAGAGAGGGAGAGAGAAAAGTGTACGCACTCGCAGAGTGTTGGTGTTGATGCCTCCTGGTATTATCCCAGTTTATGGTGCATGTCATGCTCCACGATATATACATATACTACGTACCCTATTATCACCCACTTCTGACCTCTGATCTCTGACCTGCCACTTTCCACCGAGTAATTAGCATAGAGAGAGAGAGAGAGAGAGAGTGGAAAAGCATTTAACAGACGATTGCGTGCAACGTGTGGTATGAGGAGAGGCGCGTGGGCGATCCATCAGATGGAATATGGAAATATGCTGATAAGCTGGCGAGAAAACCATTAGCAACTGCAGCGGGGGGAAGTAGGGGGAGAAAAGGTAACAGTAACAGGGGATGGAATCATTTTTAATAATTTCGATGATCCTGTGGCGCTGCATATTGGAAAACCTTTCAAGTGGCAGCTTTGCTGACTCTCGTCGCGTGCCACGAGTCGATCGCAAGCTGCGTCTCATCCTCTCATGCTGTGGGATGTGATGGGCTGTAGGGGGGATGTGCTGTCTGTCAGCCTCTTACTTTGGGAAGGATGTCAAACATCAACGAGCAGAAGGAGCCGGACTCGGAGTGCGTTCACTCTCTGTGTTTTTGTCTGTTGCCATCGCGGGGCATCGGGTTTCAATAATAGTTTTATCCCCTGTACGAGTATCTCCTGTATCCCCTGGATCCTTGCTTTTTCCTGCAGCTTTCAACTTGCGATGGATGATGGATCGTGTTGCACGGCTATTGACTAACTGACTGACATGCGGCGCCCCTCCTGCCTGCGCCACCCTGCAGGAGGGTGTTCTCTAATGGAAAACCCGAGAGAATTCCACTCTCGACTCTCGAGTATCTTGCGTATGGACAGATCAGCTCTGCCCTGCTCTGTCGCTGTCGCTGACTCTGCGGCAGCAGAAGAGATTCATTCTGTAGCCAAAAAAGAAGCCCTCGCATTCCACAGCCCTCGAGTTATTTGTTTTGTTTTTATTCTTCTGAGGCTTTTCCTGTCAGAAATTCTACTGGTGGGTCGAAAGATACAAATGTATCTCTAACCTTAAGATACACCTGATTGATGACAAATTCACGTATAAGAAAGTTGCACTCGAAAGCACTGCCTTGATTGATTGATTGATGGATGACCAATCAGACGATCAGTCGCTTCTTCGACTGTCAACAGTTTAGTTGATCGCTTAACTAATTGCTCAATAATGGGGAGGAGGGATCCTCCCATACCATCCTCTACCTAAATCCCCAAAATGGTATCTGTAGGATCCATTAGAACCAGTGCATCCCTCCGTTGGAGGGGGCATGCAACCATCCATCCATGCAGCCTGGGGCCCACTCGGAGCGTTCCCTTTTCCCAGAGAGCTCCCCTTTGGAGACTCCATTAATCAAACACACAACACACGGAAATTGTAGCACACGAGGAATACTCTACTCATATACACTTCGTACAATTTCATTAATTGTGGCACCAAACCATCGCCGTACGACGAGTGGCAGAAAGAAGGAAGGAAAACAACCACACACACACCCGCATGCCACTCGAGAGAGTTTCCCACGAAGCACCGAAGCACCGAATACGAACTGTTCCAGTTGCTGTTTGTCCAAGACCATGCCCGTGCCCCCTGCCACTGACCATGGGATGTGGCGCTACATTAACCAGGTCTCTGAGGTCTCTCAGGTGCTGCCCCTGGCCCTGTGCCTGTGCCCCCAGTAGTGGCAGAGCATTAGCCAGTGCAAGCACGTACATAGATTCATGCAACAGTCACTCGAAAGGTGGAACCAGAAGAGTTACGCTGCAGTTCACGCGAAATACCAAATTACAGCTGCCACACAGATGCCCCAGTAGCAGTCGCAGTGGCAATGGCAGTGGCAGCCACAGAGGCAGCACTCTATGCCCTCATATTGTCGTTAGTTTCAGTGTCAACGTCAACCACGTAATCAACTCACAGCACGGGAAATCGTCCCATCATCCCTTTTCCGTCCTATTCCTGAAACAAAATAGAAAAAAAAACAGAAATTGCAACAATCCATCCCCCGAACCGAACGAAACCTCTCCTCGAGGCTGTCTCTTGCTGCTCCTTAAATTCAGAGGATGGAGAGAGGGAGGAGGGGTGCTCTCCGCTATCCTCTAATGTTTGGTTTCATTAGTCCTAAGCGACAAATCAAACAGTTTGTGGCAGTTTTGTTTGTTGTTGTACTCTCGTACACTCGCACTCCGTACTCTTGTATTTTTTCCACTGCCACACCATCCAGAGATCCATCCGTTGTTTACACTCATTAGTTGGTCCTTCAGTCGGTCCTGTGTGTGTCCTCTGCCTGGATCCTGGGATCACATCACACCCTCTCGTGACAACTAGCATACGCTTCCTTCCTTCCAGAGGGTGAACTGATTTGATTCCTAATGTTGAGGGTGCCCATGGATGTTGTTTGTTGATTCATTTTCATTATTTAAAGCACATTAATAATCACATTTGACAACAGCAGAAGCAGTGGCAGCGGCAGTGGCTGTGGCAGCGGCAGTGGCTGTGGCAGCGGCAAGGCCTGGAGTGGCAGCAGAGGCAGGAGTCGCATATCGGAAAACTGCAAACAAATATTTGCAAAGGACGAAGGACGAGCACTCGTCTGCTGCTTCCTGTGTATGGCACTTAACGCGCTTGTAATGATGTTTTGGTGGCTGCGCTTTTTATGGCCATCGAATCAATCGAATTGGGTGCAAAAACAGATGGCAATCTATTCCTGTGTCTCTGGGGAGAGTGGGCGGAGGGTGTTGCAGTTGATTATTGGCTTGTGTGTGGCATGTGCGGAGGAACTTGTGGATTCCGATGGGCAGTCTCTGGTGCATAATTATGTGTAGGATTCAGGGAGCCAGGGGAAACAGGGACAGCATCTCCTGTGTCCCCATCTTCTGTGCGCTGTCCCCCCTTTGGTTCTTTGGGTCATTCTTCAAACAAAAGCGACAGAAAGAGTGGAAGACGAAGAGGAGGAGTGAGAGGAGAGTGTACATACGACAACAAAAGATACTCATTCGGACCACACACACACACGGAATGGAACCCTTTGGAGGAGTAGCCTCTGGCCCTGCGACAGACAGCCAGAGAGACAGAGACAATAGAAACGATTCCATTCCTCTCCTATCATATGTGGAATGTTCATTTGCTTATCGAATGCGTAATCGAATGGGTATATCAGTGCACGACTGAAAACAAAACTAAAACGTGGAAAATGGGGGGGAAAACAATTAATTCTGTGGTCGTTTGATGTGAGAACACTTTCACCCATAAAAAACATACATAGAGCGGAGAATGGAGAAAGGGAACGAAGGAAGGACCTTTTCCAGTCGCTTTGATGTTTGCTGAGCCTTCAGAAGGGGGTGGGAGGCATGCAGCAAGTGTGGGGCAATCATTAATCAAAAGCAATTTACATTTGTCTAAATATTTGATTAGGGAAAAGTATCCCAGAGACTGTTGCCTGTCCCAGGGATAGGCGCCACCAAAAGGAATGGGAAAATTAATGAAGTTGTTTTTTTTTTTGTTTGGAGGGAAAAGTTAGGTATCCAAGATGGAGAATCTCTCTCTGTTGTGGGATGTCCACGCTGTCCAAGTGGTCGATCTTTCCCTTCCACGAACTCGCATCGATCATCGATTGGGGAACGATAATGGAACTCAATCCGAATCTCAATTGAACCCAGAAAATACTCTTTCTTCGGTGATCTGCTGGACAAAAGTGGCCCTGGGCTTCCTTCCCAGAAATTACGCATAACAAAGCGCTTGCTCTGCTCATCTCATCTCGCCTACCTCCCTCTCCCACACACACACACACACACACACACACGGGGCATGCCACTCTCTCAATTTGTATTGTCATTAGCGATTATGAGCCCCTCGGATCGCTCGAATCGACTGATGCGCAGTCGGGCCGTGGGGCGTAATCCGATATGTTGACAGAACGCATAAACACACACAGAAAAGAGAGGATGAGGAGGATGAGGAGGGGATCCCAGGAGATGGGAACAGACAGAACAGAACAGAGGACGGATCAGACTGGGTCGGACTGCTGACAAGCCTATAAAGCATTCAAAATCCTTGGCGCTACTTCAAAATGTTTACTCCTTTTGTGAACTCAATAAAAACGTAATCAAACCCGCAGCAGAAAGGACGAGCACTACGATGATGCGTCACAAAAAGAGCAAAGGACTCGCAGCCAGAATCGAGGACCAGGTTTTCCATCGAAATGAAGTCCGTGGCACAGGGGAGGGGCGTAGCGAAAGTGAAATCGAGACGCCGCAGCCGCAGTCTCTAAATCGGCAGCTGGAACACCTTCGCATCATCATCATACCATCCTACTATCCTTTCCATCATGATCATCGCTTGGGAGGCAGTTTTCTGTTTTGTTAGACGCTCTCTCTCTTCTCTCGCACACACACAAAAGGGGCACAGCCAAAGTCAAAAGGGGCACGCGCTAGACAGGAGAGACACAGAGACGATGATGCCCGCCCGTGAAACACAGAAGAGGAGAGACATTGTGACTGATCGGCGGGTACCGTGTGTGGTGTGTGGTGTGACCTCAGAGCTATATCTCGCTCTCTCTTTGTGGGTTCTGTGTCTGATGTCTAGACAAGCCGCAGACACAGATACAGACACAGACAGACACAACTTTTAATAGACTTATTGTAATTGAGTCACAAAAGCCACTCGACGTCTGTAAATCTGAGGGATGTGGATGAGGATCTGTGGATATTAATTTCCCTACAACTCTTTTCCCTCAATTTCCAGCTGCTGCCAAATTCTGTGGAAAGGTGTCAATCCCTCTCTCAATGGATGGTAACTCCTTCAATCTGTGATCTCCTGATTATTCGAATGCAATTTTGCGTACATTTTGAATGGAAATTTAATTAAAATTTGCAAATGTTTTGCTCATTTTTCCATTGTCCTTGTGCCTTTGTGCCCCGACATGTGGTATGTGTCATGTCATGCATTTTGTCAAGTTTTGACTTGTACACCTTTTTTTTTGTGTGGCATCCCAAAAGGGAATACTCGTGCCCCTTTAAATGTTTGCCTTTTGCCCCTTTGCCGCATTTTCATGTGTGGTTCCTGGCTCCTGGGTTTTCCTGGGGGCTCCCAAGTTAACAAGTTAATTTTCCATATTTTCTTTGGCCCAACTTTTCCAAAGAGTCATTCTCTCCACTGCGTCCTGCGTCCTTCCGCCTGTGTGTGATGTCCCGTGTGTGGTGTGTCCTTTGTGGTTATCCATGCGACTTGACCCAGAGATGAATCCCTGCTAATGAGTGGAGTCTGTCTGTCATTTATTCTGCCGGATATCAGCTTGAGCTTTAAACACAAACGCAGACGATGCTCCACCGCCCACTCACCCCCCTTTGTTTTCCCCCTTGCCATCCTCCACCCTTGGAAAGTCGTGGAATGGGGGGAATGGCTGATAATCCTTTTGTATCCGCATTCGCATTGTTTGGGATGTTTCACGCAAGAGCAAATCGTAAATGTCAATAGCAGGGTCCTTTCCTGTGTTTAATCTGCTCCAGGATGGGGTGTGGTGGGGGGGAGGTTGGAGGATGTGTGTGTGTTCCTCCTCCCACCTGACAATTACATTAATTCAAAGCTCACAAAGGTCAGAGGCTGCCCAAGCCAGAAACATTTAAAGACAAATTAATGTGTATTTAAGCTGCTGCCTCCTGCCCTGAAAAAGCGAAGACTAATTGCCCCAAGGGGAGGCAGAGGCTCTCGGGAAACTCGTGGAAGTGGAAACACGGAAAATCTCACGCCTTTGTTGATTAATTAATCAAAGTAAATAGTTGCAATGCTCCCCACTCCCCTCGAATGAGAGGAGAGAGGAGAGGAGACCCAAAGACCAGAGCGAGACCATCATTAGGCGTAATCTAAACGGCCTATTGATAAGCTTTTTCCACACCTAATTGCTACATTAATTTCCACCGAGAGCCAAAGAGCCAGAGAGTCGCCTGAAGGCCACACCAGTGGCCAAAGCGATGGCCACAAGGGCGACGATGTTTGGCTGCTGCCTTCGGGCCACGCCCCTGCCCAGGGCGGGCGTGGGAAAGAGCTCGTCCCAGATGGCATATCGTTCGGAATAGCCAGGCGGACCCATCTTTGTGGCCACATCATTGTAGAGCATTGCCACATACGTGGCGTTGCAGGGCGGCCAAAAGTCGTGCTCCTCTTCTGTGGATAGAGGTGTGCTGCAACGGGAGAGGGGGGATGAAGGATAGAGGATACACTTTATACTGATTTATCGCGGATATTGCATACCCTGTCTTGGCAAAGTGCGTAAACCACTTGGTCAGACGCTCCATCATGAAGAGATCCGTGTGATTCTCAGCCATGATGGTGCCATACCACAGGCTGGGCATCACGTACTGCAGATCATCCGCATGCCCCACGCCCAGGGGCATCTCCTGATCATCCGTAGGAGCCGAGAGGCTGCGCTTTCCCACGTAATCCATTCGCATGTAGTAGACGGGGGTGAAGTGCCTGACCAGATGGACCAACCGATGGACTCCATGGCCAATGATGCCATCGGAGAAGATGCTTCCGAATCTCTCGATGTTGTCCGCAGAGATCTCCGAGACGTTGCTTCCCAGGTAGAACTCCTTCAGGCGGCGGCTGATGGATGTGTCGTAGTTGTAGAGGAACAGCTCGGGGGCGTACTCCTCGAAATTAGACCCAAGATCATGCAGCAGCGGCTCATTCTCCAGATGAACTAAAAAGGAACATCAGTAAAGGATTTTGAGTTAAGGATCCCCTCACCATTTGCCGTGTAATCCAATTCGTTGGCCGTAAAGCTCACGAGGAGAGGCACTTGGCTGAAGTTTCCCTCTGCCATGAGCTCCGTGGGATGCCTGGGCAGAAAGTGGCCATCGATCTCGTAGTTCCACTTCATATTCACAAACTGAAACGACTCCCAGCCCTTGCATACCTCCACGATCCGTGTCCAGGCCACATTCCGCAGACACTGCACCACATCGGGGGCATCGTACATGGGGCAGCCGACTTCTCGGGCCAATTTCTGTGTCCAGTAGACATTGTCGATGGCGAAGTGATTCGTGGCAGAGCCACTCATGAGAATAGCTCGATGAAATAGTCCCCAGGAGAGGGGCGATGCCAGGTGGAGACTCACAGCCATGGATCCGGCACTCATGCCAAAGAGCGTGACGTTCTCTGGGTCTCCGCCGAACCTCGAGATGTGATCCCGCACCCACCGCAGGGCCATCACTTGGTCGAGGAATCCGAAATTTCCAGTCACACTGCTCCCCAGAGGCCGAAGGAAGCCCAGGGCTCCCAGGCGATAGTTGAAGGCCACGAAAACCACCTCGTGGTCGAGCAGATACTGCGGTCCCGCCTCGTACAGGCTGTGACCGCTGCCCAGGACATTAGCTCCTCCATGGATGTACACGATGACGGGAAGTAGCTGCTCCCCCTTTGTGTCCAAATTCCCCGTGAACACATTCACCTTGAGGCAGTCTTCGCTCATCAGCAGCGAAATCCCCGGCTGTGGGCAGACGAGCGAATCGGAGGTGGCCTTGAGGATCTCCTCCTGTCCCCAGCCAATGGCTGGCTGTGGAGCGGCAAACCGCAGCTGCCCCACTGGTGGCTGGGCATAGGGAATGCCACGGAAGGCGTAGATTGTCTTCCCCTGGAAGCTCTGCATTGTGCCACCCTGTACGCGTCCCAGGGAGAGCTCTACCAGTGGCGGTTCTTCGGCGAATGAAGAGTTGATGGCCAGCAGGAGTAGGACGAGTAGGGAAGGCATTTTCCCGGCTCGATTTTCACTGTGGGAAATGTCGAAACACCCGCATAGGCGATCAGCGAACGCGGAACTGCTGAAAGATTCGCACGGTCTCGGCTTTTGCTTTCGATAGAGAGAGGGAAAATATTTTTAGTTGCAGATAAGTTGATACGAAATCGGATTGATTAGAACTCGAATTAAGATTAGCCTTCGTTTGTGGTCTAAGAATAAATTCATAGATTAGGAAAAACTCTCTTTAATCGTGCGAGTATTTCAGTCGTAATTCCATGCTCTCATGACCTTCAGGTTCTCTCTTTCTCTGTCTCTCTTCGGACCCTTAATTACTCTCTGAACTCCAATTCTCAATTGAAACTTATTGCTTCATTCCATTCATCGAGTGATTTGAGAGTTTTGTGTTGCGTGTGTTATATGTGGCAAGGGCAGTGGCAGTGGCAGAGGTTTGGCAGCCGTTAGACGACACACATCACCCTGATTTGCAGATATTGGTGGACGGGGGATCGCGGATAGCAGTAGATCCTACGCCCGCAGATTTTTTAGAGTTTTCGAGTTTAGTTTTTCTCATGGCAGCGAGCGGCTCACTGAGATTTAAATTGATTTCCTTATTAATGCGTACATCCCTCTTGTAATATTTAATTAAAACCGAACCCACGATGGAACATTCAGTCGTTCAGTCGTTGATTGATACACGCTGCTCTCCGTAGAGTGGTAATTACTCTGTGGGATCTATGGGATCTCCTTTTCACAAAGTGTAAATGATGGTCTCTTTCTCTCTTAATTGTGGCACTGCTTTTGGATTTTAATTGCGGCAGCTGAGAGCCGAGTAACAGGAAGCAGCGAATGACGGTGTATGTGGATGCCACTGCATATTCATAATCATATATTTATATTCCCTCAGAGATCATAAGGAAAAACATTTTCACACATCGCGGAGTAGCCTCAATTCAATCAGGGAACGAAAACGCTCAAAATTGAAACAATTTGCGACAATCTGCTGCGGCTGCTGCTTCATGGTATTCCGGACACTTGAGTGCTCATATGCACACCGCAGCACCGCAGGAGCCAGAGAAGCCTCCGCAGAAGCTTCAGAACCACCACCCTACCCTACCCTACCCTACTGCTGCCATGCCCCATTCCGTTCCCCTGATCCGCGATCCTCATCCGGAGACCACTCGAGTTGTTGCAAATATATGAGTGGCCTCTTGACAGACATCGTCGTCGTAGACATAGCCGTGGCCGTGTCCGTGGCTGTGGCTGTGGATGGAAGCTCAAACTGTGTGTGCGCCACTTGAGGGTTCTTTGTGTGCTGCTGTTTGTGTGGCAGGCTGCCGCCTGAAGCTTCCTGTGGCTTGATGACGTCGTCGGGGCCGAACAACAGCTTGCAGCAGACATGCAAAATATTCTCACGCATCATCATTATTCCCTTTCCAGATGTTGTTGCTTTTGCAAGTGGGGCAGAAATAAAGTGTGGGATGGGAATTTGGCACTCCTCGGGGTTGGATTGGGTTTTGGGGAGAGAGATCTACAGCTGATGGAATCCTCCTAATCCTCAGCGAACTTCCTTCTGGAATAAATCTCCTCCTCTGCGACCTTTTGGGCTACTTAAGGTCTCAGGTCACGCCCTTGGAGGTCGTCGGCCCCCGCCACAGAAAATAACGAAATTAAGAGATCGATTACATTTCAAGGCAAATTTAGCTTGCAGCTGCCTGCCCCTCCTGCCACTAGAAAACCCATAGAATGCCCAGCCATGCAAATTTTGAAGATATTTTAATATTTGACATCCACACGAATGGAAATCGAATGGCAACTGAATGGCAACTGAACCGATATGAATGAATCAGAAACAGTCGCAGTCTCTGAAGTGACCAACATGCAGGCCCAGGCCCAGGCCTGGCGGCCTCCTTCTTGTGGGTTTTTCTGTCGTTGAATGAAATGAAAGAAACACCACGCCCCGTGCTGAGCCAAAAACCAAATCCTATTCGCATAACAATGCCTTAATGCCCAAAGGAAACCCAAGAACAAGCACATGCAACAATTGCCTGCCTCTCTGCCGCACGATGAACCACTTGAGTAATCAATCAAAGCGATAGGCAACCCATGAGACGTCGTCTTGTAATGAATATTTAAAGATGGAAATTATCGCAATTCAAGCGACTGAAAGGGGGAGGGACTTTGCATAAATGATAGCTGGAAACAATAGACCAATATCTTGAGTGGGCTAACCGAAGGCCCTTTGCATACCCTTTGCCCCCGAACCACGAATCCGGAACCCCCGAGAGTGTACCCTCGAATGTACTATAATGCGATAATTTGAGCACAAAAGTGCCCGATCCCAGCTCTAATCTCCGCTTGCAGGAGAGACCTTATACAACATATTTCTTGTAATCAATATGGAAATGGATGAAAAGGGAAAGTTCGAGAGGAGCTGCCTTCCCTCCGCTGCTCAAGTGAGCAAATGCCACGAATGTGAAACAAAAATAATACACAAAAGCCTTCAAGAGTGTACTCTACGTATATACTCTTCCTTAAAAGTATTTTTTACCCTAGAGAGTGGCTCTCCTCTCTGCTCCCTCCTGTCTCCTGTCTCCCCTCTGCTCCCTTCCTTTTGCCAGGACATTGTGTGGCATTGTAATGGGAGCTCTTGTAATGTGATGTCTTATTTGTAGTACAAGACGAGGGTTAAGGATCGAGCACAGAAAGAGTTCCCTGTTTCGGACTAATGTGCGATTGTTTCTCTAAATAATTCCCCCATCTTCCATCGTCTGGGAAAGTGATCCAATCAATGAATTTATGACGATTCCTTTCTGTTAATAGCTCCAAATTGTAGGAGTATAAACAATGTACATATTTTATAGCTTTAACACGCCAATAAATGCAAGCAACTCCTCCCTCTCCCCTTCTCCTTTTTCGGAATGGGAGTTTTACAATAAGAATTGATGTGCCCAAGGCCCAGGGCGAACCCTCCCTCAATTGGCGGTAGATCTACCCCCAAATTTCAATAAACAAAACTCAAACTCGAAAAAAAGGGCTAAGGGAACCCCCGAAACGGAATGAAATGAAACTTTCCATCAGCTTAGACGTTGACTGGACTCCCGAAGAATATTTGCCACTTAATTGAGATTAATTGAAGTTATGTGCCGCCTGCCATTTGCCTCTGCCTCTGGCTCTGCCTCCTCGTATCTGAATAAATACAACTTTGCAGCCATTTTGTTTATGACTGCGTTTTATGTGCACACAAAACAACAATCGCCGGAGCAGGGAAATATTGTACTCGTATTATTAATAATTACACAAGAGCAGGGGAAGGCCAACAGGCACCCCGAAAATAGTTTTAGAACCAAAACCCAAAACACAAAGCCTGAACTCTGCAGCAGAGATGGAATTTTATTAAATTAAATTGAGTGCGACGGAGTTTTGCTGTCGCTTCAATCGAAGGCCCAATCCCAATTCCAATGCCAGGCGGAAGCCGTGCATCAGCAGTCCCAAAATGCTGCACACTCGTATCTTATAGATACGTCTACTACTACACGAGTGATGCAAATCAAATACATATATGTACTGAGAGAGGCAGCCACCACGAGGTGAATGCACTCTGCCACTGACACTGTTGCTGCTGCTTCTAATGTTATGGATCTCCATCTCCTGGCTGCCCCTTAATTGGTAATGGAATGGAATGGTGTTTATGGTGTTTGGTCTGTGTGGTGTTCGTGTTAATAGCTCTCTCGTTCGCTCGTGTTCTGGTAAAAGTCAAAACTAGTCAATTTAAGCTAATTGACATTCAAATGCAGTTGAATAAACTTTTTGGTGGGGAAGACACGACACTCCACTCCACACCGAGAGCTGCTGCTGCTGCAATGGACTGACTAGAGAGAAAGAGAGAGATATTGGGACTCTAAACTGCCGATTAAACATTCAGTGGCTCTTCTGTAAATTCCATAAAGAATTTTAAAGGATCGTTCATCATCTGAAAACCCCATGACAATCCATGGACTGGAGGAAGGGTGCGGTGCAGTGCAGTGCTGTGCCCATCATTTATAAATTGCCGTATCAAATAAAGCCAAACGCTTGAGCAAATCCATTTAATTGCCGCTTCGATGGGTGGAGTGGAGGATGGATGGGTGCGATGGCTGTGCCTTTGAATCCTTTGATGCCCGTGAAATGTTGTCCTGGTCGCCCGCCCAGCCTCGGCAATCAGAGGCAATCGGGGAATGGGTTGGAGTGTCCTCCGCCGGATATGTTCGCACTCGTGTAAACATGCGTTTGTCATTAGACACACCGGAAATATTGACAGCATTCGACACGCGGCGCACGACCAGTTCTTTGCAAAACGAACGGAACTCTTGCCACTTTTTGTTGCCATTTGATTTTTTAAAATTGCAAAATTTTCAATTTCTCAATTGTTCTGCCAAGTCTCGCGCCCTTGCGCTTGAATAAACAGCATTAGATCTTTGAGGATCGTTCTGCTGTGGATGGACCCTGGGACCCTGGACCCTGCCTCGGGTGGAATGTATTTTGTTGTATCAAAGAGGGGTGTGCGTCGTGTGTCCTTTGTCCCTTGTCACGGGGCCGTCTTTGTTTGGTCCAAAGTGTCGTCGCCGTGTCGGATTGTCGTGTGTTTTTTATTATATTTTTTTTTTGCTAGTGAAGTACCTGAAATTTTAACAGTTTGGGTTTTTTATTCCTGGTTTCCTCGAGAGTTTACTAATTACATTTTATTGCGTGGCACAAATCGCTTTGTCGTGATCCGTGCTACGTGTGGCAAGTGTGAATAATCTTTGCTTTTTACGGTGTGAAATGGGTCCAGCGAGCGATCCATTTTCCATTTCCAAAGCCTTGATTGAGGGAACATCAAAGATCTACTTGGGTCAGGATTCTCGGAAGAGGAATTTCTTTAGCTAAATATTATCCCAGAATATTGGTTTAATGCCACACGAAATGCCACGCGCTGTGCAACAATCTGCTGCTGCTGCCGCTGTTGCTGCTGTGGCATGGAATGCGATGCGGGTATCTCACGGATCTACGAGTATTAGTGGAGTGTGGAGTGTGGGAGGGAGCAGATTCTTCTCTAAATATCTCATGTAATCCAATGCCACAATTTCCACAAATTTCCACTATGCCCAAACAAATGCAAATATAATGCAGAAAAAATGATTGAAACGTGGGAAAATATGAAAATATATTTTTTTTGGTGGCTTGTAATCCTTCTCTCTCATAATCGATTGTTCCACGATGGGAGGTGGAAACAGCACAAGGGATAGAAAGGACCCCAGACAATGGAATGCAGTGTGAAGATAAATATTTTGTTGATGTAAGCCCATTAACATGAACATTAACGTTAACCTCAACAAGAGAGACTACAAGAAGAGCCCACACCTGACCTGTCCTGGAACCTGAATCTGACCCCCGACCTGCGTTTGTTTAGACAGATTAGAGAGAGAGAGAGAGAGAGAGGAAGGGAGAGAGAAAGACACACAGAGCTACTTAGCGAACGGACAATCGGAGGACAAGCGGTCAAACGATCACTTGTCTGTGCGGGGATCAGCCCATGGAATTGAGTTGAGTTCCAAAATGTCCGAGTGAGTTTAATTCCCCCCCTTCTGCTGACAACATTTCAATTTTCCCATTTTCCGGGTCCACTTCGCTATCGCAGGCCCACGATCTCCCTCGCCGCAGGACGACAGCGGCGCTCCTCGGGACGGGACCCATGCGGAGTGTGAATCGTCTTATCGCTTTGACTCGATCTCTCTCTTTGGGTCTCTCTCTCTCTCTCTCTCTCCCCCTCTCTCTCTCTTTGTCATTTATGTGGAGTTGTTGTCGTTTATGTTGTTTTCTGTTTCATTTATCAGTTTGTGGAAATGTCCGACGATCGACCGATGAACAATGAGAAATTATGAGGCTTGGCTTTAAATCATTTACCATCTATCGGTAGGTCCTACCATCCTGCTATGATCCTGCGATCATTGGCCTTATCTGTGTTTGGGGATCTCCCTGGCATTAGGATTTCCCTGTGCCTCTGCCTCTACCAGTCCACTCCTCGTTAGTCGTTCGAATGATTTCCTATATGCGGTTTTAATTGCGGCCAACTCTCTCTCTCTCTCTGTTGACTTCGGACTGCGATACGGATACGATAATATGCAGGAAGTTCCAGTTAATTAGCTGCGAATTGTTGTCCGAGATGTGCAATGGTTGATAAGCTTCCTTCCGGGGTGGAAGCTTGTGAAAGCATGCAACTTTCAATTGTAATAAGGAGATGGAGCGAGGGGGGGGAGAGAGGTAGAATGCACGTCTAGATGCAATGAACTGAAAGATTGATTCACTTATTGGACTTTATTTAGAAGCGAACGATTCGAATGTATTTCTGCTGATGCAAAGACCTATTAGCAAAGCAAAATATGGCAACAGAAGAAAAGTTTCAAATGTTCTACGATCTCTTAGATTATTCTCTCACATGTTGTGAATACGTAGAACCCTTCCTTACCATATGCCCATCACTCTGACACTCCGACACTTTTTAATCCGTTTTCGAAATCCCTTCAGATCGGAGACCAGAGCCGGAGCAGAGCCAGAGGCTGCTTCTATGGGCGTAACCTTCCCACGAAACCGCAGACGCAGAAGCAGATCCAGCCACAGTCACTCTGCAGAATGATGGGGTAAGCAAACATTGAATTTACGATGACATTTATGCGTGAATTTGGTTTGATTTTATGGCCACATCCACAGCTAATCGTAGAAATAGAAGCGAAATCGAAATGGGGAAAATAGTTCTCTCGGCGGATGTGAATGTGGATGTGGCCCCCGCGGGGAGAGTGTCAAATAAATTTGATTGGAAAGTGATCTCGTAATTGAAACGGATGAACAGTTAATTTTCGGTCATCATTAAGGGGCCACACCCACCGACTGAGGCTGCGGCCCGAAGTAGAGGCTGTGTTTGGTGCCAGGTAGAGCGTTCGCCCTGCGCCTCCTCGTACGAGTGCGAGTATTAATGCAACGTCATGACTTTCTTCCGTGTCAACGCCCCTCGGACGCACCCTTTGCATCGTATTGTTTTGTATCGGGAAGGACGTAATCCTTTTTGGTGCTGCCAATGCTATCGCGTGCTACGAGGAGTCCGATCTCCCGAGATCTCCTTGCAAGAAAGAGCGCCGCACCGCACCGCGGGATGGCTGCTCATTCTTTCTTCTCTCGTTCTCGTTCGTGTCATAATTGCAAGGCTTTCGGAAGTGTGAAAATTACGGAGTTTCCTTTGCCGTTACCCGTTACCCTTCCGGACTGGGACTGGGACTCCCTCTCTCACCTCTTGCCTCTCTTCTCGCTCGGTGATTGTGTTTGTTTGCTTTATCTTTGACTTGAGATCGTGGCTGAAGGAATCTGTGTGCTGCCAGCCAACTCCTTTGCCTCCTCTTGGCTTCATTCATTCATTTGCGTGAGTTATGGGCCTAAGCCTTGGGTTTTAGTTGCAAGGATTCCTAGTCCTAGGGGTTGCTTGTCGTCTCCTTTCGTTTTTTTTTTTGCGTGCTAAATTGTGTGTTTTACGATCTTCCACCGATCTCTTCATGAAGATAGCGTCCCCGTACGGTGATTTCTGTTTCTGTTTCTTTTTTTGTGTGTGTTTTTTGTATTTTGCAAGCGTTTAATTTTATATTCGTTATCGTTGGTTGGAGATCGTGAGAAGTAGTGGCGTTGGTTATGCCGCGAATACGGAGTCCAGAACTCCATTTTGTTGTGCCTCCAGCTCTCATTTCTGCCCCAAACTGCTGCCTGTGGCATCTGTCATCCATTGTGTCGCCAGGTGTATGCCCCCCAACACCCAATCACCAATCCCCAAGAGTGTACACTGTACAGTAATCCAACAATACAAACAGCAGCCCCCAACCCCTCTACACCCCGCAGTCTTTTTTTTGTTGTTTTTGTGTTTTTGTTGAACTGAAACTTAATTAGCTTTGACTCTGGCTTTGGCCTGGAGAATGGGGACTGTGGAGCTGTGGGGACTCGTATCATGAAATTATCCAGTAGAGCGCACGCTTCCAGGGAACGAGCGCGTGCTGCTGCACTCCACTTCACTCCATGGAGAAGGGGCACACCACACCGCAGGTGCTAGAGCAGCGCAGAACCACTCGTTCCTCCTCTCCCCTGCTCCCATCTGCTGCTCCATTCTCCATCGCCAGCTGCTGGCTACCGTCGCCCAATCAAAGGCACTCCGAGTACCCACATAATCATTCCAGTTTTCCGCGAGTGTGTGTGTCTATGTGTATCCATGTGTGTGTGTCGGATAACTGCGGATAGAAACGGATAAACGAGTGACGACGGCTGACTGGAAGGCAGCCAATAGCAGCAGGCGAGCTGCACAAAAGAGAAGCCAAACGAGAAACCACCCTGCCGCCTGCCGCGTGCTGTCTGCTGCATGCAACGAGCCCTCGCTGCTTCGGCCAAAGGGAACTTAACTTCAGTGCGCGGACCAGGTTCCAGCAGTCAATCTTGCGCAGTCGTTGCGAACGGACGTCCACGTCGCGCCGCTTAACCTAAAAGAGAACCAAACCGCAGAGAAGTGAAAAGAAAGAGAGATTCGATTCGATTCGTGATCGCTGAGACGAGAATAAAAGTGAAGAACACAAAAAAAAGAGTGCAAGAAAATTAAGAACTAAATCCACAACAAAATGGTCTTGAACGGAATGCCCATGGCCATGCCCATTCCTATGCCTGTGCCAGTGCCAGTGGCCAGTCCGCCGGCCACCAAATCCCGTGTCCAGATCGACTGGGACATCAACGATTCGAAGATGCCGACGGTGGCCGAGTTTGACGAATTCAACGACTGGGCGAATGGCCACTGTCGCCTCATCTACGGCCTGCAGAGCGACGAGGCAAGGAAGCACGCCAGCGGCTGGGCCATGCGCAACACCAACAACCACAACGTGAACATCCTGAAGAAGAGCTGCCTCGGGGTGCTCCTCTGCAGCGCCAAGTGCAAGCTCCCGAACGGAGCCAGTGTCCACCTGCGGCCCGCCATCTGCGACAAGGCGCGTCGCAAGCAGCAGGGCAAACAGTGCCCCAATAGGTAAGTCGATTGACAGAGAATCCCCCACTGAATCCCAGATGCTAACTGATTCGTCCTTTTTGGTTGTGCAGAAACTGCAATGGAAGACTGGAGATCCAGGCCTGCCGCGGCCACTGCGGCTACCCCGTCACGCACTTTTGGCGGCGGGACGGCACCGGAATATACTTCCAGGCGAAGGGCACCCACGACCATCCGCGGCCTGAGGCCAAGGGTTCCACGGAGGCGCGTCGCCTGCTCGCCGGCGGCAGACGCGTCCGCAGCCTGGCCGTGATGCTGGCCCGAGACGCGGCCCTCAGCGACAAGCTCTGCAGCCTGCGGCCCAGCAAGCGACAGGCCAACCCACAGCTCCTGCAGGAGGCAGGCAGCAAGCGGAAGAGGATAGAGATTCCGCAGCAGCCCAGTCAGGGAGAGTTCCAGGGAGCCGCAGCCTCCACTGCAGCCTATCTGTCCACATCCACACCCATTCCCTCGTCGAACTTCAATGCCCAGCAGAGCGGCTATCCAGCGGCAAATGGAAGCCAATGGAGTGGAGCAGATCTGTACTCCGCCTACGGACAGCAAGAGGGAGGAGCAGGCGCCTACGACAATGGGATGTACAGCGATTACAGCATGCTGCACTCCCCGCTCTCCTCACACAGCTCCACCGCCAGCTACTACCAGGAGAACCTACAGCAGCCACAGCAACAGCAGCTGCATCTTCCCTCCGTCCAGGAGACGATGAATGCCAGCTACGAGCCACCGATGCCCGCCAGCTATCCGTGTGGCATGCCTCTGTACGAGAGCTGCGACGACACCTCCAGCCTCACGAGCAGCAGCAGTTCCGGCTACAGCTCCGAGGATTACAGCTACTTGAATGGGTATCATCTGCCTGGATCGGGATCTGGATCTGGATCTCTGGACGTCAGCGGAGGAGGAGGAGCAGGCGGGCCAGCTGCCCAGGATAGTTTCTACACGACCAGCTCCGAGATCTTCAGTGTCTTCGAGTCCACGTTGAATGGTGTGGGGGGTGGCCCCTCTGCCGTGGAGCTGTTCTACGACGAGGCAGCCGCCTACCAGCAGTCGAGCTACCAGCAGCAACAGCAGGACGCTGCAGCGGACTACTACTACAGCAACACGGGAGTGGACAACGTGTGGAATATCCAGATGGACGGCGCGAGTGCGTATCATCCGAGCACAGGAGGAGCGGGAGCAGCGCCAACGGATCCCGTCTATTGCTAGAGAAAATTCCCGATCCATTCCCGATCTCTCCCACTGGATCCACCCCACTCAAGTGTTGTTCTTCTAGTCTGTAATTGATTTCTATCCACCATTCCCCCCCATACACACACGAGTTTTGTATATGGTTCTGTTTGTTGGTTCTTTTATTATATGAAGATTGAATGTTTTCTTAGTCACTTGTTTCCTCCCCCAGAGCTACTCCAAAGTTAAAGCCTAAGTATCTGCATCTCTAAGTACATTCCGTGCATAAGTATCTCGTAGATATATGTATATGTATTATCCTAGGACATTAAGGATATTAAGCGAAATCGCCCACCTATTTATTGTACTCTCGTATGAGCCTTTTGCGTAGTAATAAAACATTTTTTGAGATAACCTGGAAATTCGCACGATTCTAGAAATACTTCCCTAGCTGTCAGATCAATCTATAGATAGATTGATTGACTGATTGGTAGCAAAAGCTTTAAATATGAAACAGAAACTATACCAAGAATTTATTGGGATTTTTCTTATTTTTTTCTGTTGTTCGATTATCCGTAATATTTTACAACAAATCAATGGCCTCGTCCTAGTTTTCAAATTGTTTGCCACTTGGTCAGCTGCTTCGGGGTTATCCACTCCCTACCGCCGCATCGGGAGCATTCTCCACCAGCAGTTCGTCAGTTGCATCTAAAGGTTTGGCTGGCTCTCCAGCAAAAAAACAATGCTTGCCGAAGATCGATTCCAGGGCGTCATCTCTGGGGTAAATTGCTGCAGAGAGAAAGTTCTAAAAGGCAGATTATTATCCACAGATATATTCAGCATTAATTAACTCTTTGTTTGGGTTTACCCTCTTCAATTTCCCTGCATTTGCAGAGTGCTAATATTTGCATGTAATCGCATCTAACCCCAAACTAAAGCGATAGGAGAGATCTCCATTAGTGTGCAAAAAATCAACATTAACAAATTGCCACCGTATCCGTATACGTATCCCCGTATCCCCGAATCCTTGAATCCTGCATTCGAAATGATTTTGCGAATGTTTTTGCGAGTGAAACCTCAACCCTGGCGAAAGTCGAAATTTGGCAAAGGATTCTCATTCATTCATTCACGCGAATATTGAATTACACCGGCGGACAATGGGATCAGCGTCAATAAATTTGCATAATACTCATCGCTCGTACCTTTGCTCCCTTTCCCCTTTCCTCTGCACCCAATTCCCTCTGCAGGATAACACGAAATGTGCAACGGCAAAGAGTCAGCGACGACTCTGACTCCTCTTCCTCCCGAATTCATTAGCATTCAGGTCTAATCAAACACTCCACGGAGGATGAGAGCACACGGAGGCTGCCTCGACAGGAAGCACACGTTCTCTGTGTCCTGATTTATGGCTGGAAATTACCATAAATGAAATCAAAACATTTTAAATGTTTTCATTTGGCGAAGGACGAAGGGCGAAGCAAAGGGGAAGGTTTCATTGCATTATCCATCCTCTGTATATGCAAATACAATTTGAAACAAAGTCATTCCACTCGATGCTTCTCTCTGTATCTCTCCTTCTTCGCAGTGAGTGTGCGAATATCCTTGAAGGTCGCACGCGCCCGCCTGCCAGTGCCAGTGGCTGTGGCACACGTTTTTTCCCAAACATGACAACTAATGGGCGTTTTGTTTATGGTCGCTCTCAAACCCCCATTAGGGTTGAGCTCTCGAGAGTACAACCCCTTCCCCTACCCTCTTCAACCTCCCGACAATCGACCTTTTTTTATAAATTTAATTATTTATAATCGGTTTAAAAAAAAGAAACAAAATCATAGCAGAGAAATCTAAATAATGGAGTGGCGCTTGACAGGAGCTCAGCCCTTTGTCGCGACCCGTGACCCTTGATTGCTGTTTGATCGGCAATGGCAAATCGGGAAATTGGGAATTGAAAATATAATTTTATTGGACGTTTTTAACCTCTTATAGCGATGAAGAGGGATTGAAAGTGGCAGGAGCAGCTCCGCTATTTCTGGTAGAACTTTCGTTTCGCTTATTGTCTGTGGACTGGTCTCTTGGTTCAGTAAACGTTATTTATCCGCTGGCATTGGCTATCCCGCTGATGAATAGTCAGAGGTCAGTCAACCAGTCCTTCAGTCGCTCTGCTACCAGCATTGAAATTGAAATCGAAATTGAATGACAGTTGAACTCAAGAGTGTGACTTTTTGTGACTCTCCACACTTCATCGGTAGATCAGAGGAGTTGCAGGAGCCGCAGCTGCAGCTACGGGGAAAAACGATTAAATATTTACTTTATACGAGTAATACGTGCCACATAAAACGTCAACGTCAAAGGTTTTGCCCCGAGTGATGCCACAATAAATTGTACACAAAAATGTGGCAAAATCTCATCTGAACCTATTTAGGAGTGTCCACTTCAAAGGATACAAAGAGAGCGAGCGCTAACCCAACGCCTCTCAATGCATCTCGCAACAAATGAGGCGCGTTTAATGCGGCCTCAATGATTCCCTGGCCCTCGCGTCCGAGTAAACGACCTGAAAAATGCGAGTGACATGCGTGTCCCGCAAATTGTGCGGTCGATCGGTCTGTTTATTGCACTTCGCTGTTGTCGTCAGGGTGGGTCACCGTGAAAAATGTCCCTGCAAACAATGAGAGCAGCAGCAGAATGGATATCTATCTAAGCATTCAAGAAGGAACTTCTTAGAGAAATGGAGTCCATGGGAGGAGAGAACACATTCCATTTCGTGTGCCTCTATAAGCTGAAGGCTATGAAAATCAATTGAATTAATTAATATTGAATAAATAAGCCTGAAAGCAGCCAGCTTTGATAGTTCAAGCTCCAAAGTTAAAGTTTAAATAATAGTAAATACAGAGATTAAAAAGTGTATAAATTCCACAAGATTTATTCAGGAAAGACATTTCCACACATTTCCAACACATTTCCCAGGTCATAGCGACATATCTCCTGGCAGGACCTAACGGAGTTTGGCGTCTTATCTCCGACCAGAATTTAGCGACATATGTATGTATCTCCTGCTGAAAAATGTATGACAGGAGATATGTCGCCCGGAGATATGTCGTTGCCCCTTGTCCAGTAGATCCGGCATGACATCGGCTTTGGTATGTCATATCATCTTGTCATATCATCTCATAAATCTTGCATCTCTTGCTTGGATTGTTCACTTTCGCCATCTGACGGTTCCCAGTCTTCGTCTTCCAGATTTTTCACAGATATATTCTGCTTTATCCTCCTCCACTAGGTTAAAATAGGGTTTATGGCTCTGCTGGCAAGTTTTCTTGGGATTAAATGCTCATTAAATGTCCCCTTTTTGTGTCTCCTTAAAAATGTTTGTGAATGCTACGGACTTGCCCATGCACACTCTGCACATTTCCTCCATAATCCTGTAAAAAAGTGAATCTTTAATAAACGGAATACCGGAGGCAGGAAACAACGAACTTGAAATTATCATTTGTTTTCTTTTGATTACAGCTGTTAAACCAGATGGTTTACTTTCCGTGCTGTAAGGCGCACATGCAATCGGTGGGACTGTTATGGTTATCGAATTTAATTATGTTAGCTGAAGAAATGTTAAAACTGTAAAATTCATTTAAATTTTAAGTCGTTATAATATAAACAAAAAGAATTAAATCTGCAATGCAGCGAAGAATCCAGGTGAGGATATATTCGCGAAAATTCACTAGAATTAAACAAATACAGCTGTTGACATTCAGAGTAAAACGCGGTCGCGTGTGTAATCGTTTTGTGAATAGCACTTTTCGGGAACTATATGCAACAAGTACAAATTAATATTTGCCGCATAAGTTTTTCTGCAGCAGCCACAGAAATAACGGTGCAAGTGTTAAGTGCAGTTCCAACACGAATTAATTAAGAATAAAGTGAAGAAACACCTCCGACTACAATACGAGAAAAGACTGTGCAATGTCGGCAACGAGATTCCTGAGTGCCGTTGGCCAAATTTCACGGCAGCAATTGTTGCAGAATAGGTGCAGCAGAGGTAGGCCACCGTTTCCAGATCGAATATGTAATAATGTAAGAGGAGGAGCCCCCAAAGAAACAGACAGACACACCAGAAGGAAGAGTGGAGAGGGAAGAGCAGCAGCCTACCGATGAGCCGCATAACTGGACTTTGAACTTTGTACCCGCTCTCCCTTGACGTAGCTGATTTTGTGTGTGTGTGTGTCAGTGTCTGCTGCGGGGGCCTCTTATGAGAGCTGTGTGACGATAATGCCAGCGGCGATTTGATTCTCTGCCCTGTTCACTCATTTGCAGCCCTCCCCGCCACGGCCATGCTCCAGCGGCACCGTCTAATGTCCACAAATCCCGCTCCGGCCGCAGCCAAGGCGGGGGCCAACAAGCATCTGCACACGAAAGTGGTCAACGGAGTGCTGGTCATCAGGTTCGACTCCCCCAACGTGAAGGTCAACTCCCTAGGCAGCGAAGTAAGCGACGAATTCGAGCGAGTGATCAAGGACCTCGAGACGAATCCTGCAGTCAACTCGGCCGTCCTCATCTCCGGCAAACCCGGATGCTTTGTGGCCGGCGCCGACATTGGGATGCTTGAGGCCTGCCAGACGGCGGAGGAGGCGACACTCATCTCGCACGGCGCCCAGCTGATGTTCGACCGCATGGAACGCAGCCGCAAACCCATCGTGGCCGCCATCAATGGCGTGTGTTTGGGCGGAGGACTGGAGCTGGCCCTCGCCTGCCACTATCGCATCGCGACCAAGGACAGCAAGACCAAGCTGGGCCTGCCCGAAGTGATGCTGGGTCTCCTACCCGGCGGCGGCGGCACTGTGCGTCTTCCCAAGCTTACGTCGGTGCCCACTGCCCTGGACATGGAATTGACTGGTAAGCAGGTGCGTGCCGACAGGGCCAAGCGCCTGGGCATTGTCGATCTGCTGGTGGATCCCCTCGGTCCTGGCTTGCAGCCCGCCGAACAGAACACCATGGATTACCTGGAGAAGACTGCCGTGGAGGTGGCCAAGGATTTGGCCAGCGGAAAACTTCGCGTAAGATCATCTCAGTCGAAAATCATTACATGTACATATAACCGAATCCGTGCGTGTATCGTTTGTCCGTGTTTAGGTGAATCGCGAGAAGACTGGGCTGGTAAACAAACTCCAATCCCTGGTAATGGACACGGACTTTGTGAAGAACAAGATCTTCGACACTGCCCGGAAGCAGGTGATGACGGCCTCGAACGGTCTCTATCCCGCTCCCCTGAAGGTGAAACACACATAATCCTTCTATTTCGCATGGCTAAATGTCGCTTCACTCGCCTCAACAGATCCTCGATGTGATTCGCGCTGGCGTGGACAAGGGCTCCGATGCGGGCTACGAAGCGGAGCGCAAGGGCTTCGGCGAACTCTCGGCCACACCAGAGTCCAAAGGTCTCATCGCCCTCTTCCGCGGCCAGACAGAGTGCAAGAAGAACCGCTTCGGCAAGCCCCAGCGACCGGCTAAGACGGTCGGCGTTCTGGGAGCCGGACTCATGGGCGCTGGCATTGTCCAGGTGACCGTGGACAAGGGCTACGAGGTAGTGATGAAGGATGCCACCGATGCGGGCTTGGCACGCGGCATTGGCCAAGTGCAGAAGGGCCTGGAGACGGCCGTCAAGCGCAAGCGGATCTCTGCTCTCGATCGCGACCAGACGCTGGCCAAACTACGTCCCACCCTCGACTACAGCGACTTTAAGAACGCCGACGTCGTGATCGAAGCCGTCTTCGAGGACATCAACATCAAGCACCGCGTGATCAAGGAGCTAGAGGCCGTCGTGCCCGCCCACTGCGTCATCGCGACCAACACCAGCGCCATTCCCATCACCAAGATTGCCGCCGGCAGCTCCAGGCCCGAGAACGTTGTGGGCATGCACTACTTCTCACCCGTGGACAAGATGCAGCTGCTCGAGATTATCACGCACCCGGGCACCTCCAAGGACACAATTGCTCAGGCCGTGTCCGTTGGCCTCAAGCAGGGCAAGGTTGTCATCACCGTGGGCGACGGTCCCGGCTTCTACACAACCCGCATCCTCGCCACCATGCTGTCGGAGGCCATAAGGTTAGTCCTCCCTCCGTTTCGTCCATCTGCCGTCTGATTCCATGAGATCACCGTTCACAATTCGTTTTCAGACTGCTGCAGGAGGGCGTCGATCCCAAGGATCTGGACCAGTACACCAAGAAGTTCGGATTCCCGGTGGGCGCTGCCACGCTGGCGGACGAAGTCGGCATCGATGTGGGCTCGCACATTGCCGTGGATCTAGCCAAGGCCTTCGGTGAACGCATCGCCGGCGGCAATCTGGAGGTGATGTCTGACCTGGTGCTGGCCGGCTTCCTGGGCCGCAAGTCGGGCAAGGGCATCTTCCTGTACGATGCACAGCAAAAGGGCAGCCGTCCGGTAAACAACGATGCTCTGGAGATCATCAAGCAGAAGTATGCCCTGGTCTCCAAGGGCGCCAACACACCCGAGGATCTGACGCTGCGCATGGTGTCGCGCTTCATCAACGAGGCTGTGCTCTGCCTGGAGGAGAAGATCCTCGACAGTCCCCTGGAGGGCGATGTGGGCGCCGTCTTTGGCCTGGGCTTCCCGCCATTCTCCGGCGGTCCCTTCCGCTGGGTGGACCAGTACGGAGCCGGCAAGCTGGTCAGCAAAATGCAGTCGTACGCCGACCTGTACGGAGCACCCTTCAAGCCCGCCCAAACCCTGCTCGACATGGCCAAGGATACTTCGAAAAAGTTCTACCCAAAGACTGGTTCCTCAAAGTTGTAAACTATCCCCCAGACCCAGCCCCAGGCCCACGAGGGCCAACGAAAATTAGCTTTTAGTTAACATTAGGAGCCACCGCAGGATATGGAGGGCTTCCTTTTGCATTTCTCTCCAAAAGGAACTAGCAGTCGCCCCAAGGGCATGGCCATGGCCCCCCACGGCATGTCCATTGTTGAAGTTTCAATTAAAGATTAATATCGTGTATTTTTTTCATACTCACATTTCACATTTGACATTTGATTTATTTGACACAGCAGTGGGTTCGATTCCTTCCTCGTTCTCTTCCTCTGACTCAACCAAGGAACACTTTGTACATCGATGCTAGAATTCTATATATATATAAGATATATATTCTATACTATGCGAGGAGGCAAGTCCTTGCCGCATACACAGACACTTTATATACAGGGTGGGGGCTCAGCGTCCCCTTCTTAGAGCTATTCCTATATCCTAATCCTTACTCATTGAGCGCACACAACACATGGACAGTGAGCGGACTGAAGTCGAAGTCAAATCTTCCTCCACTCCAGTCCAGTTTTTAGCTACTAACTAAACAAATTGGCCTACATCTAGTTAGTGACTAGTGACGTTTTACTTGCGCCAGTCGCGCCCTGAGCTCCGGCGCTGCTGCCTACCCGCCGTGCTGTTTAGGGATGATCCGCCGCCATTGCTGCTGCTCCCGCCACTGCCGTTGACCACGCATCCTCCCCCGTTGTAGCGCTCTGGCCCCGGGTAGCGGGCCACGACATCGTCGATGAGCTCCAGGATCCCGATCTTGAACTTCCTTCGCTGCTGCGGCGTCAGTGCCGTAATGTCCGGCAGAATGCTGCGGAAGAACTCCATGTCCGCCAGTTCCGCGACGCTCAGACCCCCATAGAAGTTTGTTCCGCCGTTCGCCATCGTGCTGGTGGCCTCGCACTCCGTCTTGATCCGCTTGGCACTGCCCGGCTCGAACTGGTGCTGGTGGCCGTGGCCAAGGCTGTGGATGTGGTGGTGGTGCGCATCCATCGGATGTGGCAGCGTGTGCGGGTGGTAGTGCAGCGGCGGTGGCGTGCCGCGACCCGCATCGTTGTAGATCAAGTTCGGTCCCGACTCCGCCAGCTGTACGTCCGGAATGAAATTCTGCATACTGTCCGCACTGGCCGTATCGCTCCGAGCAGGAGAACTGCCGCGCGGCTGATGATGACTTGCGGCATGACTTGTGGGCGTGGCTGGGGGAACACCCCGCTGCAGGTTTAGGGTGCTGGCAACGGCGGGGTCGAAGGCGTCGATAGTCTCCTCGTCGTCGTTATCTGACATCGAGTGCTTCAGCTCCATGACCTCTTCATTGTTGTTGTTGTTGGTGGCGGTGGAGCAGTACATGTGCTCCTCGTGGGGATGGGGCAGAGTAAGCGTCTGATGGGGGTGCTGCTGCAAGTGGTTCAGGTGCTGGTGCTGTTGGGAGAGATGGAAGAGCGTGGCCAGGCTGCTGTTGCCGTCCAGGGAGTTTCGCGTGGACTTGAGGAAGGGCAGCAGGAAGGCCATGTGCTCCGTCAGGTAGTAGGGCTTGTGCTGTGGCTCCGATCCGCTCTGCTGCTTGATGTAGCGCGAGAGACAGGCGCGCAGGTTGCGCCACCGCTCCTTGCAGTGAATGACTGGTGGAGGGAGAGACAGAAATGTAGAAACTTAGTTTCCATATGTCACGAATGACGCCCTCTAGCCACTCACCACTTTCACGGGTTTCCTTTGAAATCAGCACCCACGCCTTCTCCTGGTTGTCCCTGGAATAGCAGAGTATCGTTTAGTTGTTCCTGTTCCCCAACGGAGGATATCGAGTCCTACACCCACTCACCTGTTGCGGTACTCGGGCACCTTCTTGTCGTAGAGGCACTTGTGGGTGCGCACCAGATTGACGAACCGGATGTTAAAGTCCTCGTCCGCCTGCATGACGCGATTCGTGGTTCCAATGTTCGCTGGACTATTTCCGTTGTTGTTCCTCTCCTCGCTTTCGTTGTGGTTTCGGCTGTTGCTGTTATTATTGGTGCTGCTGCTGCTGCGCGTTGAGGTTGTCATATTCGATGTTTTGGTGGGGTGTTATCCTGCAGAGAAAAAGGGAAGTAAACTATATTTATTAGACATTCAGGCATCCAATCCGTAGACTTATTCGCAGACATCGGAATGTACATATGTATGTATGTACGTAAATATATTTTCAAACAAACAACAGAAAGCAAACAAAGAGAGAATTCTCTCCTTCTCTGCTTCGTTCTGTTTCGATTTCGTTTTGTTCATGTCATATGTTTGTGTTGGTTTCGTCTCTCCTGCTGCTTCTCCCTCACCATGGTCTTCCTCCGCTGTGCTTGCTGTCTCAGCAGCAGCTTTTAAGCGATAAAGCTTTCTGCTGCTGCCCTCTCAGAGAGCGAGCACTATAGTTCTCACCAGGCGCTTACCACATGTCCATTGGTCTGTCCGTTTCTGGCACAGTTCTTATATTTAATTGTGAATGATCGTGTAAGGGTATCAAATGCTTCGGCTTGTTAAATTTGTGAGCACATATGTATATTTTTGTGAAACTTAATAAAACATTATGGTTGCTGCTGTTTTTGTTGTTGCAGTAGTTGCTAGCATTTTCAGTACAGTTTTGCAAGCGAAAACAACGATAGAGAGAGAGAACAACAGCGATGACGGCGCTGGCAACATTGTTTACTTTTCATATTAATATTATCATGGCTACGAAAACAGCAAAAGCAACAACAACAAGAGCAGCAGCAGCCATACAAAAAAAAAGAACAGGCAATTTTGTTGTTGGTGCTTTTGTTTTTGCTTTTGCTTCTCCAAGTTCTTTTCGCTTCGAAAAACTAGAAAGCTCTGTCAGTTTCACTGATAAGAGCAGCAACAACATCAATTCAATTTTTGTGCTGCAATGCCGTAAAAAACATGTTAGGCAAATGCAGTATTCGGCTGTGTGCGAATACGATTCCCATTTGCTTGGCCGTGTTTTTATTCGCAATGCATTCACAAAGTGATTCGTAAAAAGCCTGCTCCGCCGCAGCCAGCTGCGACCGCGACGCCGACGACTACCTGTTTCGATCTAATCAAAGCCCACTCATTTTTAAGCGCTCTCTCTACCTTTCTCGCTCTCCCCCGCTCTGAGTGATTAACTAACAGTTTTCCCGCCACTTTCAGCACCTTGCGGCGCCTAAGCCCAACCACCAGTTTTGTCCAGAAACAACGTGCGCACAGTGGGATGATTTGGCTATGGAGCAGATTGAAATAAAAGTGATGCGAGCAGCACAGTGGGATGAAAGCACTCTCTTCCCTGCAAAATAATGCGGAATAATGTAAGTGAATGGGGCGAGTGTTTAAATATGAAACACTTGTACCACTGTGTGGCTAGTGTGTGATATTGTTGTGTTGTTTTGCCAGAAGTGAGGTGATAGAATGATGGTGGTGATGATGAGGGCTGAAAGATTAGGGGGAGAGGGCAAACAGCAGAAAACTAACAGTGCTCTAGCAATATTTATTGTACTATTACGTCTATTTAACATAAACATATGTACAATGTGTGCTTGTGTGTATTTGTACTCTGAGAAATGTTTATATATCCCCGACAGCCCCCTCCCTCTCTCACTCTTTCTTTCTTGGCTCCATGGCCCAGTGACAGCAACAGCAAGCAATAGATAGAATAACAGCAGCAACAAAAGACACACACGGACACATACATATATGTATAGATACGAAGACACACACATACACAAACAAACACAAAAACACACAGTTATAGACAAGAAGGAGATTTCACTTGGTTTTTTGCTATCGTTGTTCAATTGTTCATTGTATGCTATACCTTTTGGTGTTGTTGTCTCTTTGCAGGGATTTGATGTGGGTTTTCCGATGGGTTTTCCAAAAATCGGACTTCAAATGGCGCCAGGCAGAAGAAAAAACGGCGCCAAAAACTATTTTGTTGCTCCCAGAGCAACGGGAACGGATTAAAGATTCAAGATTCAAGTCCGACGATTCGACTGACGTAACGTACAAAAGTGTTGAGTTTGAAATTTGTGCGCTCGGGCGCGCTGCTCCACGGCGGCGACGGTGGCAGTAGTCGGTTGTGTCGATGTCGTATGTTTCACGTCGAAAAGCGACTAAAACACACAGATACGCGAGCGGCGGGCCATGGGCGAAAAGTATCTATCGGCAACGTAGAACACACAGAGGCAACAACAATACCAACGACAAACGAGCGGCGAGCAAACAGAGAACAACAACGCACAAAAACCCTGCTCTCTGTCGCACACACACACGCACACCCACACACACACAGCCATATATACACACTCCCAACTGTACATGCAGAGGAGCAGGCAACTGTTTTTATTGTTGCTTTCGTGGCTGACGAACAACAAATAATACAAACAATGCACACAGACGCACACACAAACAGTGAGAGAGACTCACACTCGGACACACACACACTCACACCAAGGCGGAGAAACGGCAACTGCGCGATACAAAATGCAAAGAAACAGTGAGACAGCAAGGCAGCAGCGCGGCAGGAGAGCAACAGGGTGAGGAGAGGCGAAAAACAGCAAAGGCTAACAAAAATTGATGCACAGTGGGCCAGAACCGTGGCGGAATGGCCAAGAGGAGATATGAAACCGCCACTTCCCAAAATAGGCCCAGAGGGATCTCGGAGAATATTCGATCTGCTCATTGTTGCAGGTGAGTTTACGTTTACGGCTTACTGTATTTCAATTACACCATAATCCCCGTCAGAACTGTATGTTTAGTGTCCATTTACCTGCGAACCCGGCCCAGTGTGCGTGCGCCTTCTTCTCTCGCACGTTTTTGTCTCTCTCTCTCTCTCGCAAGCTTTTCAACAAATTGTTGTTTACATTTTCTCTGAGCAGAAATAGCTGAAATTTGAACATTTGAAAACTTTGCCGCCAGATGGCGACTGTCACTTCCGGTTCCACGGTTGTACACGGAATTAATCTCAAGATAGCTCGATATTATATGGATTAGAACAAAGTCAGTTTTGATATGTAGAAAATGTTAATATCACTGTTTTGTTCGTCTGAAAAAGGTAACTTTAGCTCCAGAGCAAAGCAAACCATTTCACAAATCCTTTCGATTATTTCTACTGCCATCGCCAGTAATCTAATCAAAGAAAGCTCTAGGAAAGCTCAGGGGCCTTGGTTGGGCAGCCACCCCCACACTGTCAGCCCACAGCTGGGGGTATGGAATTCGGGGCACTTTAATGATTTGTTTACAACTTTGTTGCCCTGCAATTTACCGCAAGCACACGGCTACGCTCTGCCTGTCAGCCCTCTTTCTCCTCTCTCTCTCTCTCTCTCTCTCTCTCTCTCTCCCTCTCTCCCTCTCTTCTCTCTCTCGGTCCTTTGCCAGTGGAGCTTTTGGGGGCTGTGTCATGCGTTACGCTCAAAAATTCGATAAAAAGGAGGCTCGTTTCTGTTTTGGCCTACATGCCACATGCCACACAGCTCGTCCAGCCCCCCGAACCCAAAGCCGAATCCATAGCCGAGGGAAACTTGGTCACCAGCGCGAGAGCTTCCAAGTGCAGCAACGCTGCGCTGCGCTGCCATACTGCCACAAGCTTGCCTCAGTTGTCAGTTGCCACAGGACGGTCGAGACGAGTTGTTGTTTATCCTTGGAGGCAGGCGCCCATGCACCGTACAGCCTGAGTCTTGTTTTGGTAACGCGGTTGCCGTAGTGTTGGTGTTCGTTCTGTGAGTGTGTGTGTGTCCGCTGTCTTCGGTCCTGTGTCCTGTGTGTGCGCTTAAAAATATTTGCCATAACTTATTTACACAAAACGGGAGCTGGAAACTTTTAGCTGGAACACACGGATACTCGTACAGGATTACGAAAAGTTGAGTTGAATAAGCGAAACGAAATATTGACGCGTACTCCGACTCGGAGCTAGGGGACTTGGGCAGCTTGCAGTGGAATCAAGGATGCCAGAGGAGGATGCAGACTCCGTCGGATGCATTTCTGAAGCGCAGTAGGTAGGTGCTGTTCTTCTTCTTTGTTGCTCTCTTTGTTTCTCTGTTTTCAGCAACCCTCTATCTCTTTATGAGCGGCTCTCTCTTTCACCCTCTCTCTTTCTCTCTCTCTATCTCTCTGTCAGCGTGTGTAGAGTTTCGATTTCGTTAGAAAATCGAAACACAAAAAGAGGCAAGGGCTCGAGGATTGTGGGTGTCGTTGCTGCGGCTACCTGTAGATGCCACACACACATACACGATACACACACAAACACACATCCTCCTGCCAGTTCATGTGAGTGGCGAGTCCTTGAACACGGTTTATTGTCGTTTCACCATTCGCTGCTCCCGTATCCGTCCCTGTGTCGTCCACATCCTCTCCACCCCCGTACCCGCATCCGATTCTTGGCTGCCCGTTTCCGACTCTAATTAATTTATAATTCAAGGTCCACTGAGCCTCCACTGAAGGTTAAATATGACGAACTGGCTTATGTTTGATTGGGGGAGGTGGAGGTCGTTCTAGAATTCTCTCGCGTACCCATACAGAGACGGGGCAAGGAACGCTGAAAAGTTTGAAATTATCCCGTCTTCCCCACTACCCACTACCCATATGCCATCTGGCAGAGATAATTGAAGGAATTTCTTGGCAAAGCAACGACAAAGTTATCCCAAGAATTCGGCGGCAGTGCCGCGATTCCTGAAGTCGAGTTTCGTTTTGGCCAAGTTCTGGCCGATTACGGTCTTTGGCTTTGGCTGATTTTGCAATCAGTAATCCTGTTGTAGTTGTTGTTGTTGTTTGATGGGGGCATTAAAGAGATGGCGATAAGTCAGCGAAGGGCACGGTCTAAAGGGGAGGGCGGGGGGTTCACGGATGAGAATTGTTGCAAGAGGATAGACCGCATTACGCACACGCCACATTGGCCCTGTGACGTGGTCTGACAACATTGGGGGCAAGACACACATAAACAAACACTGGCAAAAGCTTTCCACTGATGACCGTTGGGCGCCTGCCTATTTCCTCTCACCGCCTCTCGAAGTCTCTCCCCAATGGATTGCAGCAGCAGCAGCAACAGAGAACAGCCGTCCGTCTACCTTTCTTCTCGCTCGATTCTTTCGCCGAAAAGCATTTTTCGCCTGAGTAGAAAAATGTTCAATGATTTTCCGCTTAGTGTGAAACGAACCAACAACTAAAACGAAACGAACGCGCGCGCGACGCACAGAATAGAAATATTTTCAAACGCGGGCGCACACAAATTAACCTCCACCCTCCACAAGCCCCTGCCACCTGTCCGTAGCCAGAGCGATATCGAGAGGTGCTGGTCATAACATCTTAAATATAAAATAAACAATTGAATCGAATCGACGAAACAACAGAGACTAAACGCGAGATATAAATATTCGTATCTGTGGGAATTATTATTATTGCAATTGGATTGTGGATTGGATGCACTGATATTGAGATTGAAATCAAGCGAACGACAGAACAGAACGGAACCGAAACGGAGACAAAGAATCCACAAGTAGCTGGCGACGCAACGCGGGGCAGGCCCAGACTAAAGATAAATAACCAAACAGATCGGATAATTGGTCTTTGGGGCGGCTAATGCTAGTTCCCGCTCTAAAAATAAACTCGAACAATACTCGGAGAGAACTGCAGTGCATCGCTCATAGATTTCCCAGGAAGTAGTCGACGGTAGAGCCCTGCCCTTGGAGCCCTGAGGATCCGTGTGAGTAGAGCCCTTCTGTCTGCTGTCTCCCAATTGTCCTTGACCCATCTTGATCGGATTAGGGAAAAATCGAAATAACAAACTTACTCCTAGCCTGTGCGTCACATTTAGAGGGTGAGAGAGTAGCAGGAGAGAGAGAGAGAGAGAGTGGTGGGGCATGGAGTGGAGTGTCGTGTCGTGTGGCGTGTGCCCTTGCCTTGTTGGTGTCTCCGTCCCCGCTGCCCGCACTGCTCGCACACACTAATTCGTCATTTTCCGTGTTGTTACTGTTGTTGGTACCACACGTACCACACGGCGGATGGCGAATAGCGGATGGATGGGTAGATGGATGGATGGATGAGTGGTGTTCACTTTTTATAGCCAGCAACAGTCACACACAAGCCACACAAAATGGTGCGCTCTTCTCGTGTCCTCGTCTCCTCTCCTCCCAGCGCCGCCTCTGTGTGTGTGTGTGTCCCAGTGTGTGTCGACCGACACTGTTTATGTCAATTTGAATTTTGCATGCGGCCGATAAACGCTGAGTGTGTTGACTGTATGCGTGTGTGTTTCAGTGTATGTGGATGAGCGTGTGTCTGTGGGTACCGGAAGACAGCGCAAACTGCGCTTTATTGCAACTTTGTGTGCGGCTTGTTGCAGAATGTGAATGTGCCACGAAGGAGTACTCGAAGACGAGAGAGCGACCAGAGCTATGGCACTTGTCAGAGCGGAAACGGATATCCCGTGTGCTCTTTGCCTAGTCCGCCCTTCGCCTCTGTGCGCGCCTCCTGTTTGTCATTTCATTTCGTCAGTGCCAGAAGCAGAAGCATTCCCCGTTCTTGCCGCACTTGTGTCCTTGCATTTGCAGAACAGGAAATTTTAAATTGAATGTGCAACTTCCCAACCCGCCCCCCGTTTGTCTCTCTGTTTGCCATTGGCTCCAGTTCTAGAGCTCTAGCTGTTGCTCTGTTGTTTGTTCTGCCTTCTTCTGTGCTGTGTCCTGTCTGCTGTCTCCTGTCGCCTGTCGCCTGTCCCCTGTCCACCGTCTCATGTCCGATTTACTCTGTTGTTTGCCTCCCTTTGCTTGGCCGCTGGGCCAGATTTGTTGGTTTAGAGCTGCCAGAGTGTCCAGGGATTGGTGTGTCCGTTGGAACTGGCATTAGTTAGTAAATGGCACATTTTGTGGACAGCAGAAAGTTGACAGGAAGAAGGGAGGAAACAGACACAGCGGAGGAGTGTCCCCCCAAGTTGCTCAATTCCTGTTGCATTTCCCTTTCCATTTCCATCGTACTTTGTAGTCTGTGTCTTGTACTTTTCCCGTCTTCTATTTGCTGCTGCTGCGTGGCCCACATGCATATTTTCCCCTAGATTTATGTGCCTGTGTGCCACACGCAGAACATGGCTTATGTAACAGCTCCCAGGAGTAACCCAATTTCCTCTGGCGCTGCTATTTAAACAAATTTCGGCATGGCATCCCGTTGCACATCCGCTGGCCTCGATTGGAGCCCTCCGATTGGGCAGAATCGGTGTCACCGCTCAGCAGGAGGTCAAGCAGCCGCATCCACATTCACAGTCTCTTCCCCGTCCCTTTCCGCCTCAAGCACTGCCACTCGACCCCTTCCCGATGAGATCAGACGATGAGATGCACGGCCGAAAAGTATCTTTGTGAGCGCGTATCTGTGCCAAAGTGTTGGCCTAACTGCCGGCTGACTACTGACTGCTCCTTGGTCCCTTTGGCTTTTACTGTTATTGTTGTAATCGTGTGGCACACACACACACAGACGCACTTTACATGCTACATGCCACATGCATGTATTATCCCATAAACACTTAACGTCGATGCTGATGTCGATTTCGCTTGGCTTTGTCCCTAGCTTTGTCTTTGTCGGCTTTCTGGCTTATCGCACCCATCCGGACGAGAGAATGAGACATGTGGCATGATGGCCTACCACCCACTCCACCAACCCACTACTAAATATCCATCTTCTTGTTCGTGTGTGATGTGTCCTGTATCCTGTGTGTGTGTGTTTGTGTGGAGGGGTCTTTGGGTTCACTTGAAGCTGCCTCAAGTTGTTGTCGCTCGATGTTCTCGTTATTCTTATTATGCTCCCACACATGCCTCATGCCACATGCCACTGTTATTTGCGTAAGTGTAAGTGTAAATGCATGTACATACATACATACATGTGTGTGAGTGCTTGTGTGGCTCTCAATCCTTTTGTATTTGAAACAACAATGAAATACACTCATATAAAGACACAGACAAAGAGAAAGCGAGAGAGAGTCGCCACACACTCAGACACACACACACACACACACATGTGAGTGCATGAATATTTCATTATATATATCGGATTTCTCAGAGCTTTAGCCCCCCCGGTGTGTTGCCCCCGTGTCGCTGCTGCGGCAGCAGGTCCTCTTCTCTCCCTTCCAGTCTTCTCTTCTCTGCAAGTGTCTGCAGTTTGCCCCGATTTCGAGTGGAATCGGTATTGGAACACTTGACGTTTGTGTGGTAATTACGAGAGGGAGGATGGGGGGTATTCCACTTTCATGAAAGAGGATTACGTGGCGTAGAAAAATGTTTGTTCGAGCCCCGATTTGATCTCCTTCGTTTTGCTTCGCTTGTGAATGCATCATAATTATTCCACCCATTATAATGACAGGATCCACAGCCGCGTCTTGCAGGCGCCTCCCTCCCTTCCCTCCTTCCATCATCAAGGGGTCATCAATCAAGAGGGGGTGTGCGTGTGCATCATTTGCGTATCACTTTGTCCGAGAGTGTGCGAGCAATTTGCCACCGGAGGAGGCACAGTGTCTGTCGATTGTTTTCGGCTCAAGGAAATGTTTCCCGAGTTTCAATTTCCGTCGTTTGTCAAACTTCTCATGACGCATGAGGGGGGCGGGGGATGAGTGATTCATGGGTGTACTATTTCTGATGGCGACTTCCGTCTTCCTTCCATTCCATCTGATGATCTCTGGACAGCGGCCAGCAGCAGGCGCTGTCTTCCATAAAATTCCGAGAAGAAAACAAATTAAAAGTCTACGGAACGAATGGAGATGATATCGTAAAGATTGGAATTCGTAAAAACAAGAGCACAACAAATACGAGTATGTGTGCTGGACAATCAAAACCGAATTAAAAGAGGATTTTTAAATTTATAAATTTATAAATTTGGGAACGGATTGACTTGCTTTTGGATGGGACGATAGTCTCAGACCTCTGTACTTCTGAAAACATTTTTGACAAATGAATCAGGTTGCCTTTCTTGTATATTTATTGTTGTGCGGCCAGAAAGAGGTCTGCAAATTTATTCGTATTTATTATAGAACCCGAACAACCGACAGGCAGCCAGCCCATGGGCTGCCGCAGGCAACGTCTGTCTGTCAGATGGGCGACGGCTACTACGGGGCGCCCCTGGTGCCACCCACCCGCACATCTTCTATGTACAATAATTTAGTGTACGACCTGCATTGGCCGGTCCGCCAAACCCTCGATGAGTAGTCGCATAGGGACAGGGAGGAGGCGATTTCTCGAGTCGTGGCGGAGTGCGTGTTGACCAGGTTTGAAGCGAGCAGCGCGATTGCGTGGGCTCCCGTTCCGTTGCGTTTCCAATAGGAATGGAAATGGGGAGGAAAATTAAATAGAAGAAAACCATAAAGGTGGAATACTCTCTCCCTTTCACTTTTCCTGGGATTTCCCAACATTTTCCCTTGGCTAATCGGCGGAAGGGTATGATGGGGGGTGCGGGTGCCTGCATTTTTTTTTTTACTTGTTTGTCTTTTAATTTGAAATTGTATAGCCTGTTTACTCGGGAGCACTTTACTGCTCCGTGCTCTCTGCCCCCTTTCGCTAGGCATTGCCTCGGGACTCGGGTCTCTGGACTACGCCTGGGTGTGGGTGTGTGTGTGTGTGATTGTGTGTGTACTCCGGCTAATAGCCTGTGACGTGTATAGACGCAGCAGAGTCATCCAAAGGAGCCACTTTCGTCCCCATAAGGGGGTTTCCTCTAAGCTCCGTCTCCTACTCCCACTCCGGACTTATGTGGGGTAATTGCATTTCCTGTAAAGTGGGGCACATGTGACGGTCCGTTGCATTATTAAGTGGACACAGGGATAAGTGGTCACTGGGTGAATGGTGGGTCAGAGGCGTTGCACTGAGCAGCTTATAAAGTGCATGCCCTGCTATTATCCCTGTCGATCGTAGGGTGGAAGGGTGGGGCATTCGGTTCAATTAGCACCTACATAAGTTCCGCCTCCGTTCTCCGCCCACGCATAAACTGCCTCTGACGACCCAGTCGGGTAGGCATCGGGCATCGGCAGCGGCATCGCACTGTTGTCCATCAGGTGAATGAGTCAGCGAGCGTCCATTACCCGCCGCCTGTCATTCAGCCAATTACCTGGGACCCAAAAGCAAACAAAGCAGCGGTCGAAGAATATTGGGAATAAGCGGAAAACGGAAAACGGAATACAGTGGAAGACCAATGCAGAGAAAGAGAGAGGCGGAGTGGCGATGGATGCATGGCAAACGATGATGGTTCATTCATTCATTCATATTTCTTTGAGGCAATTCATTTATGTCCAAATATTGCTCATAAAGATGGATGGGTGTATCTGTATCTGAATATGCTGTATATCTGTATGTGTGCATCTGTGGGGCAGCATGTAACAGCTGTTTGCAAGAAGCAGAACTGTAGTTGCAAAGAGAGAAGCGACATCTCATGTAGTCCCTCTCTCTCTCACTCTCTCTCTTCTGTCGCTTTCCAGTCGCTCTTTCGCTCGATCTCTTCTCCTTCCCGGATGAATTCAGCGAGACACATCCCTGAAATGAACATTCGGCGACGGCGGACGGAGAGAGTAAATTGGCTTGAATCTCCCGTGAACCACTGCGGGGATTTCTTTTCGCTTTGCAAGCGTTTGGCGTTTGGACGTGTCGCTTGGATGTCGCGTCAACCTACTGGTCCGTCCGCAGAGCAAAGTTAGTTTAACTGGGCGTATACGCAACGTAAGGCAAGGCAACGCGCCTCGAACCTACTGCCTACTGCCACCCATCAGCCATCCGCCCCGTGGTGCCGTCGCATCCATCTCCGCGCTGCCGGGCCGTCGTTACTACGTAGCCGCGTTCCCCGAGATCGTGATTGAGATCAGAATCTCGATCCGCAAATCGCATTCCCCAGCAGCTGCCAGTCGTCGCGTTCCGTTCGCTCTGTGTCGCTCTGCCTCTCGACCGACGAGTCGTCGTTCCACGCGCACCACTTACGAGAGACTGTCGCTCGTTACCCGTATCCGTGTATCCGTATCCACTTATCCCCGCTTATCTGCATCTGTATCCGCATCCCGTGGCGGATTAGATCGGAGATCGAAGATTAAATCGATTCGAATCAAATCTGCTACTGCGTACACTACTACTGCCGTACACTGCCAGCTGTCAACGGAGCGGGCGATGCGCAGAACCGTTTGGAACTAGAAGCGTTTGAAAGGCACGGGATTTTCAGCTTTTCTTTCTGCCTTTCTATTGCTATTTTTACCGTGTGTGTGCGGTGCTGTGCGGCCAACAACACATACTACGATACAACATTTTCACATATTTTTCCTTAACAAATTTGCCCGAGTTTTCTTCTCTGCTCCACATCTATGCATGTGTAAGAGTGTACGAGTGTGCGTGTGTGCGTGTGTGAATGTGTGGAAAATTTCATTTTCATGGCGTTAAATAAGTTATAAAACAACATAAACGATAAGCGAGTGATTGCAATCGAAAATACTCGATAAATAAAAAATGAATCAAGGGATTCAGTGCCAGCCTCAACTGTTCCACAAGTAATCTTCTCCGAAGAATAATCAGAGGACTATGAATCCAATTTAGATTCGATTAGGAATCCAATCTGTGTGGGCGTGTGTGTGCGTGAAAGAAGAGCATCGAATACTCTATGCATCGGATCGATTGGGGCAAAGAGTCAAGCTGTCACTCGCCACATTCCGCTCTCTCTCTGCTCTCTCCCGGTTCCCCTCTGCCACTTGCCATTTCTTTTGGCTGGGATGCAGCTGAGTGCATCGGAAAAGCGTGTCAAGTAAAAGACCTTCCTTCCCTCCTTCCCTTACCCCTTCGAGTGAGTGCAGCATAGGCATTGGCATATTCGTGCTACAATAACTGCCACAGTCAGTAGTTGTCGCAGCGTCGTCGGTCTGGCTTTTCGGGTGTTAATACTTAATTTATGTGAACCTATAAATAATTTCAATTTAGAGAATGCTGTTGACTGCCGCCACAGTGCCACAGTGCCTCTCAGCCCCAGCCCTACTCCAAGTCCCAGCCTCAGCCTCGCAGCCTCTCGTCTCGGGCATCTTCTTCTCCTTTCCTTCCTATATTATACTATACTATAATATAGTGCGAGTTGTACGAAATAACATGCTAAAAATACCAAATACTGAACGCTGCGTGTTCTTTTAACAGTGTGTGTACAGTCTTTGAGTGTGTGTATGTGCGTGTATCTATGAGGGAGAGAGGAAGACAGGGTGAGTGCAGTGCGAATTGATTGAAGTGCAGGCAAGTCCCCAACTAAAACAAAAGTGATCCATCTCTAAAGAAACTAAACTGAAGCGCATAACGCGTAAGACCAGAAAAATAAAAAAGACGGGCAAAGACAGAGTAGGATGGCAGATGGGATTGTTGTTTGAGTTTTATCGGAGGAAAAGCGGAGGAGAGGAGAGCAGTATTATGCACATCGACAACCCTACCGACGTCAGTCAGTGGACTATTATTTAATTTTCATCTAAATCTCAGGCAAGGAGAGTGGAAGAGCGATCGGCAGGGAAGAGACGGAGGCGGGGACAGTTTTTGGCAGAAAAGAAAATTAAATGAAAATACTGAAAATGAGACAGAGATGTTTTTGCTAAGCACTAAAATACAGTTGAATACTACTCGTACACTCGTACAGTGAATATTACGAATATTTTCGGTTGCTCGTCGAACGAATTTCAGTTTTCGGTTTTCGGTTCAGTTGTATCCCATTTTACGAGTATGTGGCTGCCGCCTCTCTGTGTTCGCTTTATTCGAAAGAAAATCTTTTAAAATAACAATGATACGTACCGCTCTCCGCTATCCGTTCTTCTCTAGCCACTGGCCACTGGCCGCTGTCTTGTTTATAAATAAATGCTCATACGTAGGATGATGTTCTTTATCAGATAGAGAGAGAGAGAGAGAGAGAGAGTGAGAGTGATAATATGCCCAGGACAGAGGCAGAAGGCAGCCACTTGCTTCGGATTGGATTGGATTGATTGCTCCATTTGTCTTCCAGTTAATAATTGCTGCTGCTTCGATTTATGGTCAACCAATCTCCATATCCATCTGCAGCTTCCTCTCTTCCCTCTGTTCAGCTTCAGCATCCAGCAAATTTTTGGCTTTGGCCATATTCTGCCTGGTGCTGTTGCGGGGTCAATTTGTTTAGAGCAAGAAAAGGGGGAGGAAGTGTTGCCAAAGAGGAGCCGAGCCAGTGGCTCCTACGAGCGGTAGTTGCGTGTGTTTTCATCATCATTAATGTTTAAACAAAACAACATTGCCCCCACAGTCTGTGGAGTCTGGCAATGGCGGGGAGCAACTCTCCTGCTTGTTCTGCCTTTGCCACTAATACTGCTACTGCCACTGCCACTGCCTCTCCCAATTCCAATCGCAATCGCAATCCCATGCCCCACACACGGTGATTCCGCTGCTCGGTGTGTGGATGTTGTCTATTAATAACAAAGCTTCTGAAGAATTTGCCTCTCGTCGCGTCTAAACCAAATCGTTTTGGCGGCGACCGCAGAAGAACAATAAAACGCGAGAGGCAAACCAGAAAGCAGAACAGCAGAAAATAATCCAAACCAAAGAAGCGGCCAGGCCAAGCAGCAGCAGCAGCAGCAAAAGGAGAAGTAAAATGTTTGCGGAATACGCAATGTTGCAAGATGGTTAAAGTAAACAAGTGCCTGGAGCGGGGCCGGGTCCAAACAGCCCGTTCAAACAAGAATGATTGGGCATGCCCCGACACTCGCCCCCCCTCGCCCATCCGCTGCCTGTGAGTGCATTTGAACTCTGACTGTTTGCAAACCTCAAGATTAAGCCTCAATCTTCAATCCTCTATTCACAAATAAAATCATTTCCGGTAGAGCTTTGACAGGTTTTCCCTTCTGTACCTTCTACCCCCACCGACATTCCCCTCCACATACTCCATAAAGCAAGCTCCTCGGATATTCGAGAATTTGTCGATGGAAAATGTGTTCACTTGATGCCTTGATGGCAGCAGGAAGCGGAATTCGATTCCAGAAAAGCGAAACCAAATATTTCTCCCCACTTCACCTCCCTCCGCCCGTTGAGTGGAGGAGGGACCGGAATATTCGAAATAAACTCAGAAACAATTTCAGCGCAAATCTTTAATATACAACTACGTGGCAGAGTCTGCGATTACTCAGCATCATCGTGAAATATTTGATAGTTCCACTCGTCGTTCCTCGGTCTCCAGAGGAGTACACATGATCCCAAGACCTAAGGCACCAAATCTCTGATCCAGTGGGCATACTCGGAGTATAATTTCCCCATACAGCAACGAATGCAGGAAAAGTGCAACGTGAGAGACCATGAAGAGGACTCTGCAGGTGCTTTGCGTTGCATTCGCTTTCTACTATGCAATATTCGTTATATTCTATTACTGCTATCGAGCATACATTTAAAGAAACCTGCGAGTACATCCATCCATCGATCCATCTGCTGCCTGGGAATTGCTGCTCTGCCCTGCCTGAGAACAGCTGAGCAGAGATAATTGACGCAAGAGGCGGCGGTAGCAGCCGCTTGCCATTGAGAATTTTGTGGCACTTGACGTGGTTCGTGCACACACACACACATATACGTAAAATATATCGGATAGATATAGGATATACAAATGTAGATGTGGGTGCTCTGCTGTGTGTACGGGTGAGATAAATTCGGTTTTTGCCAGTGCACTGAGAAAATAATAAAAATATAAATCGCATCCATGTACATTGAGAAGAGCACTGCAAATCGAATGCAATTACGTCGAATCCATTATGCATCGTCACCTACTTGAGTCGTACATCACATCATTCTCTCGCCTTCGACTTTCTCCAAGGTATTTTCCATTACCCCCTGTCTCCCCCTGTCTCTTGCTGTCTCCTCCTCCAATCACAACCCTGCCGCTCATTTCAGATCGTAATAAAATTACGTTACGCGCGTGGCAAAAAACGTACAATAAGGGAACTGCTGGGAATGGGGTAATTCTGAACAGATATTCTTTCGCCAGATGAAAATCAATTAAACGGGCCTTATAAATCACTCGGAATACTGAATATTCACATATAGACACAGAGATCCGAACAGGAGGGTTCAGTAAATGCTTTCTTTGGCAATGCTTGGCACGGAATATTCTCAAAATATTTACTTAAATTGCATAATGGATCTATGGTGCTATATAGTAAATCATTCATGAATCTCTCTTTTTTTTCCACAATTGCAGATCGCTCTCAGACTCATTTCTGGTGACAGGACAAGAATGGCCTACGACATCAGCATAAAGAACCACAATTGTCAGAAGCCATCATCGATAGAGTCTTGGGGCATGCAACTGTAGCATCCGAGGAAAAGCCAAGACCAAGACAAGCAAAGAACAGGATAACTGCTGGAACAGAACGGCAGAAGGGCCGGAGAGCCGACAAATTACAACTTTCGCGTTTCAGTGAAAAAACCCAACAATTTAACTACGGAACATACATAGTTTTAGCCCCTAACTAAACTACAACTACAACTATTAAGCAAAATTAAGCACTAAGCAGAGCAGCTAACGAACTAAGCGAAACGAACTAAACACTAAACTAAACTAAACAACACAAACACCACATAACACCACAAGCCCAACTAAATGCAGATGAGGCAGAAGCAACTACAAAAACAACAAAAAGGAGAGCAAGAAGTGCAACAATCGAGCGGAAAATCAATGAGCAGCAAACGAAAGCATAAAAAGCTCAAGCCAACAACGACACTCAACTGTAGAGGAGGGGGCAACCTGTAGAGAGCGAACGGCAACGTGAGAAAACGAAGCTTTGAGCATGCAACAGGCTGGCCAACTCACGCAGCAGCAACAACTTCAGCTACAGCTCCAACAGCAGCAGCTCCAGCAGCAGCAGCAGCAACAACAGAATGGCGGCGATGCGGCCGCCTATGCCGCTGCGTCTGCTGGCCAAGCTGCAGGCCCAGGCGGAAGGCGTGCCGCGATAAGTGGCGGCCGCTTCGACTTTGAGGATGGCGGCACCTACTGTGGCGGCTGGGACGAGGGCAAGGCTCACGGCCATGGCGTGTGCACCGGCCCCAAGCACCAGGGAGCCTATGCCGGAGCCTGGAACTACGGATTTGAGGTCTCCGGCTCGTACATTTGGCCCAGGTAAGTAAAAGATGCTAATGGAAAACCTCCAGCAATCGCTGATTTCGGTGCTGTTTTTGCAGCGGATCCCACTACGAGGGCCAGTGGCAGAATGGTCGTCGCCATGGCCTGGGCGTGGAGCAGATCGGGCGGCAGATCTACCGCGGCGAGTGGTCGAAGGACGGGCACAAGGGACGCTACGGCGTCCGGGAGAGCACCGTGTCGACGGCCAAGTACGAGGGCACCTGGAACGAGGGTTACCAGGATGGCTCCGGCTGCGAGACCTACGCCGATGGTGGTAAGAGGGCACGGGGAACCCACCCACTGCGTACTGCGTATACGTTATACGTATACGTAATACGTGCATGAGATCATTTTGCGTTTGGTTTTTGGCTCGGTTTCAAAACGCGGCGAACATGAATGCGAATGCTTGCTTCTTGCCTTTTGCTTCTGTTTTACTTTTTGACGTTTCTGTAATCATTTGTAGGCGTCCGAGTGTCCGTTCGTCCGTGTACGTTCGTGTCCGTGTGTCAAGTTGTGTGTGTGTGTGTGCGCCACACGGGGAGGAAGAGTGACCCACCCTGACGTCATATTTTTATTTCTCATCCGCGGTTCAATGATATTTTGCTCTGTTGCCTGCCGCTTTTCGTTTGTTGGTTTTTATTTGTACATTTTTTCACCATGAGTGGGGTTTTTCTGGGGAAATTCTTGATGGGAAAACACATGGCTCTGGCCGAGTGGCGGTGTCTGTTGGTGGCTGCCCCATTGCATTCCCCGAAAGTCCATCCATCCAAAGGGTTTCGTCTCCACCTACCCAACCACCCCCACTCCCATAAATTGGAATGGTTCCCCAATATGCAAATGTGACCTTTTGGGCCCAAGGGAATTGGCGCATAGCTATTAATTAGCATTAGCATTAGCCGAGGGATAAGTAGCATTTCCTAATCAACCCACTCCATGCCGCAGGCACAAGCAATGGAAAATGGAAGTGGCAATAGAAAGCCATGTGAATGGCAGGACTCCTTCAGGCGGAAGGCACGTGGAGCCATTGATAGAAGTAGAAACTGCTGAGGGAAATACATTTAACTTGGGCTTCCTGTGGACAAAACAAAACAGGACACAATGCAGCTGCACTTATCGTTTGCATATAAATTTTATTCAGAAATTCAGAGGGGACTGCTGCATATTCATTCGAGCATTTTGATTGCTTTGATTGCAGGAAAGTACCAGGGACAGTGGCAGGAGGGGAAGCGCCATGGCTACGGCATCCGCACCTCAGCTCCCTTCGGCCTGGCCTCGCACCACCGGCGCAAGAACCTGCACGCCTCGCTGAGCTCCCTGCGCAGCGGAGAGAACGGGAATGCGGCAAAGATGGCGGCGGAAAAGTCGGAGGAGATCCGTGGGGGCTTTGTGCTGACGGCCAAGTCGGATAAGCTGCCGGTGCGCCGCAATAGTCTGACGGAGAAGTCCAAGAAGGGATTCCTTATGGTGAGTCTGCATCAGGGTTCTCTTCCCCAGAGCAGCCTTCAATTCATTTCTTTCCACTTTCCGCAGGGCCTCAAGATGCGCAAGCAGCGCAGCACGGGAGATCTGGAGAAGCGTGGCACGATTGCGTCCGGCAGCATACGGTCCACCATGTCCTCGGCTTCCTGGATCAGCACTGGCTCCGAGCAGTCCAACCTGACGCAAAAGTAAGTAGAAACAGAACCTATCCGGAGTGTCCACTAATTCCGCTCGCATCTAGATCAACGCACACGGAGTCCAATGCCAGCTTCACGCTGGAGGACGAGCAGCTGGATCCCACTGTCGTGGAGACCTACATGGGCGAGTGGAAGAAGGACAAGCGCTGTGGTCACGGCGTGGCAGAGCGCAGCGATGGCCTCAAGTAAGTCGAATCTTCTATTCCCATCCTAACTACCCATCTAATGAATCCCCTCGAATCCTTCATAGGTACGAGGGCGAGTGGTACAACAACCGGAAGCATGGCTACGGTGTGACCACCTTCCGCGACGGCACCGTCGAGGAGGGCAAGTACAAGAACAACATCCTGATCACCAGCCAGAAGAAGAAGCATTTGTTCCTGGCGCGATCGCGCAAATTCCGCGACCGCATCACGGCCGCCGTCAACTCCGCCCAGCGCGCCCTCAAAATGGCGATGCAGCGCTCCGACATGGCCATATCCCGCATGGCCACCGCCGCAGCCAAGGCCCAGAACGCGGACATGGCCGCAGAGCAGGCGAGGATCGACTGTGAGAACGCCGTGCGAATGGCCCGAGAGTTTGCTCCGGACTTTAAGCCCTCAGTGTTGGAGCGCTTTGAGAAGCTGCGCTACCGTGAGCGGGAACGCTTCCGCGGCGGACCCCCAGCCCCAACCGAGGCTGGGATGAAACCCACTGTAACAACGGGAATGGGCATGGGCATGGGCATGGGGGCTGGAGCGGGAGCTGCATCAACGCTGCAGCAGCAACAGCAGCAGGGACAGTTCTCGCCGGCGAGCAGCAGCGGATCGGATGCCTATGCCACACAAGCACAGCGCCAGCAGCAGTATCTGAACATGCAGCAGCAGCAACGGCGCATGTCCCAGCAGCAGCAGCAGGAGTCTGAGTGCCCCGTGCCCTCGTCCATGTACTCGCAGCAGCTGCCCGTCTCGCCGCAGACGGATCTCTCGGGAATGGTCAGCCAGGCGCAGCCCAGCCACGCGCAAGTGATCAGTGCCATCAATCAGATGTACCACCAGCAGCAGCATCAGAGCCAGCAGCAACAGAGCAACCCACAAATGAATCCTGCATATCAGTTCCAACAGCAGCAGCCGCCCGGCCAATCCAAGATAAATCTGACGCAAAACCTGACGCAAAACCTGTCGCAAAACCTGACGCAGAACCAGACGCAGGCCCAGGCTCAGGCACAGGCACAGACACAGGCTCAAGTTCAGCAGCTTCCCTTCGGGGCTGGCACCAATCTGGCGAACATGTCGCCACAGCAGCAGCAGCATCAACAGCAAATTCAGCAACAGCAACTCCTTCAACAGCAGCAGCAGCAACAGCTTCATCAACAACAATCCTCAATGCATGCCTCGCCCAGCCACAATGCCGCCAATCTACTGCGACGTGCCTCGCAGATGCAACAGCAACAGCTGCATGAGGCTGTCGCTGCCAATGCCGCTGCCATGGCAGCCGCCCAGCAGCAACAGAGAAGCGGACGTCCGCCCATGCTGGGCCAGATGGGCCAGCAGTCGTCCATTGACCATTTCGACCATTACAAGCGGCCGCCCAGCCGCGACTCCTCCATCGACAGGTACGCGCGAGCCGCCAGTCGCATGAGCGGCGCCTTTGCCGGCTCCCGTCAGACCTCGCTCGATCGTTCCGGAATCGCCGACCCAACGCTGACCAATGGGGGAACCACCACACCTGACGGGCGTCCACGTGCCGGCTCAGTATTCCGAGGATCCACCCCGGTGCCGGGAGCAGCCGCCGGCACCTCGAACATGACTGGCAATGGATCTCTGCCGTCCGGAACTGGAGGCAGACTGTCGCGGGCAGGCACCCCCAGTCTGGGTGCTGGAGCCCGGGCGCCCAGTCAAAGCAACACGGTGGAGCCGCTCTTCTCCTCGCCCAACCAGCCGTTCGAGGACGTTCTGCTGCGTCAGCGGACGCTCGGACAGGATATCATTCCCTCGCCATTGCAGCCCAAGCGCACGGAGAGCCTCTACTTGCCAGCCAAGCCGGCCACGCCGGTTGGCATGGCCATGGGCGGCAAAGGTGGTGGAAAGAAAATGAAGGTGAGTGCAGCATATCTATCTATTGCTCTTTCTTCTACAAATCTGGCATCATTTCTTGCGTTTACATAAATTGATATGTATATACATATATCGTATATTTCATAATACAGTTAATCCGCGGAATGAACTTTATTTGTGTGGCATCTAGCATCTACTTTGGTATGTCTGTGTCCCATACACATCCCATGGGTGTCTGTCTGTCCCCTTGGAGTGCATGAATGTGAATGCGAGTGTGAGTGGGGCTAAGAGAGCACGAGTACGAGTACAAGCCTGAAGGCTTGTATTCATTTTCAAACATTTCTCGGCCAGCTCTCTGGCGGCGGGGCTAACATGTGCCCATTCTGGGCTATTTTTAGTTGGGTGCGAATGCACGCCAGGCGGATCAGCCAGCTAGAGATTGGAATGCACGTCCCGTGCTGTGCTCTACGGCTCTCGCTGAATCTCTCGCTGCTGCTCAGCGGATGAACACTCCACAAGTGGTCATTGGAAAGCCCACAGGGAATGAGTATTCGTCAAGAGTGTCGCCTGTCGCCGCTCTGCTCATTTGCAGCCTGCCAGCGACAGTCTACGGCTGCAGAGTTTTCGAAATGTATGCGCTAGTAGCAAACGACTCGTCGGCCACAACAGATTGTGGTTTCGCCTCCGATTGGGGTCCGGTCCACTTTGAATGCCACTTCGGAGCAGTAGCAGTAGCAATATAAATATACATATGTGTCCCATTCAAAACAACAAGATAAATACATAAAATTCAAAAAGCAGAAGTAGAAGAAGAGGCAGAGGACGGCCAATATCTGTTGTTGTTTTGGCTCATTGCCGTGCCATACCGTGCCGTGGGTTGTTCGACTATTTTTGGCTGACGAATCGCGACTCTTGACTCTCTGCGTCCGTGTCCGTGTCCACGTACGCGTCCGAGTCACCATTGTCTGTATTAAGTAAAACCGATACCGAAACGCCATGTCCAACTCGTTTACTAGTTGGAACCGTCTGTAGGGGATTACACAAATTTTGCAACGTTATGCAAGCATCGCTCTTGCTGCAGCCGCCGTATTAGAACTCTTGCTCAAACTGTGAAACCGAAATCCTACAATGGACTGGTATCCCGAGGAGGATGAGGAGGACCTGATGTTCTCGCCGGCTCTGCTGGCGCGTCGTGCAAGCGAGAGTTGGATCGTCGAGCCGCCAGTCGAGGTGGAGAATCTCCCTCTTTGATTCTGTGTGTGTCCAGCGTATTAATAAAGGGGGGACTTGGTTTATTTCTTCCAGACGGTGCCCATCAATGTGTCGCTGCAGCGAAAGAAGTCCATGCCAGACTTCCAGGAGCTGCCGCGTGCCACCGAGGCCATGAGTCGCGAGGAGGTCTCTGCTTTGGGCTCGGCCCGACGCGAGGCAGTGCGTCGACAGATCGAAGTCAACGAGCGCCTCAAAGCGAATCCCTTGCTGTACTTGGTCAGTCCACAGGTTAGGGTGAGTGTTGCTGAATTCCTCGATTATGGATTGTATTCTATTTCGTCTGTTCTTCTTCCAGGATTGGTTTGTGCGCCAGCAGCTGGTGCTGCTTGTCTTGTTTTTCAATGCGGCGTTGGCACTACTGTTTGTCTACATGCTCACCTAGCGGCGAAGGATACGCAAGACGACACGAGGCAGGAGCAGATGTGCTTGCGGGTCGGCTATTATGCAGCCCCTGTAAGTTGCTCAGTTAGTCAAATGCGCATCCCGCGCTGTGTTTCTATCCTTCACTGTTTCGTGTGCAATGTGTAGTCCACTCCCTCCACACTTTTGTGGGGGCGCGGCTAATAACATTTTAGCATTTGCAGTAACAAACAAATTATGAAGCAAAATAAGTAGCCAACGTACTATACATACTCTTCTCGTATGTGTATATCATATGAATATGAAACAAAAAGAGAAAATGAGAACAAACACACAAAATCGAATTACAAATCTAGACTGCAGCCAACTAAAGAATAATTTAATTAACTAATAGCGCAGAATTGCAATGCAAAAATCGTAGGAAACTACTAGTAAAATACTTGAACCAAACCGGGTGGCTGTGCGGCCATTCGATTAATTTGTCAAGCCAATTAAACAATTTATATTTGTGGCTAACCAGAAAGGAGAGGAGGTAGCGGCAGGAGCAGCAGAACGAATAACTATATTCAAATCAATTTAACGAATTTTCTACACATTTAATGTAAAGCTAAAGGTAAAGGTAAAGCAGAATGAAGGAAAAAAAACAAACGCAGAAGCATAATCAATGTTTGAACATAACACAACTTTGGCTACATAATACTCGTAGATAATACGAAAGCAAATCTTAGACAAATGCAAAGAAACCAAAAACATAAACTATTTCCTAATTGCAATTGAATCTACATTAGTCAGCAAACTTAATCAAAACAAAAGGCAACTTAATAATACATGTACTCATATTTATATATTACAAATCGTAACGATGTGACACCTATATTTGTATAATTAGCTAAATTGTGTGGGACCGAAAACAACAAGAACAAGAGCAGCAGCAGAAGCTACAAGAAATCAAAAATCTAGGGCGCTTTCTTTTGGGTTAACCAGTTGAAAATTTTTAATGAAAAAAAAAACACAAAATCTATGAAATATATATTTAAAAACAACGGATTGAGATTATTAACGAATGAAGCTGTATATATACATTTTAAAATATCGTATAACTATAATTATTTTCTTCTCCATAATTTATGTTTAATTTCATAATATCATTTCAATGTGTTGGAATATATCGTTTTTATTTTCAGTAAATTTATTATATACGAAGATGTTTTCAACTTTATTATTTATACTTTTTCATTTGTTATAGAGATTTTTATGCATAAATTATTGAAAAGAAATAAAACCGCACATTCGCATCTTAGCAAGTGTATTCGGTAATCTTTTATTTGATAACTATACTATTTAATATTTATATTTATATTGAAAAGAAAATGAAAACTCTCAAGTGCAATTATAGTAAACTGTAAAACTTTCTGCTTTCTTCAGCTATTTGATGTGCGTCGATAGAGCGCGATCATAACTCACTTTGGTCCTATATTTTGTAAGGACCTTTTTCATTCACATGTAAGGAAAGAGAAATTGGAAATTTTCTGACATGACAAACGTGCAGAAAAATTACGAATTGAAAGACTTGAAACTGAAAATTGTTGGCTGATTTGTGAAAATTTAAAATAAAAACAATTTGAAATGAAACTGTAATGGGACTCGCGCGGTGCAAGTGTTAGGTGAACTTGATTCAAGTATTTATATTGCATTATATTTGCATACAAAACTGAATAAAACTACCGAGCAAATCAAGTAATTTATGTATATATGTATGTATCTATGTTTATCAGATTTGCAAGCATACTCAAAGATAAAGCTGGAAAAATGCATAAGATAAAATCTTAGTAAAAGTTATCAATGTCAAGAAAATATATCAAAATGATACCATGATAATTAAGGAAACTTTTTGAATACTATAATAAAACTCAAATTAACTTATCGTTGACGAGATTTTAATGGCGGTCGAATGTCTGGAATGTAGGTCTGGTCGCTACAGCAGCGCTGAACAGTTGGTCAGTCGAACATATAAAAACCATTGCATACTTTTGGGGTTGTGTTTAAAAGTGTAGCATACTTTCAGGCTGGTATATTGGACCTATATATTACAAAATTGCGTGTAACGGGCGTATCCTTCCAGCCCTGAGGTCCTTGATCGATTTAAAGGATACAGGAGACCCTTCCGCTCACGAGGACATGCGTCACGTCTGGATCGGTTGAGATATGGCGGAGTTATAAAAATTTAATCCTTAGTCCTTGATGTCCTTGATGCAAACAAAAATTTTGTTTTTGCACAGTGGCGCCCCCATTGTTGAACGGCTATTTCTGGAACTACCATGCTTTAGTTCCAGCAGTGGCCGTCAGTATTTTTGGGGGCGCCACTGAGGAACCGAAAAACATTTTGCACATGTCCGATAAATGTCTAAAACATGTCCGACAATGTGTTTTTTGCTGAATCTTTTTTTGTGGCCCGACTGGGACGTGCAGCGGTTTCCTGTGAGCGGGGGAATATCCTTGATTTTATGGAGTCCTTGCCAAGGATCAAGGACATCAAGGATCAAAATATTTAATTTTCTCGGACATTTTCCCCACTCATACTTGTTTACTTTTCTCCGCCATTTCTCGTCAGATCTGGCCATGCTATACCTTTTTGTGATTGGCAGGATGTCCCCGGCCGCATCAAGTACACTAAGAATATTGACTTGAAATCGCTATAGCTCCTCCATTCCTCATCCGATCTGAACGTGCAACACCTTCTTGTGATCGGGGTAACATCCGTTAACTAATGGAGTCCTAATTAAGGATCAAAGTTATTTTCCCCAGTCATATATACCTTGTTTTCTCTGTTATTTGTGGGTCGATCAGAACATGCCATGGCTTTTTGTGATCGGGAGAACATCCTTGCATGAGTCCTTACTAAGGCTAACCCACACCCCAAAAGATACTTTAAGTGGAATACTTTTATTGTACAAAAATCTAACCCTAGCAAATAAATATAAATCTAACTTAATATAATGTTAATTTCAATGAAATTTTTGCTCGTCCTTGAAGCGCCTTTCGGCGATAATGTCCTTGTGCGGATCTTCGACCAGGAACATAAGCTGAAACTCTACGGACAGCAGAGTTCAGAGGTCAGTGTCTTCATTGTACGCTGAGACGGAAGCCATCGCTCACTGGTAATTCAGCATGCTCCGGTTGAATGGTACACCTTCGCCAGCAGCGGATAGTAGACGTCTCCGAATACGCCCAGATCGAGCCTGGCCGCCAGCGAATTGATGTCGCACTTGTTGTCATTAAAATAGGTCAGTATAGCTCAAATTTTGTGGGGACTATCAAAACCCAACATCACGATTTAGTGGCTGTAGAGCTGTGCAAGACTTAGTCGGTGAGGCCTGCCCGCAAAAGATCCTTGGGATATGATACTGCATCCGATGACGGTCCACCTCCATCCTTTGGCAGCTGTGCGACATTCTCGAGGGAAGGTTTTATGCAGCTAACCAATGGTTATTTCGTTGAAGAAAAATCTGTGAAAAAACATCTCTGAAAATTAAAAAATTCCAATACTATTATCAGGTTCTTACGGATAGTCGTGGTGTGGCATAGCTTTAAATATTCTAAGGCGCAGGATGGGGAGTCGGACTGCGCCAGTCTGGAATCCTATTTGACGCCAAACATGTGTATATACTTGAAAGAAAAAAGATTTTACGATATTATTATATGTACTCATGTGCTTATTTAAATAACATTTAAAAAAAAAAATGAAAACGCGCTTTCAAAATCATTTTTTTACTATGTAAATATACCTTAGGGACCTATATAGATCCCAGTATCAACGCTTTAACTATCCTCTAAGAAATTCAAAAAAATACATTTCCTTTTTTCAATCTTTATACCTTTGATATCGTAGAAATTATTGGTAAGTTGTTAGTAAATTAGTTAATGATGAAATCAATTCTATACTCAGCAGTGGCTGAACAAGCAAATGCCTGAAGATGGGTCGGATAATATGCGAAAATCACATTGGTTTGTGATTATCGCTCTGGTGGCCGTAATAGTCATCATAATCATTATCATAATCATCGTAATGATAATCGGAGTAGTCAAATATGAGAGCGCAACAAAGAGCACCCCTATCGTAGTTACTTTCACAGCTCCTATTTCAAGCTGGGATAAACCTGGTGGCGGTATTGCTTTACCTAATGTTCCTCAATCTGGCCCTGGTGCCGGTCCTGGTGCCGGTCCTGGTGCCGGTCCTGGCGCCGATTCTGATCTCGGCCCTGCTGGTATTCCGAAACCAGGCGTTGGTCTTCATGATTAAACTCTACATAAGACACATAAGATGGCATGTTGGTTGTCATCCTCATTGCTCAGCGAGAAGATTGTGCCCTCCGCTCCGAGCGCTAGAAGATTCTTTGTTGACCAGGCGATGCTATTTTCAAGAAAAAGTGACCGGCGTCCATATTTATTTTCTGCAATAAAAAGACACTAGATGGAAGTCTTCATAAATTTCGCCCACTTGTCAAACTAGGAACTATGGGAACTTTTTGGTTTCGTTGGCTTCAGATAGAGGGCAACCGTTTTACTTTTAACCTTTAACTGCAAAAAACGAGGTTTTCTAGCGATGTTTGCCAACAGTTCAACTACTACTACTTTGCATTGAGTATCAGCACATTCTAATGGCACTGGCCAAAACTACCTGTTGTCTTATGATCGGAATGCTCGATTTTTGCTAGTGGACCTTTGCTTTTGCTTCAACACATTCCTTGGAAACAAGAAAGTATGGTGTAGTAGAGAAGCGGCGACCTGACGTAACCGTAATTGCAAAATCACTTTTGCATGTACATATATACATATATATCGTCCCCTAGTACACTCTCCTGTCCGTGGATTAAACAAAGTCGCCGTAGCAGCCGAGTGTGCAGTGGGCGTACAACAGGAAATTACCCATTTGTGAGGCACTTTGAGATCGTTAATCTGAATACATCCTAAGCCCGAATATAAGAGAATTTCCAGCCGGCATTTCCAGCTGCATACAACTAACAAACAAATTTATAATACAATCAATACAAATGCAAATGCATTTTCAATCAATTTAAATGGCCTCACTGTGACGTCTGTGGGAAAATTGAAATTGAAAACCGAATTCAGATAGGCAGGAAATCGGTCACAGATTCAAAAAAGATCAACAATGGAAGAAACTGGAAGTTTGTGAAGAAAAGAAGCCCGATTGGAGCCAAGAGAATAACCTGCCGGTTATTATTAAAAGATTTAAGGAGTATTTGCTGGTAATAGTCAGGGAACGGATCTTCACTTTTTTCATAAGTTAATTTAATTAAAAACTGAAATTAAGGGGAAAAAATAAAGGACACTAATAACTAAGACGATCTGAAATAATACAAGAATTGTAGAAATTCCTGCAGGAAATCTGGCAAATCTTGTGGATCCAAAGATCCGAGCGACACCGACGCTGTGAAACAATAGGAGAAATAGTAGTATTAGTGTGAAAGGAAATAATATTTTATCCAGCAATTAGTGAAGATGAGCCGGGCGGTTTGTCAGGCAGCCAGTGCATGTGCGAGTACATGATAGAAGTACATTATATACCATGACGCCGTCTTCCAATTCAATTAAGTGGAAATTGTGTCACGCGCCGCCCACTGTGAGATCCAGAATCGTCTTCTTCGATGGCTTAGAAGTGGCACTGTCTTGGGATGGCATGGCAGATGCTCGGGATGCTCGGATTCTCACTTTTTAATGAATTCCGGGACCGGCACACAGTTTCACTTTAGCCACACAGCACAGATTTCTCCACACAAGCCCCCCACCCCACCCACATACACACGGCCACGCACACAGGCAATCAGAGAACAGAACATAATATTTGATTAAGAACGACACTTTCTGATACTCGTATTATTTTTTGTGTGTTCCAGAAACGATGGACACACAGTACAGATCAGTGTCGCGAGGCACGCAACGGTGTCAACTTGGCGTGCAGCGCAAAACCCACAGTGTCCGTGCCGATCCCCAATCCAACTCCACATCCACATTCAAACCAATACCCAAACCGCAACCGACCTCGCACCGGAGCCAGAAACAGAAGCAGAATCCGAGTCTCCATCAGAACCAGGAGCATATCCAGACCCATCTATAGGTCCCCGAACCGATCCCGATTCTCTGCTGAGCTGAGGAAGCGACAACTTGCATCGGAAAGAATGCCGACCATCACAGAGGATTGCATCGATGGATTCCAGCAGTATTATTCGCGGCCACCGGAACGTCCCAAGAAGAAGTCCCTGAAGGAGATGGTCTACGACTCCAATGATAACTCCTACTTCGGGCGCACGATCGATAGCTGGGGTAAGTCCGAGCTACGGATCCGTCGGATCTCAGCTCTATATCCATTACGTAACTGCCCCTCAGCCACCGTACACTTAAGTCGGGGTCTGGATATATGGCAGTACGGATTTAATCAAAAGAAATCTCTTTTGTTGTCGCATTAGCGCGTACAAATACACATTCAGAATTCCATGTCAGACCTGAACACAGAGATATATCCACTTAATCCGCCACAGCTTTATCGCTATGCTTCTGCATCTGTGAGTCCGTTTTTTATTGCCTGCCCAATGACATTTCGTTGGCCCCACCATTGGGTTCCACTGGATTGTGTGTGCTGTTCAGTTCTGCTATGTTCCATAGAGCGCTACTTGTTCAGCATATCGGTCAATTATGCCATTATGCAATCAGTCTATGACCCCAGCTATGTTCTACAGAGCAATCTCTTGGACAAATTAAGTCCGATAGAGGCTGTCACCTGCTGTTTGGCTTCGACCCCCAAAATGACTACACTATGCATCGAGGTACTTTCCTTAGGAATTTGGAATTGAATTGTATGTATTGGGCTTACCTGCATGCCATTCGTCCCCGAATCCGGCCTTCCTCTTTGTCTACCCTGTGTTGAGCACTCAAATGCTGCCATTGATGGCTTCCTTCCTGGCAATTCCATTCTGAAATAGAGATGAAAGAGCAAATGAGACTAAAATATTTATGCTTAAATGTGAGAGAGTGGAATGTTGAATAGTTCGTTCGACATTATTTTGGAAAAAAACGTCCTAAAGCTAAGCAGTTCATCCCCAAACTCTCTAAGTTCTCTTCCCCTAGAACCCACCCCTGCGTTGAAAGCAACCCCCAGGTCGCAGTGGAAACTTAAGCCAACTTCTTTGAGTTTAACGCAAATTTGTTGACTGTTTTTTGTTTGTCCTGATTTGGTTATTTTTCCCCGCCTTTAGTTAGTTAGTTAACAGCCCTGGTTTTGTTTCTTCGATTGTATCGTATGTCCTGTGACTGCTTTCGAAAACTGGTTTAGTCCCCTGTTTGGCCAACGAATCTAGCTCAAAGGCATACACACCGATACACACGCACACAGTCAAAATTATATGTGCCTGTGTATTGATCGGGAACCGGTCGGGTTGTGTTGTTTGTTTTCGTATTCCAACGAACTGAAGGCTCAAACGATCGTTTAATTGTTGTAGCAGTTCAGGCATCAGTACAGCGAGGCAGAGTGAGATACGACTGAATGTTGCACTGAAAGAAACCCAAACTAACTTAATCGGATTCACTCTGCCTCGTCATTATGCCTGCCTGAATGTGGAAATCTGGGCATGGGATTTCTCTCGGTGTGACCATGAGCAATGTGCACTAAATGTGCATCAAACGCCACTAATCACCCACTGCCGCGCCTAATTAAAGCAAGTGCAGGCAGAAACATTTATTTCCACGACAATTACAGAACCCCGAGTGACTCTGAGTCTTAGTCCGCGTCCCAGAACAATGCAATGCAATGCAACCCAATCTCAGTCCAAAAAACCCAACCCAACCCCAAGTCGGAAACCCCATTCCGCTTACCGCAATGCAATCCACACGAATGAGAAATGCCGCCAAAAGCGTTTTCCACTCAAAACAAACTCGGTTCTCTCCCAGAGTGCGCAACCTGAAAAGAGAAAGAGAGAGGGAGAGAGAGCTGAGTGGTGGTTGCTGCTCAGAAACCCGGACAAAATATGAAATAAGCCCAGCCAAAAACTGACTCAAGCCAAGTCTGTTGTTTGATATTGACAGACTTTCGAGTTTGGGCTACAGTCTGGATTGGTTTTGAGCGGCGACTAAACGTGCGACGGCAGACTGGAAAATACGAGTCGGGTCGAGTCGAGTATTATAACCGAAATATTCAAGATACAAATAAACACCACCTCGCGGAGTTCTTGGTCGGGGTGTTAGTTGGGTGGTTCTTCGAAGTGCTTGGAAACAGGGTTTGCGGTGCAGTGCGTGAAGTGCGTAGAGTTTTTATAATAGAAAAATATCGCAAGATATTATAAAACCATAAAAATATCCATAAAATGCTCGAAATTTTGTCACGCCCGAAACGCTGACACCCACACGCACAACGCTCACACACACTCTCGCATATAGAAGAGAGTACGAATTAAAGAAAAATGAAGAAAAATATCTCTGGGTTTTAGGAGTCTTTCGAGGTTCCGTTCCCAAGAAGAACGAGCGAACGCTCTGGTGTGGCTTCAAAAAGGTGTGGTTGTTTGTTGTATGTGGCCTGTAAGCGCTAAGAGCACAGCTACTTAAGAGATACAAACTACACTCCACTCAGAAATATATTACGCGTAAGTGAGTTGTGCCAGAGTGTTTGTGTGCCAGTGTGTATCTGTGTGTGCATTTGGCAAGAGCAAGCAGTTGCAGATCGGATGCAAAAATAAGTAGAGACACATATGTATGTCACAAGAGAGCAGACATGCAGCCGAGATACAATACTTTCGTATCTGCCAGTTTGCCAATGCCGGGTCAAAGCCAATGCGGCATTGGAAGCACCACAAAGAGCAACAGGCACACGGAACTGTGTTCCGTCTGTGGACTGCATAACACCCGCCTTGCCTCTCCTCCTCTCTGTCCTACTCTCGCACAAGGCATCTGGCGGATTCACCAACTCGTTTGTTTACGACTGGAGGAGGCTCGTCCCCTAATCGACTGCGAGTGGTGCCTGCCTCGTGTTGTGGCAAGGAAAACCGAAAAAACGCGCCAAAGACCACTACAAGGCGAGAGAGGGAAAACGGCTAAAAGAAAAGTGAAGCAAAAAAAAGGGAAGAGAGAGATGAAATACCGAGAGTGAGATGCAGAGCGGAAGAGAGTAAGGTGGGGTGGTGGTGGCAGTGAGAGGCCCCAAAGTGTTTGGAAAAGAGCCACCAAACGTGTCATCCGCATCTGCGAATACCAAAGCTTATGTACATACATATGTGCCAGTGCCAGTGGAAAAGGAAAAATGAATAAAATAGTGTATATGGCAAAAAAAAAATTCTGAAAATGATTTTCAAAATATTTGCAATGTTACAGAACAGTCTGCGTGCATAAGGCTGCGGCTAAAGAACCAAAAGTGCGGTACAAAAACAGATCCAAAGATCCAATCAAAAATCCTGTACTTCCCTAAAGTATTCTCATAATTTTATTGTTATCCCCCTAGATTCGAAATATCGACAGAGTGCATAAAAAAAAAATATTTACTTAAGTAAATCACCGAACCAAAATAAAAAAAACATCTATAAATTAAATAACAAATCATGTCAAAGCCACAACCAATGTCAAAGTCCTTTACGGACGAGGATCTGGCCAACATACGTAAGCCCAGACCTTTTCATCTGGGTCAGTTCTTATATAACTCTGAAACGGGCACAGTAATGAACAGAGATCGTGCATCATGGGGTAAGTTATATGGTTATATAGTGTTTTTAAGGTTTACTCGTAATTCTTAGATGGATTTTGTAGTAGGTTTCCAAAGGGGTAATTACTTATTTGCTCGAGTCTCAGTCATAGAACAGGCAAACGTGATTATTTTGGATCTACTTTGCGTCAAGTATTGGGGCACTACAATCATAAATCACTAGCCAGACCTATACATTACCTATACACACTGTCGGGGGATAACGGACAGCTTAATTCCTCCATCCGCTCTATAGAGCTTTCACTGTACGAGTGTACCTACAATACTTCGTCTTCCCAAGTGGAATGGTTTACATTTTCGTTGAAAATTATTTTAATTACACACGTTCCATTAGACCTTTTTGTGGGTGGGTGGAGCTGACACACTTTGAGGAGTGACGAGAGTTGCACTTGACGTGCAAATCCGTTAGAGGAAGTTGCTAGCCAAATTAATATGATATCTTTACATAGTACATACATATGTACATACATATGTAGAAGTGTTCACAAATGAGGTCGAGCTATGCAATGGAACACTTGGGAACCTGCATCTTATTTCAGTGGCTGAGTCCCTCTGGCAATTGCCGCTACTTAAGCAGTTGGATATAGTACATGTTTTCATCTTTCAATTGGATGCAAAGGTCCACGGGTGGGGTCGCCAAAAGTCTGAATATTGGCATTTAAAAAGATATTCTTGGCAAGCCCAAGGCCCTCGCTATATATAGACCAGTGTGTGCAATGCAATTATGCTGAAATGGGCATGCCGAAAGCCAGAAAGAAAATGCAAATAACCAAAATATAGTACAGGAAATACTGTAAAATATTTAATACATATTATAATTATGTCTTTGCCCTGAGTTGTCTCTTTGGAAAAAAGCAAGATTATGGCAGAAAATCTTTTCGAAAAATTCAGCGTTTCTTTTGAGCTCTCTATCCCACTGTGTTATTTTACAGTTTTCTAAAACATTAAATTTTTATTTATTATTTATTTTTTTGTATTATTATTATTATTTATTATTATACCCCAAATATTCATGTTAATCTTGGCTTTAATTCTCTCTATCTCTTTCTTCTTCTGTGTGTTCTCTTTGTTCGAGTTTGGCCCACTCTCCCAACTCTTTCTCTATTTGGTCAAATACCTGACACTTGCTGGCCAACTTCTTCGTGGGGTTGAGGTTATGTCGGCAGCACTCCGCTCTTCAGATGCACAGACACATCTGTACTCGAAGAGCGATCACTCAGCACACTCACTCAACACTCACACATACCCGTGTCTAATTGATTTCTCTTGAGTGTGTTTCCGACTCATTAAGCGATGCTCTTAAGAAATTATAAGAGTCCAAAATACAATCCAAAACATATGCAAGTACGAGTAGGTACATATATATTATTGTATTTGGATGATTCAGAGAAATCCGACGAGAGTCGGCGTCAGTCTGCCGCTTTCCACGAACTTGAGTAGTTGGGTTTCCGATTCCTCAGTTTTGTTTATATCTGAGTAATGCCGGCTGCCTGGGTGCCTGCTTACTGCCCTTCCATGTGTCCCGTCGATTAATTAGACGGTTAACCCATCGTTGACCGTCGACAACTTTCAAGTGATTAATTCAATTAGCTCAATTGAGAGTCAGAGTCTCTGGGGTTTTCTCTCTCTCAGCTCAGTGTTTCTTTAATTGTAATCTAATAAGTAATTTCTTCTTCAACAGCCAAGATTGGAATATTCTATTTGGCCTTCTATGGAGTGCTCGCCGCCCTGGTGGCCATCTGCATGTGGGCCTTTTTCCAGACCCTTGATCCTCGCATCCCCAAATGGACCTTGGACGAATCACTGATCGGCACAAATCCAGGTGAGTTGTACCCTTAAATCGTCCCCAAAATTTGGATGTATTTATATTATATATTCATTTAGGTCTCGGCTTTCGTCCCTTGCCGCCGATGGATAATGTGGAGAGCACTTTGATCTGGTACAAGGGAACACAGCATGAGAACTACAAACATTGGACAGACTCCCTGGATGACTTCTTGGCTGGTAACATAAAGTGGTCCATGACATATAAACACTTCTAATACTTTCTTAATATTATAGTTTACAAAGTGCCTGGGCTGACCCCTGGTCGCGGTCAGAATATCTACAACTGCGACTACAACCAGCCGCCGCCAAAGGGTCAGGTGTGCGATGTGGATATCAAGTCGTGGACTCCTTGCACAAAGGAGAACAACTACAGCTATCATAAGAGTGCCCCATGCATCTTCCTTAAGTTGAACAAGATCTATGGTTGGATACCGGAGTACTACAATGACTCCAAGGACCTGCCCGAGTCGATGCCACTGAGCCTCAAGACATACATCGGCGAGGTCGAGAAAACTCAACCGCACAAGGTAAAGGAACAGAGAAAGGAAAAATCATAGATCAAATTACTTATAGTCAAATTTTCCCACCAGCTCAACACGATCTGGGTATCGTGCGAGGGCGAGAACCCTGCCGATCAGGAGAACATTGGAGCTGTCAACTACCTGCCCGTTCGGGGCTTCCCCGGCTACTTCTATCCCTACCAGAACTCCGAGGGATATCTGAGTCCTCTGGTGGCAGTTCACTTCCAGCGCCCAAGGCGTAAGTACTTTTAGACCGCTTTGAAGATCGAAGAGTATATTTTGGTCCCCTCTTAGGTGGCATCATCATCAATGTGGAGTGCAAGGCCTGGGCCCGCAACATTATTCACGATCGCAAGGAGAGGATCGGTTCGGTGCACTATGAGCTGCTGATTGACTAATATGGGATCAATCAGATAGATGTTGTGAACTATTATATGTAGGCCTAAGAGTGAAGAGAAGCACATAACGGCAATCAAGAACCTATGACACCAAATCTATGAACGTTGCTAAATTAATTGTGAAACAGTCCCACGCGAAACAAGAACATTTTTTTAATATATATAACTATTTACTAATGTGTAGTCACCTTTACACGATATTTTGAAATTCGAAAACAACAAAAATAGACTCTGTCACAAGTAAAGTAAACTCATTAGATATCACAATTTACTAAATCCGAATCTCTTCTTATACAGAAAGTATATAGACATAAAAAATATATATACACACATGTATGTGTATGTATATTTAGCGAGAATTTAGTGTACCACCTAAGAGATAAATTCAATGATAATGAGCAATTTTTTGCATTACAAAACAAAATGATGATGAGTTTCATAATAGTTTACAAAACTGAATGCCGAAATGGGGAAAGAGTCCGTACAAACAAATGGGAAACACCATTATTATTATAAAAATACATAATAATAATAACGAAGGCTGGCCAAGTATAAATCTCATTTAGCGATGTTCCCAAAACGAATGCGACAAAAATCAAATTCAAACTGCCATTTCAATAAAAATTTACCATTTCTGGCAAAGAGATAAATACATAACCCTTTTAGATATTTAAATTTATAATGAATATACATATAGAAAATGAATCTTTATTAACTACACCGACAAATCCTTTGGACCACTATAATATACTACTATACATTTACTCGCAACCACTACAGACCAATTTTGTGAACCAAATGATTGTTTTAATATTAATTATGTAGCTTCAGTGTAGATCATATTTTTAGAGAAATCTTAAAACCCCTTGCCACCCATCTAACATCACATGCAAAACAAAGAAACGTTTAGGAATTGATATTGTGCAACAGAAGAAAAAGAGAAACAGAAACAGAATTTAATTGTAAGTTTTATTATTATCTATCAACAAAAAGAGAACTGCCGACAGCGGCTAAGTATATGACTCGAAACACTTTCACAACTCGATTTCAATAAAATTCAATGAATAAATAGAGAAACCCAAAGATAAACTGTGGAATTTGAAAGGGCATGTCAACAAGTCTCAGATTGTAATAGAACACATCCATTGTTACCATTGTTATACATTGTTATACAGCGTTACCAAAATGTACGATCTAGAAGTAGTACATCAGCATTAAGGAGCAGAGCGTGTAAACCCATGGTTAGATACCACTTAACTTATCCCAAGATTAGGCAGGTCCATCTATCTGGAACAAGTCTCTTTCCAGACTGGTACTCAGGCCTAGTATATGTATTTCTACCTCCCCGTCATATGGCATACATTGGGTTTACGTAACCGTAATCGTTTGCCCGGAGGTGATAAGATAGCAAATGCTTCAAGGCACGAGAACAGTTGATAAAACAAAATCACTGCAATCTCTGCCGTCACCCCGAGAGACTGGTCAGATACCATTCGGATGGCCAGTTGACAAAAAAAAAACTGAAAAAGCCAGATTGATACGCTTTCACCCATGCATACGTAGATACATACATACAAGTACATAAATATATGTGTATAGAGAGACACATTTATTGAGAACTTATCGGGCCGATTCGGCCAATTGCGTCATTGGAAATCATTAACAGAATTTTACTGCTGGTGCTGTTTGCTTTTTGATATATTGTTTATTTTTAAATTGCCAGGCGAAAGGTTTACTTTTGCATTTGTGCTAATCAATTAGGGGTACAAACTCATCAACGCGGTGAACGAACACCACTAGAACACCATAGAAAGGGACAGAGATTCAATCAAATGTTGAACGCACTCGAAGTGTACTCGAGCGAATATCAATATTTGGCTGTTAAAATCGCCAGATGAGACAATGTTTCAAGAGCCGATCGCCCGGATTCTTGCCTGTTAACAGGTTTGCACTGGTACCGGAACCCGGCACCGCAGGTATTAATCAAAGTGCTAAACGAACCTGCAGATAGTTGAAATATATTGTCAATGATGATGGTTAATAGATAGCCCAGTAAGAAGTCAAAGCCATACAGATTAATGTTTTAAGTTCTTTCATTTGATATTGTTGGTAACGACAGCAGAATTTATTACTCAGACGGTAGAGGTTTCTTAAAATACTCTGAAGTGATTTGCTGGCAGACAAATCACAGTTTCCACATTGACGTAACAGCATTTGTAGTTTTGTGGCTTTTGTTTCAATGATTCAACAACAATATCGGCGAAATCATTTTAAATTTGTATTCAGTGACGTCTAGAGCGAGCGAGCCATTATGCTTGATCGCTTTTGTGTTCAGCGAGTATAATCAATGGATCTAGACACATGCATTTACATATGTATCTATGTATGTTTAGATGTATGTATCTATCTGGGGGTATATTTTAGCAACCATCTAATTGAGAGCTAATTGGCTACAGAGGATTGTCCCCTCTCAATAGAGTACAGACTGCAAAGAATGACAGAAATAATTCGCTAATGACAGGAATCAAAACTCATCTATAATGAGGAAGCTGGATGGGATTGAAAGATCTCTGTGCACACTGAGGCTTGCACACACACACCCACACACTCAGGAGTCACAGCTGGAAAAATCACAAACACTTCAGTTCAGACCAGATAAACTGGTTTGCCAGACACACATTTACATACATACATATATATGTACACTTTACCCCGTGGAGCCATAGCAATAAATATCTTCTGGTCTCTGTTTGCTGTAATTATCATTTGCTTAATTTAGAGTTCAAATTCAAGTTGAGGTTCCAGTACAACAAGCGAATTTCTTTCATTCAAGGAGGATAAGCTGAGATTGGATATAACCAGACATAACCGACCTGTTGGAGATTATATGCAGGACATAACTAACAAGCAGTTGAATTGGCTTATTCATAGGGAATATGTACATATATCTAAATAAGACCGAAGTTGCTGCTACCATTATGGGCTTTCATCTTATCTATTGCTGATTAGCGTTCTCCTTCCATCTAACTGTCTAATAGGGTTCACCTCTCCCAAGCTGACAACTCAATAAACTGGGAAATGCGACTTACAATTGTTGCACCTAATAATGTGCTGTGCCGACATGTTTTATGTACTCGTACTCGTGAGTACCAGGGTTTGGAGGGGGATAAAAGTCGTTGTCAAGTGTAATTTAATCAATTTATGATGATTACAAAGGGCTCCAGATACGGGGAGGGGGTGACAAGTATCCATCGAGAACAATGCCAAGGATACATTCAGGGGGTCTGTTCTGGAGTTGTAGGGGGTAGGAAATGCTCGTTTATGGGGATTAATCAACTCAAAAGTGCCATGTCAAAAAGCTACTCGTATTAATGAATTTTATAATGATGATTGAGGAACAACTGAATAAGCAGCACAGCACTGACTGAGAGTTTTCCTAGTGGGTTTCCATGGAAAATTCCTAACTGGCAGAAAAAAACGATCCTAAAATTGAGTTTTGATGCAATAGTAGTAGAAATCACCATCGACAGTAACTGTACATTAAGCATAATGGAGGAATAAGCACTCCCCCCCCCCTTCCCACTCTCCGAAAGCACAACTCTGCGAGAATCGTGGAGCAAATGTACTCAACTCTCCGCGCATGTCACAGTCGCGCAGCGAGAGAGAGGCAAGACAGAGGGAGAGCGTGTAGCTCTCGGATTAGTGTGTGTGTGCGTGAGTATTATTCTTTGTGCTTTCTATTTTAATATTTACAAAGATGCCGTTTGTAATAGACGACTACAGGGGCGCATTGCATTGGTTGAGCGATTAGTGGCACCGCTTGGCATTTATGGCACCCCGCTGCATAGAGATCCGCTCATGGCAATTACCCCCTCAAACGTGTTGTTGTCTGGCCACTGTCTGCACTCAATCATTTATTCTATTTGGGGGGCCACATTTCGGAGGAGACGAGAGAGAGTTAGCGTACCGTACCGTTGGCAAGGTAAAGCACCCACACTGGCACACTCAAATAATCTGACAGTAACCATCCACCCACCACACCAAACCACTCCTCTACTCGGGAAGCTTTTGCTTGCCTTTTCTATGTTGTTGCTTGGCAAAGTGTCGAAAACATTCAACAGCTGTCAGCGTACACTGAAAGAAAGTTTAGCAGAACAGTCGCTGGGAGAATGGCTCCGATTTGATCCTTGGCCACAATGGGATTCGAACGCTTCCAAATTTAGTCTGGGATATTTTTGGACAAAAGAAAAGTTCGTAATTCGAGCTCCTAATCTTAATCATTTTCTAAAGATAAAATTCGTTCAGTAATGTTACTGTTATTGTTACATCAGGTTCTCTCAGTGTTATCGCCACTCTTATCTTGAAGCTTTTTGTTGGGGTCTGTTCCCGCTGTGCTGTGTGTGCTTGGTGGTGGTGGCAGAGCGTGAGCGAGAGAGCCCCACATGAGCGAGCGAGAGTGTTGGAGCAAGTAAAAAGCAAAGTAAAGACCAGCGTCGGCTGCGTTCAGTCGGTGGCATTCATTTGGTGATCTTACCTCGAGAGCGCAACACGCATACGCATTCGCACCGAGGCAGTGGCAGCAGTCGACAGCCGAGAACCAAACTTCAAGTTCCGAATCCATCATCAAACACCCAATAACTTCTGCTGTGTGCTCGTATCACTCTCTGCCCCCCTTCGTGTTTGTGTGTTTCTGTGTTAAGGCTTTTCCTTGTCAATTTTAAAACAATTTTGAAAAGTGAACCCGAATATAATTGCATAATTAAAGAATTTTTCGAATATATCACAGAGTGCTGCGTGTGCGAAAAAAATACAACACAGAATATACAAAAATATATAAAGTATTGCCAGACTGCTGAATCATCAGTAATATATATATAGTACTCACATAAAAACGTACATATATTGAAATCAGTTTTCGTAGCCTTCACGAACCTCACGCCGTCCACGTCATCAACAAAAAAGAATTAAAATTCAAATTTTGTAAGCATTTTTAAGAGGAGAAGAAACTATAAACGAACGAGTATATAGAATAACTGTAAACAAAAGCCAGGAAAGAGAGCAGAGCAGAGCAACGATGTCGAAAAAAAACGGAAAGGTTGAAAAAGTCGAATATGAATTCTATCAGCCCGCGAAGAAGCGAACATTCGGACAAATGCTATACGATCCCCAGGAGGGAACCTTCTTTGGGCGAACCGGCAAAAGTTGGGGTAAGCAGAAAGCAAAAAAGTGATATATGTATGTACATATTGTATGTGAAATCAAAGGAAATCAGGAATATCAAGAGAAGTGTGGAGCAAAAACCCTTTTTGGGATCACGATCTAACCCCTTTGGCTATTCTAACATTTCAAAGTCCGCACATTTTTCATTAATATACGAATCATCCCATCCCATCCGATCCCATCCCTCCTCCCTGTACAATCTGCATGAGTTGTCCGCATCGCCTCGACTCTGTACATAGAAACAAAAATGCGATGCGCTGCGATTGTTTATATGTACGAATATGTATATAATGAGCACACATGTCAGTCATTTGGTTATGGAATCCCACTATATAGCTAGAAGAGTAATATGTACAATGTACATACATACATATATGACAATACTCTGTATGTTTGTATGTAATCGCTTATCAGTTCATTTGGCGAGTCATTTTGTGGTAGACGATACGACACAAAATAGTAGAGAAAAACTGCCTATGGAAATCTCCATTTCGGATGCGGCAGAGAAACGTATTTAGTAAATGTTTAAGCATATAAAACCAGATAAAAAATTAGGATATCTAAGCTGTTGCCTTGATAAAGCTAGCAATCATGCACTGACTTTTATTTGAGAATAATTTATTTTGTTATTTCGGTTTATACCCAGAAAAAATACTAATTCGACTCACACAAGCAACATTTTGCTACGTGATTGTGGCGGCGGCACAGCAACAACCAGATCTGTTGGTTTATAATTTAAATTTGGGAAACATTTTAAATTGCTTAATTCTGAATACGAGTATTCGTTTCACATTAAATTGTATTTAATATAGGTTCATTCTTTTATGCTTTACCATGGAAATGATTTCTAGTACTTTTGGAAGATTTTGTGGCTATGTCTGAATGCTCTAGAGTTTGTTCTCTTATATTAAAAATCAGATCTTTCATCTATCCCATTTTCTATTGTTATGCATGTATTGTACTTACATTCATTTTACTCTCAGGGATATTTCTTTGTTAGACTTCTTTATATATAAATATTAAGATTTAGAGCTTTTTTATTTCGTTTCCCATTCTTTCACTTAAGCTGTAATTACAGTGAAAGCTGCCTAGTGCGGACATCTTTGGTTTGAGTATTTTTTTTTTCTGTTCTGTTCGCTAAGAAATTTTTTACTGTAATACTTATTTCAATTTAGCTTAGTTTTCCCTGCTTTACCTCCCACATAGCAGCACAGCGAAGCATATTTTAACGATAATGCAAATTCTTGCCATTCGAAATGGACACGGACACACGTCTACTAAAGAGCGAGCGAGAGAACGAACGGTAAAGATATAGTACGAGTATGAGCGAGGGCATGTAGAGAGAGGAGAGTGTGGAACGGTACCCCGCCGTCTGGTCTGAGTGGCTTTTGTGGATGCTTTTTGTCGCCTATAATATTTGCCTTTTATAATATGTAAGACCTGTAAACAAATTCAAGGTTCTCCCGCCTATACGGCAGATGTCTCTCTTTACGAGCAACGAAACCAAACCGATATTTCCGCTGTAAAATATTAAAATGCAATATTGATAATATTCGTATGCATTCGTACATTCCCTTGCAAATGGGTATCATCGTAGCACGTACATATGTTTGTAAGTGGCCGACGACACCTCGATTCAGCAGTTCGAAAATTTATATCAGAGTTTCTCCAATGGCAAATGCGAATACGTTCTCTTGACGTCATATATTTGCTTTTAATTAACTTGGCCAAGTTTTCAGTAAATTGATTTGTTATTTGTTTACCAAACAGAGCCCCCGTTTTAATGGAGTCCCCTAAAAGCTCTAATTACTCTTGATATTCATTCTTGAAATGTCGAACATAATCCTTACATTCTGAGCCATTTTGAGTAGTTTGTCAGCAACCCTAGACGAGACACACCTGTGCCGTGGAGTATTTGCAGTTGTACATATTGTAGTACATATGTAAAATTGTCTGTTCTGTTCCGCTAATGTCTGCCATTAAATCGGGTTCATGGTGCGTGTCCTTTCATACTCGTATTCCACCTGTTTCGGTCTGTTCGGACATCAGAATATAAATTTTTGGCATGTGCAATGGCCTTAATGAACGGCTAATGGAATGGCAACTGTCGAAAGCAACGCAATGGTCACGGGCTCCCACTGGGCGAGTGTTATCTACAGAAACTATCTTAAATTATCTATTCAAACTGATCAAATAAAAGGTAAGCCCCAGAACGGAAAACCCATAAATATTCCGTCAGTTAATTTACAATGGCTGAAAATTAATTTTATTTAAGCCTGATTCCAAATTAAAGTCAAAAGCATTGAAGGGGACGCTTCGCTAAGTTTTGATGTCCATTAATTAACGCAATGAGAATTTGTTGTTTAGCTTCGGGTTTGTTTTTTGTAGTTTTTGTATTTATGTTTTTTTTTTTGGGAGAGCGATCTTGCTGTGGAACCGGTTAATCTGGTTTTTGTTTGTTTTTGGAAATGCTTTCGCTTCGTTACACATTTCGGTTCTATCGTTCATATGTACATATAAAACTCAGACATCATACATGTGTATATACTCGTACATATATATTTTTTAACTGTGCTGTATGTTGGTAGTCGATTAAGAAACTCATTTGATTTGCTTTGCTGATCAGTGCAACCGCAATACCACTGCCACTACCACTGCCCTGGCCAGTTTGTAAATCAGGCTCAAACCGGTTCGAACCGCATTTCACCGGTTGCATCGTATTTCCCTTTTAATCTGTAAATCCCCCATCCCCCCACCTGCCTTGGCACACGCCCCATCTATATTCTACAGCCCCGACTGTCCCACTGTCCCGCTAACATTGACAGTCGCTAACTAATTGTCACGATAGCGACAAAGTCAGCACCAAAGCGCACATTTCATTACAATTAACCCACAGGAAGTTAGTCTAATTTGCGTACAAATGTCGAACCCAATTCCAATTTATCTTTGCAGTTTTTAAATCTACTCAAATTCCGAGTAAAACTTGTACGTACGTGTGGTTTCAATCTATTCTTATCTAATTAATTGCAGGGTATTCAAATTTATAGTTCTAATTGGTCTTCACCAGGAAGAGATTTATTCTCTTCAAAATTATCCTATTCGCCTGAAAAAGATAGATAGGGTAGCAAAATAATTTTCAGATTTTACCTTTCAGAACTTTTCCGACCAAGGAAGTGGCTCGTTGAATTAAACTGTTCCCCAAGTGATATTTATTACCTCTCTCTCTTTATTTATCCGAGTATACTATATTTCGCCCACCTGATTCTGTGATCCACTGTACTATTTCGCGTCCGAGCAAACGAGAGTCGGGGTTCTTCACTTAACTGGGGGCCCCGTAATCATTTTGTATTCATATTTCTCATGACTTGAGCCAAGTGTTGTTCCAACACAATAATATTTGTATACTTTTCAGGAAAATTCATAGAAAATGATAGCCAACGATTTTCCCTAATCATATGTATGTATGTATGTCATGTATCATATGTAGATGTTTTAATAGATCTATGTGTTAGATCAATGGGTGTTAGTACTCACGTCGATATCATTCAGCACTCTCCACTCATTTCAACAGCTCTCTTCCATTCCATTCCATTTATTTGTTTAGCTTATTAAGCTTATTTGTGTATTCTTTTTGCTGCAATAAAATAATAAATTAGCAGAAATAAACATGCATTTAAATACCATATTTCTTAATAGTATAACACTCGCATAAACGTCTGTACATATTCATAAAACCCAGCATAATTATGTCCCAAGCGATAGAAAGTTTTGTTCGCATAGAGGAAATAGTTTTGTTTGCTGTTTTTTTTTTTTTTTTTTGAGTGGTAAAGGGGATCTGCAAGTCTACAACAAAGTCCCAGACACAGCGACAGATATCAATGACCAATTTGTTTCGAACCACCGAACAAAATGACAAAAAAATGAGCCAAACTTTGGTTTGGCGGGGGGATTGGAGGAGAGAGTTTGGTAGGTGCCCCGACCCCACCCGCATTATATCAAGGATATAATCAGCAAACTAAACGTTTGACGGGGGGGTTAGGGGTGCGCTCTCTATGGTAACATGTGAAATTAATTCACTTAAAATGCCGCAAAGTATGCCATAGGCCCTAAGCACATACGCACATACACCCAGAAGAAGGAAAGAGTCCTCTGTGTGTGTGTTTGTGTGTCTAGGACGATGACGCATGCGACAAAGGGTGCGGCGAACCCTAACAAACAGAGCGGCGCCAATGCGTCGGACGACACGCTCTCCATTTGGGATATCGCAGAGGGGTTTCCCTGTTCCCTCAAACAACAATCTGGCGCTGGATATCCTCGTCTGGTTTTCTGGTCCTTGCTCCTGCTCCCTGTCCGCTGTTCGATGTTCCCTGGGTAATGAATATAATGATGACAGGACACCAACAAGTTGCATCGTTTCGTCGTTAATTCTTTTATTTTCCTTCCTTACGTTTTTCTTCCCTTTGCTTTGGCTCTGCCTCTGCCCCATTTTGTGGCGTCATAATTGTTGCTTCCTTCAAGAGCTTTGTTTTTCCCCTGAGAAGTGAAGTAAGCCTCGAAGAAAAACTGAGATTCGTGGTGGAGATTTATATGCATTTCCATTGAGAAGTTTATACATTTCCCGGGAGTTGTAGCAGGACTTTCCGACTTTCCGGCCAAGAGTACACCACAAAACCACATTAACAACCGTTAAACATCCTGCTTATGGCCGGTGTATGCGCAAAAACCGCTAACTGGTGTCCTGGGTTTCCTGTGGCCATATGTGCGTCCCACACGAAACTAAATTATTAACATTGGCGTGGCCTTGAGGGTCTACTTGGATGACCAAAGCGCCACTACCAGGACGAGGACCACAACGAGGACGAAGCTATCAATCCTGGGTCATGCTAACTTTCTAGCATTTCACTTTGGGAGTGGAAATGGGCTGGGAGTGGCCCTACCCCTACGCTCCCTCTATATAGGTCACGGGCTCTTTAAGTTTGTTTACCGCATCAACGGACAGACGGACAGATAGCCAGGCGAACACCGGACACAAGGATAAGGGCAGAGTCTCCACAGGCCAAGAGCTGCCTTCGTCCGTCCTCTCACTGATTGTCGAGGAGTGTTATTATTAAAACTTGGTCAATGGCGACTGGTTGCACAATGAATCCAAGGAGGAGGAGGAGGAGGAGCAAAAGCAGCAGCAGCAGGTTTCCTCTTGATGAATCGTATTTACTGTTATGCATAGAGGAGAATCTGATACATTTTCCCCTCTCAACATCTTTGACTGACTTTTATGTAAAAGTTGAATAAGTTTGGCGCCATACTAATGGGGGTTCCTGGGTCTCCCATGGGAGTGATGGGATGTGGATTCTCCTTTGGCTACTTTTGATCAATTTTCAATTTCGTTTGAGTTTTTTGTACTTCCTAATATTCCAATTTTGAGTTTAAGGCTAATTTTAGCTAGGTAGCTGACCTCTTTAGCCACATCGCACATTATTCTCTGCTTTACTCGTGCAAACATCTCTAGATGTATCTGTAGAACTCAAGTTTATTTTCGTTTTGGTCTGCGAAGAGTCAAAAACGAAATGTATTTCAAGGCAAGACAGATAGTGGCAGTGGCATATGCTAAAATCGGACACATCGCGTGGCATTCAAATTGGTTAGAAATGTGTATGTACAACACATTTGAAATTTGAATTTTTAATTTTGTTTAAATTTGCCAAGTGCAAAGGGGAAAAATACATTAAATATTAATTCAATTCCCCCTTACAAAAATAACCCGCGATTAATCTAATTTTTTACGATGTGTCCATTAATGCAGTGGAAAACCCCGCGGGAGAAATCAACTCCATCTGTGCCATAAAATGAGCAAACAAATTTCTACAAACGTCATGTTCCTATTTGGTTTCGAATATGGGTGTATGTGTAGAATAGTAGACACATATGTATATGTGGGTTCTACCTACAAATCCATCATTAAGGAGTTATCAAATGCAGGTTCTATAATCAAGTTTATCGATTTATAATGTTGAGGGTTTGGGCCCTGCGCTTCCCTTCCCTTATTGATACGAAGACATAAGAATGTTTTTGGGGACTCTACTGCTACTGCTGGCTGCTACTGCCATTGCTATTGCTACTGCCTGACTGCTGCTGTCATGTAATCGTAAGCATGTAGTAGACAAGAATTCATTATATGTACATTGGATATTGGTTACCAGAGCCACGGGGCGTACGTCGTCTCGCCCCACCTTCGTGGTCACCAGGCGGCGGTGGTTGTGGTGGTTGATTCGCTGGCGTCATACCTCCCCAACCTAGTCGATTGTCAGTCTCTGGGTCTCTGCTGTGGTCATTGCCAAACTTATTTCCTTGTACTTGAACACAGCCACATTATTTCTAGAATTCAACTTGGCAACAGGCAGGCAGGAAAGAACCATTTGCCTTTTGGCGGGCAGCGTCTGAAAGTTTGATGAGCGAAGAATTGAAAACTCAAATATGGGGAAAAGTCGTTAGCAAAGCGACGGTGAAGGCCATCTATCGATTGATTACCTATTGATAGGCCTTCCAATTGGGCTGTTCAAGCAGGTGCTGCTCAATGATGATGATGACGATGATGAGGGAAATGACAGATGGACAGACAGCTAAGGGGAGTCCCATACCAATTCCCATACCCATACCAAAATGTAATCGTTGCAAGTCGAGTAACGGTCAGGCGGCCAGGTCCAGGTCCAGGTCGTGCATTGTATTCGATATTCATTCATACGATTCATTTGTTTGGGCATTTGAGTGTTCATTCTCGTTTTGAGTCTGTCATGTCGCTCTGCTCTGTGCTGTCAGTTTCGGTTTGGTTCGTCCAATGTTGCCCGCTTATTTATGCAATAGCTGTGAGGCATGGGGTCTAAGTTTCGGGCTGGGTCTCGGATCCGATCCCAGCTCCCGGGTCCGGTGTCCGAAGCGAGAGCCCAAGCGAAAGTAACAAACAGCCCGCAATACAACATGCGAGTTTCCATCCATCCATCTACTGAATTCTCGCTGAGTCGTCAATGTTAATGACATTGAAATACAGAGCACATACGCCAGCGGAACGACGCTCCCATATTCCATTCCATTTGCTATTCAGTCCGTCCCGTCCCTGTCCCGTCCCAGACTTTCTGTTTGTGTTTGCTGCTGCTGCAACAGTCGTAAGCATTCGATTAGCTGCGTGCTGTTCTGTTTGGATTGCATAAAGCCCACCCCTCAGACAATAACCCACATCCACCATCCCCACATACATACCCATACACATCCCCGACACTCACTATTCACTCGCATCCCCAAATGGCCCCCATTTCCGTGAATGACAAAAACAATCAAGAACGTGTCAATGCGAATCTGCATAGTTACACGGAGTAGATTGCACAAGTGTCGTCTCGTCTCGTCTCTTGAAGGTACAAACATAAGATGATATATATTTCCTTATTAAACCCTCGTATACATGTATCTCTCTGTCTCTGTCTCTGACTCTATATCTATCTCTCTCTCTCTCTGTGTTTACAGGTCAACTGATGCTGTTCTATGGAATCTTCTATATTGTTTTGGCCGCCTTGTTCACCATCTGCATGCAGGGTCTGTTGTCCACCATCAGCGACACAGAGCCCAAGTGGCAGCTGAAGCAATCCCTGATAGGCACCAATCCCGGACTGGGTTTCCGCCCACTGAGCGAACAAACCGAACGTGGATCGGTCATTGAGTTTGATGGCAAGAAGCCAGCCGAGAGTGACTACTGGATCGAGTTGATGGATGACTTCTTGATAGGTGAGGATGCAATACTAAATCAAAGGGGACATTTAAACAGTTAACAACTCTTTATCTTACAGACTACAATCACACTGAGGGGCGGGAGATGAAGCATTGTAGCTTTGGACAGACCCGCAACCCAACCGATGTCTGTGTGGTGAATACGGAACTGTTTGGTGCCTGCTCAAAGTCCAATAACTATGGCTACAAGACCAACGAGCCCTGCATATTCCTCAAGTTGAACAAGATCTTTGGCTGGGTGCCAGAGGTGTATGATGCTCCCCAAAAGGATATGCCGGAGGATCTTGTAAAGCTCATTACCAACACTAGTCAAGAGGAGGTAACTATCACGCTGACTTACATACGCATAATCTGTTGGATACTAATTAATCGCGTATTTTAGCGGAAGCAAATCTGGGTTAGCTGCAATGGACATCTGGGCAAGGATAAGGAGAACTTCCAGAACATCAGCTACTATCCCAGCCAGGGATTCCCCAGCTTCTACTATCCCTACCTCAATCAGCCTGGCTATCTGAGTCCCTTGGTCGCCGTGCAGTTCCACTCCCCACCCAAGGGCCAGATGTTGGACGTGGAGTGTCGTGCCTGGGCCAAGAATGTCATCTACAGCGGCAGTGCCCGCGATCGCATGGGCTCGGTGACCTTCCAGATTGTCGTGGAGTAAGGCCACGAAACCCGTCGTCACCCAGAAACTGTCGCCAACTTGTGATCGCAACCACAAACACTAGCCATATGCAGGGGGCGAGGATATGGCATCCGCATCAACGGAAGACCAACTACCATCTACCATCTACAATCCACCTAATTACAAGAGATCCAAAAACACACCCACACAGAAGATAGAAGATATATATATATGCATATGGAGACAGCTAGCGACGCCCGTTTTGAATCGTATTGTATATATTTATATGACGAAAAGAAAGAGTTCTGCGAGCGTCAATTGAAATAGAAATTGTGGCCACGCAACGCGAATGGCAAGGAAATGAAAGGAAGAAAGGCCGATGCGATATGGATATGGAATGCATAATGAAAATCTTTAAATGAAAGTTCAAACCGTACACACACGCAATTGTTGTTATAGCTTGTCGGCTTGTCTACTGCTATAGTGTTATTATTATTAATATTTATCTATTATTTTATTATGAATTCTTGTAATTACGATCATTACCTTCTGTCAGTTGTATTTAGTTTGTATTTATAAATGTTATACCATGCCCAAGAACTCGCTTGTTTTCTCCTCACTTTGCTAAACGGGGCCCACTCCCCGTTGAAATCTGTACAAAGAAGTAACTAAATAAATTTTAATTGTTAAATCTTATGTAAATCATGGAACCGAATCTTTCCATGTTTACCTAAATCTAATGATTATTTCGTTTTACGAACTGAAAAAGTATTCAAGAGCTTTGCCACCATAGTGCAAACCAAGAAATTCCAGCCATATTCAAGCGCGATTGCTACACACCATGAAATTTCAAGCAAAACATTTGTATCATTTATCTAATAAGATTTTTCGAAATTACTACTGGCGACTATCGCACGAGTCGACAAAATGAAATGAAATTAAGCAAATTATGTTTTTGTGTTGCAAATAATTAACGAATAAAGATAGAAAAGAAACGCGAGTATTTGTCTGGCAGTGGCGGTTCCAATAGGTGTATCCCGCAAGATACGTATTGCAATTTGCATTATTTATATTACGGATCTACTAGGTCAAAATATAGCAGTCGTCTCTGGATAATAAATGACAAATCAAAGAATTTACAAATTTCACGTACCTTTTCAAAGTCCATTTCATTTTGAAGGCACTGTAAGCGCTGCGATACGAGCTACTGATTGCTGTGGCTGGGATTGCATTGACAGCGGTGACAGACGGATATGTAGGAAGAATCATTAAAGGTAACATCTTCTCCGCGTGGATATCCGGCAGAATCAGATACGATAAGAGACGCAAACGTATCTATAGAGGAGAACGTCAAGCTGTCTAAATCCCAGGCTATCGGATTTCAGGATAAACCTGCAATTGAAGAATATGTGTTAGCGTTTAAATTTTGTACAGTTTAAATGTCTGATGTTGGTCTGATCCATAGGCTCCTGCACCAAAATATAGCGGGAAGATGCACGCCAGACTTTTTAGTGTCAAATTTAAATGAATTCCAAAATTTAAAAATGAAACCTTGTAATTCCGAATTGGGACAAATGGTATGGTATGGGATTCCCCAATTTCAGACAAACGGTATTGGGATTATAACAATCCAATTGGAGCTCATTTTTTACGTAAAAATTAGCTATTCAGACTTTCTAGTGTGACCGAAGACTGAATTTTTATAAAATATACCATCTGACACTCATAAATATATATACCATTATATACCCGCCAGACCGCTTTTATTTGTAAATAGAAGAGTAGAGATTGTAAATATATACTTATATGTCGATATATCGATATATATATTTTTTGATAGTTTTTTGCGATACCAAGAACCAATGTTATTGCAATGTTAAGTGTGACTATATTTGTGATTAACAGCACATGTGTACAATTACATATGTTTTACATAATAACTACATGTCCTACAAGTCACTATGGCGCCCCTGTCTGTATTTCTTGGCGCGAGATTAAAATGTTAATTGTAATTTAACTTTTTATTAGTACGAATTTAATAACATTTACGAAATATTCTTTCTTACACTAGAGACAGAATATTGCATAATTATTGGATCTTGATTTACATATAACAATGGAATGCTTTTGTGGTTGTTGCGATACTGGATAGTTAAGGTATTTTTGCATTGCTTAGTATCTGGTACATTCATAGATTTATATTTATATCTAGATAAAGTAATCACAAAATATTATTATCACAATTTATGGATATACATGTATATATTAGTATTGTATTCATTTCATTGATGGCATTCCTGCAACTGGCTAAAATTTAAAACCTATTCGGAACGGAACCCTTTTGTTTCGAAATAAGGAATATGCTTTTACCTCTCGATATGTCTATATTCTAGCGATATTATGTTTTATTTCGAATTCAAAAGAAAAGAGATAAAATTGCAAGTCAAAATTAGTTGCAGAACACCAAGAGAATGCATCAAAATACGACAAACAAAAACTTGAATTCTTTTTTGCTAGTTTTAAGTTAGGTTGGATTAGTTTAGGATTTGTCCTAAGACGGAAAAAGGTTTAGCTTGGAGAAGACGAAGTTTGAAACGCTTTCATTAGGTACTTGAGGAAAAGTTAGAGCTGTCAATAGACAAGAGACAATAGATATGATCTCAATATGTGAGATATGATAGATTGATGGATAGATTACCTTGGCTTATCGTGCACCCCAAAGTTCCGTCTCATGGTACATGCGATGGACATTGTCTCGAATGAGCTTTGCTTTATCTGGAAAGTGCATGAGATTGTAGATATATGATGGAATCAGATGCTGTATTCCGTTACCCTTCGACAGTTCGTGCCCCAGAGTATGTCTCTTGAGGAAGTCCATGCACAATTCCTTGGATGTGCCCAGAGAATGCATGTTACAGGTCAGGGCACTGAAGGTGAGAATTTCGACTATAATTTAAGGGACTATCATCCGAAAAACTCACCCCAGATGCCGGAATACAGTGTCCTCCTGTTCTTTACCCGACAGTGTCTGTCCGGGACTCAATTTGCTTTGCTTTCGATTCGCCGAGTGTGCGGCCTGATGAGAGGAGCTGGATGAGGAATCGGGTCCATGTTTGCGCACGGATTTATCTGCTGTTTCCGCAGCAGTGGTCCCCGTTACAGTTGCCGGTGCCTCTGCTGCTGGGATGGAGAGGCGCTGCTGCTTCTTTTGATGACGTCGCTGCTGGCGCCGCAACAGGTTGGCGAAGCGCTGCTCCCGCTCCGCCTGCATGGCATCCCAAAACACGGTGTCCCAGAAGGGTAGCTGTTGCCAGATGGGCTGCTGGCGCAGGGACAGGAACAGGTACTCCCGATATGGATCGCAGCCAGGAACTTCAACTGAAATGGGAGTACAGATTAAAGGTTTCTTCGCTTTTGGCTTCTTTCAGGACTTACCTTCGTGGTAGAAGAGAAAACAGAGGTTCATAAGCACCGATGCCGGGCCATAGTCCTCGCATTCCATACACTCGAAGAGGGCCAAGGCAAAGTACTGGGGCAGGCCGTGGAAGGTGACCGATTCGAGGCGCTTCGTTTTGTTGCGCTGCTCAGTGAGGAAGCGCGTGAACCAGAGACGACCAATCTCCAGGCGGAGAAGGACCCCAAACTCCGACTTCAGCTCCAGGTTGACGCATGTAGAATTGTAGAAGAGCAGCTCGGTGAAGAGCCTCATAAACTCCTTGACGGGCTCCTCCCCGGCGCGACAGTCCAGGCTGATGGAGGAGGCCCACGAGGGCACTGAATTCTGCGACTCGGAACGTATGAAGTGCCGCCAGTCGGTGGACTCCATGCTGGGACTGGCTAGCACCTGGTCCACCTCATCCCTCAGGCTGGTCAGGGTGCTGCTATTGGAAGTGCGACTGCGCGGTGGCACACGCATCGAGTTGCTACCGGCTCCCCAGGGTTGACGGTTCACCAAGCCACCGCCACCGCATTCTCCGCCTCCTTCTGTGGGCGGCTGCACATCGATGTGGGGCGGATTGGCCTCCAGCAGCTCTATAATGCGCTGCATGTCCTTCTGCACATCCATCTCACTGCGCCGGGCTCCGGCAATGGCCCTGGGCCTCTCATAACCTCCAGAGTTCCGACTCTCAATGGAATCAGAGCGCGTGGTGCTACTCACATCGTGGGAGCGTGGTGCACCCGCCGCTGCCGCTGCATTTTCGGGAAGCGATAGAGAACTGCTTTCGTCGCTGCTGCTGCCCCCGGAGCTGCTGGAAGATGCCGAGTTGGAACGCTGGGGACCACCTCGCTTCTGGGCCCCATGACGACCCCGAGAGGGCTCCAGGCGAGGACCTAAGTGTTGGACTAGAGTTCTGCAATGACTAGATTCCCATTTGAGTTATACTCTAGCTTACGTGGCGCCAGATTGGGTTGTCTGTAGCGACCCGAGATGATCTCCTCATGGGCTCGCCGAGCCTTCACCCGACGTCCCTCAAAATCGATTTTCGTATAGTCAATCGTCTCGTCAACTGCGAAAAGTGTTTAATGATACAGTACATGGAAAGATAGGAGCACATTCTACGGGTTCTACTCACACTTTGGGATATCCTCATCATCGTCACAGTAGTCCGAATCGCTGCTGCTGCAGCTCAAAGTCAGCTGCAAATGGAGGAGAAACTTGTTGAGAAACTTGAACATATTATATGTATGCGTAGGCGTATACATACACGAGTGAATCAATTTGAGTATTAATTTAAATATTTTATGTTTTGGAGAATTCAACATAATTTAATGCAAACTATTTTTATAATCTTGTTTATTGCACCGTAATATAATTTTGGGTTAAAACCAATTTAAATTTAAAGAGTATGTTGAGCATTTCTTTGGCACACGATTTTTATAGCGTGTTTTTTTAAATGTAAATTAGATAGATCAAAGCAATTCTTAATGGGAATAACTAGAATAGTGGCTCAATGTACGTACATACATAGCTCAAGGTTGATTGTCAAAGAACACGACGAAGAAGTAAACCGTAAAAAAGACAGAGTTCTCGCCAGAGGAAATAGCCTTAATGGGGTAAATGGCATTAGGTGCATAAGTAATTAACGGAACCGACAAACGGTAAACAGACTTAGCACCCGCTCGTTTTCTCATTTTCCTATTCACTCACTCGTTTGCTCTGGTGAATATATAATTAATTTCAATCAAGGACGTGGCTGCAGGGCAGCCGTAGAGTGTAGAGAAAGTCAAGTACAAAGGAAACAGCTGAGCTTGTGCCTGCAGTCCTTGCCCCAATCCCACAGCCACAACCTTCACACCTCCCAACCTAAAAGCCGACCCAACACCAGCTCTATGCCTCAAAGTGAAGGTCAAACGAGTGCAGCGGCGGCGGAAAAGCGGAAACAACAAGAACAAACAGCGCACAGCAGAAACTATCAAAGTGTCAGTCGCTTTTGCAGCATAGACAAAACTTATGTACAATCTGCAACAGCCACCAATCGTCTCCCAAAGCCACCTCCGAACGACCCTCAATTACCTCCTTTCCCATCGTTCATTACCAAGGCTAACCCAGTTTGCCGCCTAGAGATGTGCCTGTCAGGCTCGTGAATTGGAGGGGTCCGTGCAGGAAGTATTTAATTAAATTACACTGTAATTATGCCAACAGTACAAAAAAGATGCAGCTATAGGTAGAGGGTTCAGATAAAAGTTTCCTGGTATTACAGTCATTTTTTTATTATTCCGAGAAGAGGGGAAACCTGATCTCTGGCATGGATTGCATATTATCCGACTTAATTTATACGATCGTGACTCACGTTGCCCGCACTAGTGCTCATCCACATACGTACGTACCTTATTTGATATTCCATTCAGCAGCTCATTGCTGTTACCTAGCACTGTCAGAAACTTGGACTTGAGTGCCCCAATGCTGGGCGTGCGTTCCATGAACAATTTGATTTTGGATCGCTCCCCGGCAAAGGCAGCCGGAGGCGTTCCCGGCACCACTCCCGTTGGAGGTGCGGGCGGCGGTTTTGCATCCACCATTCTGCGGCGTCCCGCTTCGATAGTATCCCTGTGGGGCTGACGCTGGGGCTGGTGCTCGTTTCCAAACACTTTGATGCTTTTGGATATTGGATTTCTTCTTTAGATTTGTGTGTAGTTTCGAGGGGATGTACGAGTAGTTGTCGTTTAAGTGGGCGCGGCTGCTGCTGCAGATTCTAGTATCGATTTTTCATATTTTTTGTAGTTATTGTAAAGATGTGTGTTAGTGATACGACGCCATGTCCCCTTGTTCATTGGGTGAAGGTGAACTTCCTGCTCAGCTGATGCTGCATTTTTTGGCGCATTTTATATAGAACTAGGAAGATTTATGTGGTATTTATTTTTATTGTTTTTATACATTTGATGTTTGATGTAACGTATCCTCTATACCTATCTTGGTATTTGATATTTGGTAAGAAACACTTGATATCATTATTGTTAATAGGTACATAGCTCTTTTTCGATTTAAAGTTAAATTAACAACATTGAATGGAACATTTATCATCTCTTAGAGATTGTTCTCTGCAACTTTTGATTATATATTATATAGAAATGGTGTATGTATTCTGTAATCATAAATTAACATAAGTTTTAATGATGCCTGAGCAAATATTATGCAAAATACTGACACGAAAATCGTTAAATTATAAAGGCACTTCTTTCACTTTTGTATTATATTTTGCATGTATTCTTTTGAGCCCCCAAGCGGGATATTAATTTTTCCATTTCCCTTTGCAAAAATACACAGTCACACACACTCGTGCACTCACACGCCCCTTTTGTACACGCAACGTGTTGTAGCCAGAGTGCCAGTGGAGGAGTGGCAGGTGGAAAATGTTATTTGGTCTTCTTCCACACGCGTCCATCGCCTGCAACGAACGTTGCCCAAATGCAGCCCGAAAATTCCAGCTGACGAAAAGCGTTTTCCCTACAAGTTTGCCTTTACACTCTTTCTACTCGACATGACATTCTACTCTACACACATTCCTCCTAGGCCAAAAGCACTGTACAACAATTTTCTACACAGCTGTTATTCGTACGAAATAACAGTACCAAGAAAAAGCTTTCTCTCACTCTCTATCTCTCGGTAAGAGAACGTCTACATTTGCCGGTGGGGAATCAGCTGCAGACGCATGCCATGCCGGCTTCCGACGTCATCCGTCAGTCAAGGTCATTTCATTGGGTAGGCGCTGGACAAGGTGAATGCGTGGGCGTATGCGGAGGCACCCAAAAAGCTGCGTGTCTGCAATTATCGAACTTTGACTCGTGTCACAGTCAATTGATTATGCATTTAAGAGTATATTTAGACCATTTGTTGTACATGGCTTTCCGTTGCGTCTCCCAGACAGACACAGACCACACGTGGACATCAGCTAATGGCTTTTTGATTTTCACCTCCAGCAGACAGCAGGTGGTGCTTATTATTCGTGTGCTCCCATTTCTTCCATCTCCTATGAGATTTTGTAATTTATTCTTATGGCTGGAGAGGTGTTTGTTTGGTTATTTGTTTATATATATTCAAGGTTGCCTTTTGGGGGATTTTCAAAGTGGATGAGTCGGCTTTTGTCTGGCTGCTGCCTTGCCTGGCAGGAGATCCCAATGGATTATTGTTTGGAATAACTCATTATTAATATTATTTGGGTTTTGGGATGTGTCCCGATGAACGATTTAGAGTTTGCATCTGTGGTGCATGAACTATAAATCATTGGACTGTAATAGAATATTAAATATTGCAAATTTATGGACGGCTGCAACCCTATTTCATTCACCCAATCAATCCCCAAAATACAGGAAACTCTCAGCAACAGGTAATAAATTATATCCCACATTCAGTTCGACAAAGTGTTTAACAACAAAAAGTAGATATATAAAATAAAATAATATAGGAGAAAATTTAAAGAGTTGATTTTATTCACACAACACACGCGATGTTCTATAATATACTATACTATACGTTGCGATACGATGTGATGTATTTATAAAACAACGCGAAAATACTGAAAATAGATGAGAATAGAGACACGACACAACATGACAGAGAGCAGAGCAGAGCAAAGGAAATGGAGGAAAGAAGCCAGAAAAAATGAGAATAAAATTCTGCGTTGACTTCTTCCGACGACTACGACAACTGCGGCCTGGCCTGCAGTAAAAATGTTGTTTAGAATTTTATAGAGATTTCAGTTTATTGGGAGACGATCGCCGAACGAGACCGTAGCAAAATATTTCATGTCGAGCAGCGGTACAGACCAACAGCAATATATACATCTATACATATCCCTAAATACATATATATTCATGTGGTACCAGCTGGCAGTGGCAGTTTTGAGTGCGGCAAGACGCGTCAAGTGAAATCGAATTATGTAAGTGATCTCTGAATATATATTTTGGATCCCTCCATCAAACCAAACAATCCGCAAAGTTCAATAGCAGAATGGAAAATCGCAGCCAAATCGAATTGAGTGCGAGTGAAGTGAAGAAAATTGTGCTAAAAATAAGAATATAATACTAAATTTAAACACAAAGCGCCCGATGAAAAAGATCAAGGAATAAATAATTGAAAGATTATTCCCAATACGCACAAACATCAATATTTGTATATTTTTTTAGTTACTTTTCCAACTTTGAATCATAAAAAAAAAAAATATGGTGCATACTCGTAAAATAAACGCAAATTTAGGCAAGCCAAAGAAATGCTTAAAAATAGTTCTCCCATAAAAATAAAAACTTTTATTTCATTGTCTGTGTGTGTGCTTTGTGCGTGTGTGTATGTGTATGTGAGTGTGGCGTACGTTTCGGTGGCTGCCTCCCAGGGCATCCACCACATGAATGGCTAAGGTGGGATGGGATGTGTGATCTCATGCCCAACCACCAACCAGCAATCAGCAACCAGTGCCTGCAGTCGGCTTTCATAAATATCTGTTCGCAGTGTGACACATTTTCGGCCGAGAAGTATGGACAAACTGCAGAAGATTTTATAAATAGAGCAAGAGATACCGAATTGCAAGAAAAACCCCCCGGCAACGTTGCGTATACGTGATGTGCGCATGTAGTGGGATAGTAAATGGCGCTCTTGTTTTTTTTAGGGATTTCGGACTAAATTATAAATATCCATTAGTAAAGGATTCCTTTCTTAGAAAATTGAAGAAAATGAAGAGCAGAATGAAGTTAGTAAAAAAAAACTAAGTTTAGTTATAAATTCAGATTGGTTGATATTTTCAAACTCTATTTTCCAAATAGATGAAGTCTAATTTTGGTTATGCATGTTCTCTGGATAAGAATTACGCTTTTGTAATTCTTGGCAGCCTTTTAGCTGTGGCATGCAACCTGCGTCATTACAAAATAGTCTCAGGTGCAATGTCTCTTTCCAAACAGCTCACTCTCGCTCTCGCGCTTTCTCTTCTCATTCTTTCCATTTTCGTAGCATATTCTCTTTTGATTTCTTTCCTTCACGTTTTCAAATATGTTACAATAGTTTCTCAGGGAGATTTACCTATATTGTAATATATTTAGGAAACGCAATAAAAAGCTCTCTTAAATGTTCTCTCAATTCTCATTTAAAAGTTTACTTAACTTACTCTCTCGTACATATCTCTCTCTCTTTTTTTCTCTATATTTTTCTCTATTTATTTTCTACCACTATTTATCTCTCTCTGGCTCTTTTGGCCTCTTCATCCACATAGCCATGTTGACAGCGTTCTCTAGTTGATCCACTCAAAAAACAAAAAGCATAAATTCATAAATAAACAAGCAACGATAAATGTTTTGCCAAAATTATTTGTTTTGTGCGGTTTTCCGCTCTTATTCTCACTCTCTCGGGGAGATGTTTTAGCCTAAATTTCGCGAGACTTTTGCGAGTATTCGCGATCGAACTCTGTCTGCGTTTAGATCCCACCACGAAAGTGCATTTTCCGAGCATTTTCCACCTAATACATTGGCTCCGGAATTTGGGTGAGCCAGCTAAAAATATTCTCTCATATATATAACACATTTTGTTGGCAGTTTTCCTTAATTGAATATGAAGTCGTTTGAAGTGTCTCAAAATTTGGCACAGGGGAATGGGTTGGAATAAAAATAGAATTATCTTACAAGCCAGAAACGAGGGGCAACAATTCTATCCCATTGAAGGAAAACTACACATTTATGGATATCCTTTTTTTATATAATGCACAGATCAGAAACAGAAGAAACAGCCTCCCGACCAATAGAACGACAACAAAGATGACGACACAGCAGTTGCTTAACAAAAATGTTCGAAATATGCCCTCATGGGTGGTGAGTGAAATAAACTACAAGGTAAAGCACAAGAAAATATAAGAGAAACCCTTTTAGATGGAAGCAAATGATCGCATTGGACCAAAGCCACCGCCCACTCCCCCAAATGGGGTGGCAAGCAATGGGAGTGGAAGTCTGCCCAAGGCTCCATCCCTGCCGCCCAAAGTGAAGACCACCCCAGAACCCGACTACGAGGTCATTGAGTTCTCCAACCAGCAGCAGCAGTACTCCAACGAACCCATGAAAACCACAGTGATCCGAACAAAGACACCAGGTAAAGTGCAGATCAAAGATCATTCAGTAGATCAGTAAGAAGATTGAATACTCCGGAGAATCATTCCAGTACATTTAGGTACATGTTCCCAATTAATCACTTTTGATTTCTCTCCTGCCCAAACAAACAGACAACAAATTGAAGTGCACTCTGTGCGGCTCCCAGAACCCGTGGGTTACCTGTGCCGAGTGTGCAGGCCAGATCTTCTGTGCCTCTTGCGACGACATGTTTCACAAGCATCCGAAGCGAAAGCAACACATGCGAAAGGTAGGTGCTCTAGTGCATTCACTCCATCGAAATAATTCAGAAAATACTCCACTTATTTCCATCCATTCAGGCTGTGGAGCAGGGCACACCGCCCATACCACCCAAGGTACAGCCAGGTGGTGGGCCATCAGCGCCAGTGGCGCCACCGCGTCGCAGCAAGCGGGGGCTGCTGACTCCGTTCCTGGGACGGAAGGATCAGGTACGCCACTGCACGATTTCTTAAACAAAAAAAAAAAAAAAAAAAAACAATACCAAAAAACTCCGCCACTGCCTGGCTCTGGCTCTGGCCTTGGCCCTGCCCTTGGCTACCACCTACTCTTAGTACCAAGTTTGTAATCTTCATTTTGAGAGCTTCAATAAAACAAAAAACAATCAGTCTATCTGCAATCCTCAATCCTGGCCGCCTGTCCAAAGAAACTCGTAGAAACCAAGAAACCAACCGAAAACCGAAAACTGGAACCCAAAACCCAAACAACTCTTTTGCAGATGCTACCGCCACCCTCGCCCACACCCTCGCACAAGTCCACAGTCAGCGCCTGGCGGGGTGCCGCGAGCGGAGGAACCGCCACACCACCCTTTCCGCCGGCTGCCCCACAGATGACCAATCGCCCGCTGCCGGAGCCGCCCAGGAGTGAGGGTGGGGGCTCCTCCAGATCGGGCACGCCCAAGTCCGTGTTCGATGCCATACAGAGACCACCGTCGGTGCAGCTAGAGAAGATCAAGAGCAAGGCCAGTGCCACGCTGGACCGCATGGCCATACTGCAGCAACGATACCGACAGCAGAAGGCACAGCAGCAGGGACTGGATCCAGGCGACGATCAGGTAAGCACTGATCCTCCCCCCCTTATGTTTTCCCTTCATTGTATCCGTATATCGTATCGTTTCGTATCGTATCCCCGTTTCGTTTCGTCTCTCCTTTCTCTTTTTCTCGTTCTCTGTTCTCTGCTCATTCCCCCGTCGCAGCACTTTTTCAATGGAAATGGCTTCGAGCATTGGTCAAACATCTCACCGTCGCCCTCGCATTTTCGTTGTTCCGGCAGCATGTCATCCGGTTTGAACTCATCCCATTTCGATCTATCGGATGATCTCTCACACAATTTTCACTCGAATTCCCTGTTGCTCCAACAACAACAACGACAGGCAGCGGGTGCCCAGCGCCGTCAGATGAGCACCTCGGTGTTCAATTTGAATACCGCCACAGCGAACAGCCGCAGGCCCCTGGCGGAGACAACACAGAATGGAGGTGGAGCCGCCTGGCTGGCCAATCAGCGAATGCAGCAGGTGAGTACCAGGGACCATACAGGGCGTATACTTTATGTAACACTCTCTTGAATTGCAAACTGCAGGCCCAATCCATGGCACAATTGAACTGCGCTGGCTGTCAGCAGAATCAGCAACGCGGTGCCTGGCCCCAGCACCCCCATCAGCATCAGCATACCGATGAGTGGTCACAGTTTGGCTCCCAACAGCAGTTCAACCACTCGAATCTCTCGCTGAATGTGGGTCCCGGGTACTTGCCACAGCAGCAGCAGCATCATCCCCACTATCCACCGCCTCCTGTGTTCATGACGCAGAGGGGAATGGTTCCGCATATGTATCCCGGGGCACCAGGAGGCTATCCCATGATGCATCCAGGTGAGCAGGGGCTATGGAATACCCTTGTGGCATCAATCAATCAATCAAATGTAATCTTCTGTTAGGTGTCATGGGCATGCCGCCTTCGACTTCAACTCGAGCCACTTCCCGTGCTCGGTATGCCGCCTCGCCCACACCCAGTCGGAAATCCATGACCATGCGACGGAAGCGAAGCAGCTACGGGGACGATGAGCTCACAGATGACGAGGACTCTGATCAGGACGATCGCCGTTCTTTGGTGTCGAATAGATCGGCCATGACCAGCGCCTCGCGATCCCACCATCAGCATCATCAGCAGCGTCCGAGGCGTCTGTCGAGCGCCTCGCAGTTCATTGGCAACGATGAGGTTGATGGCGAACAGAGGCACGGATCGAGGCAGCACAAGATGAGGGATCGTCGAGGATCCGTTGCCAAGTCAGTGCAGAGCGAATGGCTGCCGGAGAGACGCGACTCCAATGCCAGCAATGCAGGGGGCACACTCAAGAGAACTCAAGCAGCACCAGTGGAACAACCTGCCCGAACGAGTCGCATCTACTCTGATCTGGAGTCCGAGGGTTCGGGTACACGGGCCTTGGTCCAGGCCAAAATCCAACAGAAACTCCAGGAGGCGGATCAGCACAAGTCCAGCAAGAAATCGGAGCATAGACGGAAACCAGAAATGAAGGATGAGAACACTCAGGCAGCGGCTGTGGTGCAGAAGGTGGTGCCAGCCCCGGAGGAGAGCCCTTCGGAGTACGAGGAAGTGGTGGAAGAGGTCACGGCATCGGAGAGTGAGGCAGAAGCAGAAGCAGCCACAAGTCCGTCACAAATCCAGGCCACACCTGAAGAGGTGGAAGCTGAGGCAGACGACCTGGGGCCGCCACCATCGACCCCGGATCACGAATGGGAATGCGAGTTCTGCACTTTTGTGAACGAGCCGAACATTAAGATCTGTTCCATCTGCTGCAAGACACCAAGCAAGCCACCATTGCCACCCAACAAAACAAATAAGACAGCAGCCAAGCCACAAACTGAATCTGTCCAGTCCAGTAAGCCAAAGAATGCCAGCAAACCGGAGGCCCAACTAGTGCGGAGGTCCTCGATGAAGTCCCAGAAGTCAGCCAGCGAGAGAACAACCAGTGGAACCAGCACTTCGACAGCCACAAACACAGCACACACAACCGCAAGCAGCTCCAGGAGCACCCCAGCAGCCATTAGGCCAACAGCAGCCCCCACAAGCCACTCAAAGAGCACCACATCGGCCACAACTAACTCTAGAAACTCCACAAGCCACGCCAAGACCTCCACAGCGGCCACAAGCATCGCCAAAAGCTCTGCAGCATCCACGAACAATGCGAAGATCTCCACACAAAAAAATAATGTAAAGCCCAGCCCAAAGCCTACGCTGAAAACTTCGTCGGAGAACGAATCCGATAACTCCCTGGCCAGGGGCTTCATGCACAAAGGTAGGCTACAAAAGCGCATCTCATTTTTCGAGGGCACCAAGGCCTAGGCCCAAGACTCAAGACTAAACGTAGAATGTACCAAGCACTAATCCAAGCACTAACCAACTGTAAGCCCTACAATTAACGCATTTATACCGAACCAAATACAGAAACAAGTCCACAACCACAGCCTGAGTTTGAGTTTCAGTTTGTTTTGATTTGATTTGATTTGATCTCACTTCCAAGACTCTCACAAGCTAAAGCTCTCATCCGTACCGTTTCCAGAGTCCGTGGAGAACATTTGGAACATTCTGGATGAGAGCATACAGGCCCAGGCGGAGGAAGTCTTCAAGCAGGCGCAGAACAAGGTGTCGACGCCGCCCAGGGAGCTGATGGAAATGGGCACGTCGCCGCCACCTCAGAGCATATCCACACAAGTAATGGAACACCAATCGAAAGTACCATTTAGCCAAAGGGTTTAATCGAACAATTACTTGCAGACCTACGACGCTCTGCCTTTTGTCTCTAAGCCGGAGGCACCAGCAGTGCCAATGTCGGTGCCAGAGCGCTTTAGGACCCCGGAACCCAACAACAAAATGGAACGACGTCCTTACTATCGCAGTAACTCGCAGCTGCCGCAGGAGAACGAACGTTATCGAAGTGCGAATGACCTGAGATACGGCAACAACGAAGGAGGAGGCTATGGCTTGGATCCTTTCCTGAATACAGGACAGGTTACGAGGCGACCAAACTTTATAAATGAACTGCGAATGCTGCAACATGTAAGTTGTAGCTCCAGAATGGGTTCCACACTAACAACAATTTCCTTTCTTTTGCAGCAAACTTCGTCCCCCTTTAACCTGCCTCAGGACACATTCACGATGAATCTGAAGCACGAACCAGCCAGAGATCCCGAGACCGAGATGCACATCATTCTGAAAGAGTTGGAGCTGTATAAATTCACGGTGGAAGAACTGGAGGCTGCTCTCAAGTACTGCTCGCCGGAAACCCATCCCATCCAGTGGCTGCGCGAGAACTGGCTGAAGTTGGTGCAGACCGTCCAGAGTTTGTCCACGAAATATGGCCAAGAGCGCGGAGAGAATACCATTGGCAGCATCTCGCAGAATGAGGCCAGAGAGGCGCTGCGCAGCTCCAGCGGCAATGTGTGGCAGGCAGTGGCCGACTGCATCCAGCAGCGGCAGCAGAAGTACCGGAAGCTGGCCTCCAAGGGCAACTTCCTGCGGGAGGACATTGTGAATGCGCTGACGGCGCATCAAGGTAATGTGGATCAGGCGCTGTTGGAGCTGAATCGCACACAACTCAAACCATTTCTAATGCGCATCTGGGGCTCGCCGAATGGCGTTGAGAATGAGAGTGGAGGTGGAGTGGCGCCCGTAGACACCAATTCGGGTTAGTTTGTAGATCGATCAATCGCAGTCACTCACAGAATCATAATTCCCCATCTCTCTCTCTCTCTCTCTCTCATTCCCCCTTCTGTGGCGTGTAGATATCACAGACTTCCTCAACACTCACGCTTTGGATTGCCTGCAACAGCCACAGATACAGATACAGACACAGATACAGCCATTCGATTCGATCTCCACCACAGACGACAGCCACAGCAGCCCCACCAAATCCTCGTATGCCACCCCGAGTCCCTACCAGCTGGAGGACAGCACCCTGAAGAATCTCGAGATTCTCATTGGCAACATGGAGCAGAACCAGGCCAAGCAGAACCAGGATGTCCTGCGCTCCATCGAGAGCATGCTGGATACGTTCAAGGGCAGGACGGAGATGGAGTACGAGACGGATCCCGAAGTGATGCGCATTCTCACCAAGAGTCCCATTCTCAGCGCTCTGAAGACAGCATCATCATCATCCCTGGTGGAGGACAAGTCGTCGGAGGATGTGAAGAACTTTGTCTGGCAGCATATCCAGGATATTGTACCTAATCTAGTGCAACAGGTGGAACAAGAGCTCAAGGCAGAACCACAGGCACAGTCACAGGCCCCCGCTATGGCAATGCCAGTGGAAGAACCCTTGCCAATAGAGAATATCGAAGAACCGAAAGAGGACCCTCCTGTACCCAAAGTGGAGCCTGTACCTGAGCCAGAGTCTATACAAGAGACCGTGGCTGAACCAATTTTCGATCCTGGCGTCTACATAATGGAAGAGTTTATCAAACCCAACATTCGGGAAGCCTCCATACGCGAAGAACTCGCCACAAATTTTATTTATGCCACAGAAATAGCCAACTTCAAATTGGAGTTTGATCGTGGCATGGAAAGGCTGCACGAAGCCGAATGGGAACCCGAGGATCTGGAGGATGCCAAACACATCGTTTACAAGAGTTACACAGCCCCAAAGGAGGAGGCTCCACCAATGGTAGAGGAGGTTCAAGTAGAAGCAACAGAAACCCCAAAAGAAACTACGATTGAGAGTCCCTTTGTCCCTATAAATATTGAAGAAGTTACGCCACCTGTGGCCACAAATGCAGAAGAAATTAGTCCAAAAGATACTTTAAGAGAATCCACAACTGCAAAAGAAATCAAAGAAGATACAGTGGATGTTGCTCCAGTAGTTGCCAACGAGATATTGGAAGGAACAGCCCAAAAGGTACAATCACAACCCATAGAATCACAGGCCCAACTGGATGACAGACCCAGCACAAGCAGAGAAGCCAATCGCAGGAATAAGCGATCGCAGCAAGCCAAAAAGGGTCGAGCACGAGAGCAGAGCCAAAGGCCTGTGAACAGAGTTAAGCTTCCTCCAAAAGATGCTGAAGCAAAAGAGGTCCTGAGAGATGCTGCTCCTGCAGCTATAGAAATAAAGAGTCAAAACCAAGAGACTCAAATCCGAGAAAATCCGAAAAATGATTCTGGTGAGATATCAACAGAGATAAAAACTTCACCCCAAATTGAAGTAGAGAAAAATGAACAAGTCATACCAGATGCAGAATCGAATGTGGATACAAACATATCTCTCTCAGTCCAAGATGAAAATATTAACCAGATTGAAGATACTCAAACCCTTTCGGATGTCACCGAATTGAAGCAGACCAATGGAGTATCTCAATCGTTGGACACCGTGGAGAATATCGAAACCATTAATGCTGAAGATCCGCCTCAACAACGGGCAGCTCTAGAGGAAGACCTCGATTTGACTGTCGCATCTCAAGCTAACGATGATGCAGAGGATGCCCTTCAGAGTACTTCAGAGGCTTCTCCAACACAAGAAACTCTACACATCATGGATACACAAACCACAACTACAGATGGCGAGGAAACCCCCATCATTTCTACAATTAAAACCGATCAAAAACGTGGCCCAAAACGATTCTCTAGAATACCAGTGAGAACATCAAGTACCCATAGTCTGCGCAGTGAAAGTAGAGCCAGCAATCATACTCCCACTGCAGCTGAAGAAATCGAAATGGAGGAAACCACTTCCAGGGAAGATCAGTTTGAAGAGGAGCAGCTTATTACCAGAGAAGATCAGACCAGAGCGACCATTACAGCAGAAGAACATCCGATGGATTCTACCAACTCAGGACTCTCCATTACAGCAGTTCAACCCATCCCTTTAGAGCAAGAGATAACCCCAGTTAGTCCTGTGGAATCCGATGAGATATTCGAGGATGCCCCAGAATTCAGTAACAGTGAAGGAACCCGACCACAGGACGAGGAGGCTGCCTCCGATACAGAGCTCTACAGCATTGACGACAGCGACGAGCAGTCCCAGGCAGATCTGCGAGAGGAAACAAACAAATCCCCAGAGAACAACGCAGAGGAAGTAATCCTGGTGATTGGTGAGGACTTTTCTGCACAGGACATCAGCATTGACTCGCACTCAAGTCAATCGGAGGGCTCCAGAATTGTGCTGAAAGAGTTCATTCCCTCGGGAGATCCTGCCAAGCAAAACCTCAGCGAGTTGGTCTCGGACACTCAGCGTTTGATCAAGCAAATGCGCGACGAGATCAGCATGGATGACTTCGAGTCCACCGACGAGGACGAGTACTCCGAAGACTATTCGGACGAGTACGACGATGGCGAGGAGGAGGAGGAGGAATGGTACGACAGCGAGGGCGAAGAAGAGGGCGACTATGACGGGGAGGATGGCACCACTTACAATGAGCACACATCCTTCGTGGGAGACGCCTCCAGCGGTGACGAAGGCACCGAAATCGAGGACATCATCGAAGAAGATGAAGAGCAGGAGGAGGAGGAGGAGGAGGAGAAAGACAAAACCAGTCCCACACAGAAAACGAACATGAACCCTGAACCACCAGCCACCGATCCCTCCCAATCAGTCACGCCCACCAGCCATGATGCAGAGACTGAGGTTGTTTCATCCACAGGAAACAGTCTGCGGGTTGAGTCACTGCTGCCACAAGTGGAGGCAGTGGAGGAGACAACCACAGAGGAGGCCCTCCCCATCCAACCTCCTCCCATCATAGAAGATTCAGAGAGTCGTCCAGTCGAGCCACCCACTGAAATAGTCCTGGAAATCCACCCAGAAGCAGAGCAAAACTTACAGGTGGAGGAACCAACCTACGCCCTGCCCATAGCACATGCCCCACCCTTAGTCGATTCCGAGTCCCGACCCGTGGAGCTGCCCGTTGAAACCGTACTGGAAGAGCCCAAAAAGGTAACCCCGAAACAAGCGAAAACAGCCAACAAGACAGCCACAGCCCACACTGAAGGACCCAGCACCGCCAGAGGTGCGAAATCCACGATCAGTAAAATACCCAAGCCCACAAATGAACCCACTCCAAGCAACAAGAAGGTTCCCTTCCGTTCAAAGTCCTTCTCCGCACCCATGGGCATATCCTCAGTGAAACGCATCCAGCAGGAATACCTCCAGAAGCAGACCACATTCAGTGCCACGAGTGCAGCCTCACGGGTGCCCCTCAAGAGCAGTCCCACCAACAAGAATTCCATCAGCGATGCCATCAGTAGGTTCAACACAAAGACCTCCAACATGCTACCCTTGGATGGACCCAGCACGAGTGGAGCGGCAGCGGCGGCTGCTGCGGCACTCCTGAAGCCACGATCCCAGCCTCGCATACCCAAGAAGAAATACCACGAGACCTGCTTCTCCGATGATGATTATGAGACCTCAGCCAGTGATGAGGAGGGGGATAATGGTGATTCACAAATCAACGAACCCCTGCGGGCAGAACTTCTAAAGCGTAAGCTGAGTATTCCTGTCTTTCGGGCATATCCTAGTGTCCAGGAACCGGTTATAGAGGATCCAGCGGTGTGTAGAGTAACAGACAGCGACGGACAGAGAGAGAGACATACCAAAATATCTAATACCATGTGGTTTGCCTTCCCTTACAGGTCCTGGCCCAAAAGTATGTGGCAGAAGGCACGCTGACGAGCGTTGGTGAGGCGCAGATAGCTGCCACTTTGGTGAACATGAAGTTCCAAGAAGATGTGGCCCTGTGGGCGGCCAGGGAATGCTCAGACTTGGACCAGGCCATAGCCATGCTGCAGCAGGACTGCGAGCTGTGCATGAACACCTATCCGATGAACCAGATTGTGTCCATGCTCAAGTGCACCCACAAGTGTTGCAAGCAGTGTGCCAAGAGCTATTTTACAGTGCAGGTCAGCTAACAACACTCATGATTACTTTCTATATACTATAGATAATGGCTGATTGATCCAACAGATCACCGATCGCAGTATCAACGATTGCAGTTGCCCGTACTGCAAGCTGCCAGAGCTGAGTAACGAGCAGCAGCACGAGGACGAGCATCTGGAATACTTCTCCAATCTGGACATCTTTCTCAAGAGTATTCTCGACCCCGATGTGCACGAGCTCTTCCAGCGCAAGCTCCGGGATCGCACGCTCCTGCAGGACCCCAACTTTAAGTGGTGCATTCAATGCTCCTCGGGCTTCTTTGCCCGGCCCAAGCAGAAGCGTCTGATATGTCCCGATTGTGGCTCGGTGACCTGCGCCCAGTGCCGCAAACCCTGGGAGCGACAGCACGAGGGCAGCAGCTGTGAAGCGTACCTGGAGTGGCGGCGGGAGAACGATCCCGAGAAGCAGGCGCAGGGCGTACAAGAGCATTTGGCTCACAACGGCATTGATTGTCCCAAATGCAAGTTCCGATATTCGCTGGCCAGGTGGGATGCTCAACACTCTCAGCCCTATAAATGGGGGAGATATTAATGAACCTTTCCGTTCCGTTTGACAGAGGTGGCTGCATGCATTTCACCTGCACCCAGTGCAAATTCGAGTTCTGCTATGGCTGTGCGCGACCCTTCATGATGGGTGCCAAGTGCCAGGTGTCCTCCTACTGCGCCAAGCTCGGCCTGCATGCCCATCATCCGCGCAATTGTCTCTTCTATCTGCGGGACAAGATCCCCCTGCAGCTGCAGTTCCTGCTCAAAGAACAGAAGGTCCAATTCGACACGGAACCCGTGCAGGTGCAGGACGAGCTGAGTAGCTCGATTACGGCCCGTGCCATGGCACGCTGCCCCATCCCACTGCAAAAGGAGACGCCCCAGGGACTGGTGGATACGGTATGCAACACCGAAGTGCCCGACAAGCATGCGGGAATGTGTCGGTATGAAAAGAGAGGATATCCCTTTCAAATCCCTACTACTTATAGATGACTCTTTTTTAGCACCCACTACGTAGAGTATTTAGCTGCCAAGGTGGCCAAGGCCGGCATCGATCCGTTGCCCATTTTCGATCTAACAGACTGCGTGCAGGAACTGCGTAGGCGTGGTATTGCTTTGCCCGAACGCGGACCCTGGGACACCGACGAGATCTACAAGAAAATGTGCTCAGAGGTTAGTTCGTTCTACTGGCCACCATCAATCGATCGCCTTTATTGTTTTCCCCTCCATTTATTTGTTTCGCTACGATTCGGATTTGATTTGATTTTTTTTTTTTGCGAATGCTTTTCTCGGATTTGGTTTGGTTTGCGTTACGCGGAAAAACGCGTTTCCTGCGGCCGGGGCGAGTTGTTTTGACCGGGGAATGATTCAGCCACCGCCCCCGTCGATTGATAAATAAAACTAAACACACAAAAGGAAAGGCAAGGCAAGAAAATACAATCGTTTAGCCGTTAACTAAATTTAGATCCAATTCGGGTCTCTGACGTATTTCACACGCGTCTTAATTGATATTCATTTTATTATTATTTAATTGTAAACATTTTGGGGCGGTTGGGGAGCAATCGAGAATGTTTATTGTGTATGGATGGATGTGCATCCCCACCCAACTCATCTCTCAATTCCGATCTTATCTTACTTATAGGTAATCAAACAGCATATTCCACTGAAGTCGGCCTGATGAACACACATTATGAAGATAAGTTGAACGCGTGTTCGACTGTTTCAATTCTTCATTAATTTTTATGATTTATGGCAAACATTTTTATAGACATTTTATATCGTACGAAACACATTTTGGACAGCTCGTTAGATTTTAGACACCTACTACATCCATCCACCCACCCATATCCATAAATAGAGCCTTTCTGTATTTGTTTAGTTACTAAGTGATTGAAAACAGCAGCCCCAAGAAATCTACCAAAAGATTTGCACGTGCACCAAAGTGCATCCAATAAACCGAAAATGAAAGAACCCAATGCAAATATATTTTAAATTTCCAGGGGTGGGGGGCCACAGCAACAAATACCAGATGGTGCTGCAAGACCAATGCAACACCAATCTAATTAAGGAGGCGAATGAATTCTGATGGATATTGCACCTATTACCAAAATTTATAATAATAATAAACGAGTTTATGCATTTGCCTCTACTTTAAAGATCTCACGATCAAATATTCAATAATTTGTGGCATACTTTCGAGCATGGAGTGGTCGAGTTGACAGATATATACTCGTATACTCGTAGAATCGTAATTCCACAAACGAAAATAAACCTATTCCTCTTGATCGTTTGCGATATTGCCAAAACGGCAAATGCCACCCATAAATTATGTCCCGCGCACAACAAGATATATCACAGCAATAACAACACAGCAGTAAGCTAACTCGTAGATGGAATTCGGGAGGGACGGTACCCAAGTTAGTTCTCGAACGAGAGATGCGGGATTTTGTTGCGTTGACGGAGAGACATCGTAAAACCTATTTTCGTAGCGATTGAAATGAATTTATGCGCGCGGCACAACATGTTTTGATATTCCGACAGTTTTACACCAATAGCGACTAATTAAATGGGATAAATTGTATATTTATTGATCCATAAACGACCGATTGAGTTTTATCCTAGACTGTTTTCTTTGCTTTGAACTAACTGCATTTACGCTGCGTGTGTTCTTGGCCTGACCATTCTTTTTGGTTCACGGCTTCGATGCGCGTGGCATGGAAATATGCAGATCACATGGTCCACCATGTTATTTATGATCATCCAATGTGTTCGTTAGCGCTTTTTTTTCCACCGACCATGCTCAGACATAAATATTGGTGGAGACAAGATGAATACCCTTGGGGATATCGCATACATTTATGCTTCATATTATAGTAATATTTTATTGTTTAATTTGTTTGTTAGTTTTGGGAAAATGATTTCCTGCAACATATGGTTTCTACTGCTTATCCTGTACTAGTTTTTTCCAATTTCCAAAGTATTTTCAAGTCCTATCCTTTGAGAAACCAGTTCACATTTCTCGTCTCGCCAATATAAAAGTCCCCTTCCTGAGGGGCATTAAAAACATTTAAGTGCTGTCATGTGCCCACATAAAAAGGTATCCAGAATCTGTTGTTGTCTTTTGTCAAACAAAGTCAAGGTGAAACGCCACTGACCCCTCAAGCGTTTAACTTAATTACAGGTCGCGATTAATGCGATACGATTAATCAATCAGTTGGCATATTGATCGGAGTCGAAGGAGCCATTGATTCATGGACATCCATTGCCATTCCGTTCAATGGCAATGACAAGAAGAAGACAAGACGCCTAATGCAAACAATGTGTCCGGGTCCGCCCACTGTCCAAACAAAAGACAACCCCACACCTTTTGTTGAATGAATATGATTGAGATGTGTGTTGTGTGCATGTGTGTTTGGTATCGATTGTTTATCACGAACAAATCGTGGCGTCACATCCTGTCCAATATCTTTTGGTGGCTATTCTTCTCCAGGGACCGAGCAAACCCCCCTGTGGAACCGCACCCTGACCGCGATGCTTTTCAAAGTCAACAACAGAGACGACCTTCAAAACGCCTCCCAGAAGAGAATAAGTAATTAGCCAAACACTAATCCGATTTGCTGCGGCTGCTGCAAAGGCCACCACCAGTATCCAAACAACAATAAATAATTAAAATTTAAACAATAAATATTTACCGATTAGTTTGTGTTTCGTTTCCCCTGGAACCACCGAACAACTTTTGCACAACTTTTATGATGATTATGAAAATTTTGTTTGGATGAAATCCGTTTGCCAAAATGTTTAATGAGAGCATCTGGACCTGGATGTGAACCTGGAATGATATTTTAGGCTTTAGCAACATTCTGTAAACTTTCATATAAACTCAGTTTAAGGTTCTATATTTGTTGCAGTTTTTTTTTTATGGTATATGGTATACATAGGATATCAATATAATTTATAGTAAAGTCGTATGCAATCGTAGGAGAATATATACAAAATTTCGATGATACACATAGAAGGACTATGGATATATCGTATCGTCTGGGTAGAGAGTTACAGATTACAGATAGACATTAAGATTATCTACTACAAATATACAACAAAACTTAAACGTCTAGTAATTGGTCATCCCTTAGTTGCTCTCTACAAATATCGGAGTATGTATACATATATAAATTCTAGATCTAAATAATTGCATTAGTTGGTATCGTACCGTATATGTATCGTATATATAAAGTAAGTAACGCGTAAATCACACATCATACATATATATAGAATATATCGAAGAAAATCATCGTGGCGGAAGACTAGAAAGGTAACACTAGTGGAAAGTAATCCGTTGACGTGTTTTTTGTTTGTTTTTTGCTGGGTTTCCTTAACCGTACATTAATTCATACTAAATTAAATACCTATAGCAAATTTCGCTAACATTTATAAATATTTTTAGTTATATCAAATACGATCTCATAGATCTACAAATTCAAACAGTTCCGCAGAGGATTATATTAGATATAAGAAGCTCTCTCAATGGCAGAGCTCTCTCTAATGAATCATATCCAGCCCATGCAAGCTCTCGACATCTGGATCAAAGCTGGCATCGCAGGTGGATAGCCAGTCCCAGACCCGCCGTCGAACCATGGTCGGATCGATGGGTATGTCCAGGCCATAGCTGGACATCATGCGCTTGAATCTGATTTTGTTCTCATCGCCCGAGAGTCGGCCCTCGCGCTGGTTCAGATAGATGCATGAGTCCTGGTCGTGGTGGGTGGGCGAGATGAGGGTGGCTGACTTGGAGGTAGAGATGCGGCACTCAACCCAGCGGTCCTTCATGTATTTGGTCACTTCGGTGATCTTGCAGCGATCCTCCGGATCGTGGCTAAGATACTTGCGAAAGCAGCGCATCAAACGGGGCGAAAATCGACGGAAACTGTCCGGCACTTTGGTCGTCTTGCGCTGCTCGTACTTCATGAAGTTGGCATAGGACTGATCCTTGACCCAGTCCGCGGACTGCCAGGGGGGATTGCCGGTGAGGATGTTGTACAGCAAGATGCCAAACTGCCAGGAATCGCTGATGGGCAGGCACTGGAAGCGCTCGTTCTTGATCAGCTCCAGCTGCTCCGGCGGCACACAGCTGGTCCACGTGTGCTTCACCTTGTGCACCAGCAGACCCTTCTTGGTGGTGGCCCCAAAGTCGCACAGCTTCACCCTGGTAAAGTCCGGCGTAAACACCAGAATATTCTCGATCTTCAGATCGCGATGCACCAGATTCTTCGAGTGCATAAAGCCCAGGGCCGAGCTCAACTGCTCGGATATTAACTTGCAGGCATTCTCATGCAGGCCATTGGGTCCGATGTTCGAGGCCAGATCCCCGTACGGGGCATGCTCCATCGCAAACACGTAGTAGTCCATGGTCTGGAAGGCCACCGTGTATGCGCTCAGGATGTGGTGATGGTGCGACAGCTCGTAGTTGTAGTGGAACTCCTTCTGGAACTCCTTGATCGTGGTCAATTCCGCATGGACTGCCTTCAGGGCCACCAGCGTATTGGTGGGCCTGTGGCGGCACAGCAGGATCTTGGCGAAACATCCCTCCGCCAGTGTCTTCTCAATGTTGTACTGATCGGCGAACGTCATCAGCGGCAGCTCCACATCCGGTATCAAATGGATCTGTCCGCCATCATTCTTGTCCGGCTTCTTGTAGATGCTGCTCCGACGGCTCACGGACGCAGCTCCGGGCACCTCCAGCCGTCCCGTACTGGTGCTGGTGGGTGTCAAGGGGGTGCTGCATCGCTTCTGGTTGTTGTGATTGGTGCAGGTGCTGCTGTTGTTGTTGCTGTTGCGACTATTGGTGCTGCCTCCATCGCCAAAGGAGCGGCGCAGGCGGAAGGAAAATGAACGTTTCTCTGGAAGAGATAGAAAGAGGATTGAGGATTATATATCATATCGAATAAGGTTGGGCTTAAATTAATGTTTTTCATTATTTCTAGATTTTGAAGATGCACAGAAGAAAACGTTCCCTCCCTAAAATACAGGTACAAATTCTATCCATAGACATTACAAAATTCTGTTTAACCTTCCTTTTGGTTTGCCATCCTCACAATCATTAAACTTGACCTTTAGCCACAATCAATACTATCTTCAAAACGAATGGTTCTGTCTACCTCTGCCTTGACCCTATCCTTGGCAACAGAAATTCTTACCCAAAGAGAGACCGCAACAAAGCCAACGCCACATACACACAGACACATCTTGCTGCTGTATTGTGGTGTGGCATTAATTGGAAATATTTTTGGGTTGTTCCTTATGATTTATAATCAACGTTTGATGTGCTTCTTTTTATGTTTTGTGTTCCACATCGCGAATTATTAATTTATCATACAAGAGTGGACATAGAAAAGCGCTTACAGCCCTCCCCACCCGTCCCATGGGGGAAAGCAACACCCACGCCCACGCCCAAGACAGAGAGACAGACATAGAGAAATAGACGATGGTTGTCGCCAAATTGTCTGTGACAAAGTTAGTGCAGAATTTGCGTAGATCTCAGATCGGGCATGGATGGATGGATGGAGAGAGAGATATATAGTATGTATGTTTGAAGGCACTGGGTAGAGGTGGTTATATATGGGTCGGGCCATACAGGCAAAAGACGTCAGCAGTTAGTCACAGATTGTGACTGCTGCGATTTTTGGAAACCACAATCTGCGTAGTGCCATTGACAGTCCCAGCGCCCCCTTTTATTCCCCCACATTTGATTTCATTTATAGCATAGCCTGGGAAATGGTGAAAAAATCATTTGATTTGCCGCCGAATGGGACACAGGACAGGCAGTCAGACAGAATTTATAAGCTAAACGAGAATGCGTTAGCTGGAAAATCGCAGCAAAGCTAAAGCTAAAATCAAATTAAATCAACGCAGAGCAGAGCAAAACATTTATAGGGCGTGATGTGATTTTTGCTCGATTTTCTCACAATTTTACCGCGAATTGCTTTTGACGTTAAATTATATGTTCTGCTTAGCGATCAAAATCGTATTTCATAAAGTGTCAACTGCGGAGGAGCAAGAAGGCAAAGATGCGGGGGTAAAGGCGTATCCAAGTTGCACTTATATTTTAAAAATATTTTTATTTTAGACAAATCACTGTTAAAGGCAGGCCGGATAATATTTGCCCCTGAGGCATGCGAGAAATGCATTTGAACTAATTTATGAAAATCTCTGATATGGTATAAAATTCTTATAGATAAATATGTAGATAGTTTCTATAGAGGGTAGTTAGATTGGAGGTACATATTAATATTGATAGATGTAGAAAAAAAAAATATGGTGAATTCTTTTTCTTCCTTCAATTTTTTTTTAGACCATAATATTTTAATTTAATTCTCATTTATTATTCCGAATTACGAAAGTCATTCCTTCTTTGTCATCGGGGGAATATTAAGTGGCTGCGAGGGGGCAAATGTGAAAATTCTTGCGCCCAATAACCCCTAAAACTGCTAAAAACAAAAAAAAAACACTCTCGCATAAGTTTGAGGGAAAGGACAGTCAGCAAAAAGTCAAAGATTATTGTTCTGGCCTGGTTGGTTCTTATTTTTTTGTTTTCTTTCGTCTAATTTCTATTTCCGTTCCAGAATTGATTGGCTCGGGGCCAGAGGTGGCATCCACATACAAATCCCTAATAAATGAACAAAAAAAAAGGGGGAAAACTAATTATATACCATTAAAAACCATCAACAGAGATACAAAAGTCAGAGAGGCCTGCGTGTGGCCATAAATCAAACTTTCACTTTCTTCGCGGTGGCCATCCCTCTTCGTCGTCGTCGCTGCTGCTGCTGCTACACTCGATTCAAATGATACGAGTACTCGTATTCGTTATGGCCATTTCATCTCAATAATTTCTTTCGCCGATCCGCAGCAAAACACTTTGCATGCCCGAAATAGCCAAAAGCCACAAATGAGCCAAAAAGGGTCAGCAGGCAGTCGTCAGTCGTCGGAGAGATGAGATGCATTTTTGCAGCTCTAAATATAGAAGGAAGCCAGAATTTCCGTGGAAATTATCTATCCGACCGCAGCCCAAGGGGGGAGTCAGTCTCGAATAAACAGTGGGTCAAAATAAACAATCCTCAGGATTGTATGGCTAGTCAGACATTAGCTGTACGAGGAGGAGATATGTAGCTTTGGCAGACTGTGAAATGCAATGGAAACAAAGGCGCCAGGAGAACCATCGACCTGCCAGCAAATAGCAAAATTTAAATTCTTGCGACAGATGAACATTTTAAGGATAGGCAATGGTCGACTGGAGGATACCCTGGACCACATTGGGATTAATGAATACGTTTAGGGATAATAATTTTGAAATTAAATTTAATATTTGAGTAGAGCAACTATTTTATCCAGAATTTTCTGTCTGGAATGGGGGAAGCCTGGCATGGAATATATTTAGTAGTTTACAAGCCAATTTTTTTTTTTTATTGTAATGATTAATCCCTTCCTAACCATTCAATCAACAGAATCAGAAAAACTCAACGAACAGATCCAGAATGGGGGAACCAGGCATCAGGTGAGGGGGGCATCAGCATCAGATCTCCAACACTCGTATGAGTGACTGCCAAAATGTACGTTTCGGTTCTCACAGTTCGGTTACTCCCCATTTCCGTGCCCCGGACAACACCCGGTCCTGCACCATGCCGCATGCCCCTGCCCCTGATTGTCGCCCTGGTCTCCAACAACAACAACAAACAACAGCAACAACGAGAGTCGTGTCCCGATTCCCCGCCTGCTTGGCAACCCGCCCGACAGTGTGCGCGACTTTGGGGGCATTGCTGACGTCAATGGAAAAGTCGTTGTCGGTCGGCGTGCCACATACTCGTACAAGCGCACAGTTATAGCCAAACACACACAAGCACACAGATACAGATACATTTGTATCTATAGGCCAACGAGGCTGCGTCTGAGGCTGAAGCAGCCCCGTCGGCGTCTTCGACCATTTGTAAGTTTTGTATTATTACAAAATAAAATGAGAAACACTTTTAGATCAGCACAGCACCCAGAGCAGAGTCTCTGCAGAGGATGATGAATGGCTGGGGAATCAGAGACTCGGAGAAGCGGAGACCATCGACCGGACAATGCCGGACGCTATGTCTGGCTCCAATACTTGGTTGTAGTGCTCCCCCTGCTGCAGCAACCCAAAAACAATTGATTCGAATTGATTGCTCCATCTGGGGGAATCTTGTTGACTTAATGCCTTCATCTTTTGTGCTTCGGAGGGAAACTTACATAAGTACGTTTACCAAGACCTACATCAACTCTCGAAAGAGTCCAAGAGACTGGCATGCATGCATATATAGGATATGTGGGACCTACGACAATGTGCTGCTCTGCTCCTCATTTCCATTTCCATTTATCATGAAAAATACATTTAAATTATATTTTATTTCTTCATCTTTCCAGGTATTAAGTACTTGTACTTTTCTATATATAAATAGTATAATCGTAATTCAGATTTGCTTCGATTGTTTACAGGAGAATACAAACACACACACACACATACACCAATTTGGGTCAAGACAGTTTTGTTACAATATACCCACAATTTGATTTTTTGGGCTATTTGTTGATTTTTCTATAACACGGAAAAGGCAACAGCTTTCCGATTTATTCCGATGTATGCTATATGGGTAAGGATTTCAACAGTCAATATATAAAAATGCATGTTCATTGTTTTCAAAGAGGAGGATTTTGCAAGTGTTTACAATAGGAAATGCTTTTATTATCGGCTGTTTTCTTGATCAAGGATGGAAAACATTGAGAGAAGGTCTTAAAAGAAGGCCAAACCACACATAAAATACAATAATATAGAGAAATCGGAATCCATTAATATCTACTATGATGGGTAATCGATATAAATGTATTGGTGTTTCCTGTTCAAAATCTCCCAAAATCATGGTCTGCACTGCAGGAAGAATAACTTGAAGGCATGAACGTTTATGGACCCATTAATGATGGATAATTACAATTAATATTGCAATTATTTTTATTAATACTCTTAATATCCTCCCATTTTTCGATTTTTACATGAGGAGTGGTCATGCACTCCCCTGACAAAATCTTTTACAACATTTGATCTAATTACTAATTCAGTGGGTAGCTGTTGAAAACGAAAACTTGTTGAAATGGAAAAGCTAAGCATTCGGCTTGCTTATTATACAACAATTCAATAAAAACTAACGACTTAAAACAAAATTTCCGCTGCGCCCACAAACAAAAGCAAAAGACCACCAACAAAACAACGAAAATAAACAAAAATAAATTAAAAATAAAAACAAAAACAAATATTAAATAAATAAATATTAATAGAAGTATTCTTTTGTGTGTGTGTTGTTTTAAATATAAGTGTGCGTATGATTTTTTATAGGGTAAAAGAGATAAAATAAAATACATATTATATATTTTGTTTGCTGTATTTATAAAACGCGTTAAATATGGTTTAATTAGCTTTCTCTGTTTCTCTCTCTCTGTTCCCAAAGAGTATATATTTTTAGCAAAAAAAGGAGGGCGTGTTTCCGCCCCGCCTTGTCTACGTTTTATTGATATATGGCAGCACTCTAGGAGCAAAAGAACCAACCACCAACTGCGAGGGACAGCTGCTCTTTGGAAAACTGCGCACATGACCATCACGAGTAGATGTACAGTATATGACGAGGTGAAGGATATCTGCACAAGTGGTTGTACTCGTACAGGTAGGCTTAGAAGAGCACACTCTATAAGCCCTGGGTTTTCTTGAGTGCCGCTTGACAGACAGAGTGTCATGTCGGGGCCAATGAGAAAACAGAAGGACAAGATACCCTAGCAGATCTGGATTATTCCTACCAAAGACGTATGATATGATTTAATTGTGATTTTATTTGAT